AATTCCTCTCCAACTGGAACGTGGGGTGGTCGATTGCTGTCAGGACAGCGGGGGAACAACTCCTCATCGAACAATGCCTTGGTGGCGACGAACGTGGAATTGTTTGTGCGCATGAATAAAAATCCTTTCACACCATCAGGAATGCCCAAGTAGGTCATCAGCTCCGATTTGGTCGATAACTTGTTGGCGCGCTTCTCATCAGGGATAAAGACGTATGCAGCACTACCAAAGACTCGGAGTTCGGAAACATCCGGTTTTTCCTTGTGAAGGGCTTCAAATGGAGTTTTCCATTTTAGACGCCTGATAGGTGTCATATTGTAGATCCGTGTCGCATGTTTTATCGCAAATTCCCAATATGAATTAGGAAGACAGGCAGTGAAGCGCATGGCTTCTGCCTTATCCATGATCGTACGATTGAAGCGCTCGGCATGCCCATTCTGCTGATGAGCATATGGAGCACCCTTCTCCACTAGAATTCCTTGTTCCACGAGAAATTCTTCCATTCCCATCCCCATGAATTCTCCCCCATTGTCAATATGCCACTTTTTGATGGTGACATTAAACTGGTTTTTGACCATCGCAATGAAGTTGTGCATAGCCTGCTTGGCGTCGGATTTCTGCGCAAGGCATACTGTCCAGCCATAGGAGAGTGCTTCGTCAAAGAAGCTCATGAAGTAACGGTACTTGTGATAAGACACCGTGGGAAATTGTTTGAGATCCGAGTGGATCAGATCAAACGGATTCTCCGCTCGTTTTTCGGAAGGCGGGAAGGCACGTTGGTGCATTTTCCCTTGTGCGCATCCTTTACACGGTTGGGTTTCCTTGGGAAATACTAGGTCTTCTGGAAAGCCCTTGGTATTCTTTTTTGCCTGACGTAAAACGTCTTTTGACGGATGTGCAAATCGCCGGTGCATGATCTCATAATCCACCTTGTAAACAGTGGACATGGATCGCACTGTCTCAGCCGTGCTAGGCTTCGACATCAGGAAGTACAAGGCAATGTCCTTCCCTAGAGTTCTAAACTCCATGATCGAGAGTGGGGACTTCCCTCGATGTAAGCTGATCCGCGATTCGTCTCCACGAACGCGAGATCCTCCTTTGAGTAAGGAGCCCAAAGACATGAGACGACCATGTAATCCTGGCACTAGGTACACTGGATATATCTGAGAAGTCACCATAGTCTTTTCTCCATGCCTTGTGACATAATGATCGATGAAGGCTGTTCCTCGACCAATAAGGGCAACACGTGTGTTCTTATTAGCGGTCTGAGCAACAATAGGATCTGAGAGCTTCTCATATCCAACCAGATCACTAATCTCCGATGTCACATGGAGAGATGCACCAGAATCGAGAAGCCATAGAGGCCCTAATTCATGATGATGATGTTTCCCCTTACACTTAGAGCAGGCAGCAAAATCGGAGTGCACACAGAATAAATTTGTACAAAAATCATGTGATCAAATCATCAACGAATTAAGTACAGAACCTGGGGCGGCGGTGATTACTCGCTCTGGCTGTGAGCAACAATCAGAATTGTGCATATGCCCAAGAAGGCAGGGTACTTGCCTTTCGGCGGAAGGAGCGTCCATCTCCTCCAGAAGGGTGTTGAAGTCGACGACCTCATCCCAATTGACGGGTTCAGCCTGGGCGAACTCGCTATCTCCAAACAGAAGATCAAGATCGTTCTGTTGGCCGGTGGCCATCTCGACGTTGGGGATCTCCTCGATACGACTGCGTTTGGCAGGAGGACCACTATCCAGGGTGTGATTCGAGCCGGAAGCAACCGGAGATGGAGAACGCATGATTGCGTCCTCGCGGAGCATTCCTTTCTCATTGACAATCTTGTCAAGAGTCCGGAAGCGTTCTGCGGTCACCGTCACATCCATCTTCTTGGCCAGCTTGAAGACCTTACGAGTAGGTTTCTGGAACTCGGTGTCAATAATCCCATTGTTGTTAACGGGAGACTTCTCTTGAACCGCGCGGATTTTGGGTCCATTGCGAGAGATGTGCGTGACATGCGAGATCGTCGGCGCAGGGATGGACGGAGTGAGCGAGGCGATCAAACCGATAGTGAGGGAGCCAGTGATCTCAGAGACTCCATGGACATGACTGTGATCAGCCTTGCCCTTGCCCTTGTTGTCCTTGTTCTTCCCACTGTGCTTGCCTCGACGGTTCTTCTTCTTTCCATCAGCCTTATCACCCTTATCGGGGGCAGAGCCAGAGCCCTGTTGCTGATTGGTGAACGAAGGGTCATCGCGCTTGCGCTTGGTATTGAACTTGGCCACATGATTCTGGCTTTGAGACTGCTTCTGAGCGAAATGCGTCAAGAGAGCGTCGCGAACCACTGAGACCTTAATCTCGTCCTTGTCATAAGTCTGTAGAACAGTCTCCGTGACAGAGGGAATCCGGGCTATGCTGAGAATGATCATCGCTCTGAGGAACTCAGGAATGATCAAAGACTCATTCTCCAGGCGAGTGAATGCCGTAGTGATCACCAGCAGCTGTGGATCCGGGTGCAACCCCACGTTGTACTTGGAGTTCAACGCGGCTTGGAAGTACGCGTACAGGTCGGCGCACTGAGCACCACCATATTGGGTCTTCAGATGCTCCCAGATCTTGGCAGCTGACACTATTTCGGCGGCAGGAATGTTAGCAATGACACCTTCAGTCAGGCGCAACTTAATGCTGCCTTTGGCCCTGAGGTCGTCATGCTTCCACTGCTTGATTTCCGATTTATTGGTCACAGAGCCATCAGATGCTTTGACTTCGGTTGGCACGGTTTCGGTCAGCACATATGAGATCCCCTGATGCTCCAGATAGGACTCCATAGTTCCGGACCAGACAAGCCAGTGCTTTCCATCAAAGATGGAGACAGCATTGAAGATGTTGTTGGAGTTGGACGACATGTTAGATCTGTGTGAGTGATCAGCATCAATCTAATCTGATAGATAAAATCAAAGATAAAGATGATCAGATCCTCATAGATCATAATCTCCTTCAGAGATCGATGCATCTGGATCAAGCGATGTAATCGCGATCCGGCATGGTTTCACCAGCGCTATGCAGCAGCTGAAGTGAATGCAGATAGGCTAAAGATGCTGCTCATCGTTGCAGCCAGTGACGGCGCATACAATGAATGTCGTGGCCACTGAGGCGCAGACATAGCTCTCGGGGCCCATAACCTGTTGAGCACTGGGGAGAGCGTCTAGCAGCTCACCTGTGTGAGTGAGAGCTTAGTGTGGGCACTATGCGGGAGTAGTCAAGAGACTTATATTAAAGGGTAATAGAGCCCTCCTTATATATGATACAGGGGGCCGTTTGTGTCTATTTGGGACGAGTCGATATGACTCTAGATGACACGTGATGGAGTCATAGATGTGTATCACAACATCCATCTTGACAGATGATATTTGATCAACATTAGGTACACCAACCGTGGTTTAACTACTCTCAGTGTGGCATAAGCCTTGGCACAACGGAGAACAAATCGGTAATTGATGGCATCAGAGACCTTGGATGTACTCAGAAAGATGATTACTAGAAAGTGTTGGCTCCGCCAACATCATGCCTTGCTCACCAATTCAATCCATATAATCCAATTGATACACAATAAAACAAATAAAATACCAGTGCAGCTGTAACTAAGCGCCAGACGCTCTCATCTTCTTCCTCTTTGGGCTCTTGTCCAGGTCAGGCACCACCAGCAGAGACCAGATGAGGCAAGACAACATCATGCGGTGTAAGCGCTTGTGTTTGCAGTGGTGGAATGTGGAGCAGTGTGGTTAGAGAGTGACATGAATGGAAACAAAAACAGCCCACAGGTGGGTGCTCAAAAGAGAGTCATCATTGTGCATGGAACTATAAATTACACTGTTTTGAATGCCAGCCATGGTGGGGAGCGTATGAAAAGAAGAGTAAAGAGTGAATGAGAGCACAACAGACGCGTACATACATAGAAGGGGAAGCATCATTGGTAATGTGACCTGATCGGATCAAGATACGGAACTATTGCATCTGATTTGTAGAATATAGGGTCTGGAGAGTGCCTTGACAAGCAAGGCAATGCTTGCCGAAAGGAGGCAAAAACAACGTGGGTTTGGAGAACATGATAATTCAAATCGTTAAATGTAGCGGTACTCCTTGGACACCGCCCATATCACCGCGGGGGGACTGAATTTTTTTCTGTGGAAAATGCGTGACAATCTAGAATTCCGATTTTCACCGTTATGTTTTCAGACAAAAAATATATATTGAAAATAGACATCGATTTACAGCTCAATTTTTACCATGAATAGACATCTATTCCTCTCGAAAACAGAAGTGCAAATAGATCATCTTTTTTTTGATCGATTCCCACTAGGAATAGACGTCGATTTTCACTGAAAATAGAGACAAAGAAAAGATGATCTTTTTTCACTGAAAACAGATTAAAACCACTGGAAGAATCTGTTGATTCTGGCCCCAATTTGCATCCCTGGCCTTGCAAAAGGCTACTGGATGCTACTCACAACATGTTGGAATCATGCTGCAGGACTTGTGATGTGAATTGGGGCCGGAATCAACAGATTCTTCCAGTGGTTTTAATCTGTTTTCAGTGAAAAAAGATCATCTTTTCTTTGTCTCTATTTTCAGTGAAAATCGACGTCTATTCCTAGTGGGAATCGATCAAAAAAAAGATGATCTATTTGCACTTCTGTTTTCGAGAGGAATAGATGTCTATTCATGGTAAAAATTGAGCTGTAAATCGACGTCTATTTTCAATATATATTTTTTGTCTGAAAACATAACGGTGAAAATCGGAATTCTAGATTGTCACGCATTTTCCACAGAAAAAAATTCAGTCCCCCCGCAGTGTATACGATACATGTTTGAACATGAAAAGAATCATCCAAACTGACAGTTGACGCCGGCAATCACCGATACCATTCCTGGTGTGATGTCCGTCAACTGTCACTGCAATAGGCCCTCTCATGAATTTAGCTTCTTCCATCGCAGGGTTGGACACTAGTGGTGTGGCCGAACTCTCGCCGCAGTACTCAGAGCTGTACATATACTCCACCCCACACGTCATGCATCCTGCTGCTGCTGCTACTGCTCCTCACACGCTCAGATGAACGACTCTCGAAACCCGCGCGCCATGGATGCTGAGCCGTCTCGCACCGCGCTCCAGTCCCACGTAGCGTTCTTCGATCCAGACTCTGATGGGATCATCTGGCCTTTGGACACGTACGTGACGTGTCCCGGGCCCCGCGTCGCTCGAGTCCATCGCTGACGACGGGATGCGACATCTCCAGCTACCGCGGTTTCAGACAGATAGGAAGCGGGATTTTGTTCTCTGCTCTGTGTATGGTGGTAATCCACTCTGGCTTCTCGTGCGTACATCCTGTGGCGCCCACTGGGGACATACCTATCCAGCTGACCACGCCTTCTGCTTCGCCAGTTGGCTCACGTCCAGGTTCCCGGACCCTCTTTTCCGTATTCCCATCTCGAACATCCACAAGGTCTGATATGCTGGTTCCCACTCCCCACGTCGCCCGCTCACTAAGGACACAACGGTAGGCTATCCACGGCTCCGACACCGGGTCCTATACGCAGACCGGAGACTTGGATTTGCACCGCTTCGACACGGTGTGGGAGCACAACACTCAGCCCCCGCACACACACATGTCGTTCAGCGAAGGCGTGCGCATGGTCCGGGGGGACCGCAACCCCTTCGATGTCGTGCGTGCCACTCGTCCATAATGCTTTCGGATCGACTTCGCCTGATGTTCGCCCCCCAGTTCGGATGGCTCGCGGCTGCGTTTGAATGGGGCTCCACCTTTGTCGTTCTCTCGCCACGGGACGGCCGGATCTCCAAACAGGATGTCCAGGCCATCTTGGATGTGAGTTCGGTGCCATCTTGTTGGCAGCTTGTTTAACAGCAATCTTTGGTGCAGGGTTCGCTATTCCAGCAACTGGCGAAGAGAACTCGAGACAAGAAAGCTCCCGCCGTCAAGATAACTAAGAAGGAGTAGCGGTCGGGGGTTTAAACAGAGGGGTGACTGGGGACAGCTGTAGGAGGGCACAAGCATCGTCAAGCTTTCGCCCTCACCCTATGTGCTCTATCCTACGATGACTTCTCCGTCGGGTTCACTTCAGCTGCAATGGACTTGCTTCATGCCCATCGTATTAACCTTCGAACCCCTCTTCGTCGGTGTAAACCGTCTCCAGGCCCGATGTTGATCGTTCGCCAAATCAGCCAGCCTTGTATCCACAAATACTGGCAGCACTGCCGAAGGTTATGGGGCGGAATTAGGTGTCCTCGGCGGAGTTGTGTGCGTATTGAGTGAGGTGCTACCTCCCATGGCATCAGGGGCTTCTGTGTTGGTGCTCGTGGATGAGAATGACGCTGAAGGGTGTCTCCGTTCATATCCATGGTTCTGTGATGAGCACCAGCGCCATTCGCGAGTCGAGCGTGCGTGGAGAAGGACGAGCGCAGTGCCGATTGTTTCCATTGGCTGTGAGAAACTTGTTGGTTGTTGCAGCAAGACAAATCTTCTCGTCGCACCGAAGGCGGGTTGTAGCCAGGACACAGAGTTCGGACGTGGATATCTATCGTACTTCCTTGCACAACAGGTTCATGCGACTCTTCAGTCTCTCATGTGCTTTCACATCCAGAGCACAGCACCTATTCATGATCTAAATCCTTGCGGACTGGCCCGTCGGGGCACTTTTCCAGCTTTGGCTAGAAGATCGGACATGAGTTCTTTCCCATATCATGTTAGATGACTGAAGTAACATTCCATCAATGTTTCAAGTTGTCTCCGCGGCTCCCAGCGACTGAGGAAACGCACATAGCTAGAGCGTTGAATGAAATCGATTGGAGCAGAGACTTCGCACGTGATAAGTCCCTGGTGCAAGAGGCCAGCCTCAGTCCATCAAGTACAGTCACAATTCACTATGTAAAGGACAGAATGTGAAGACTTTACTATTCATAAAGTACCAGATATAACCGATGTCCAGTCCGTGTCCTTCCAGTGTATGTATGTACATCGCATGAGACAGCCGATAAATAACGTTATGCGCAGAGGTGTTTCAGCTAAACAGAATCTCCAAGGGAACTTTAGAAAGCAGAAGCCTGGGGAAAGGCGTCTCTCTATCAGCGAGCGCGCGGCTTGAGCAGCAACGGATCGTCCTCGCCGTCATCCTCCTCTTCCATAGCAATCTCCCGAGGGGAAGTAATCGAGCGCGGCTTCCGGCTGTTGCTGGCGTTAGTGGCATCGGCACGGAAGAGGACTGGAGCAGGCATCAGCCCCGCGCTCGTCGGCCGCGCAAGCAGGTCGAGTTCATCGAACTCGAACGAGTCCTCGAGCGGCGTGTGGCGGCGTGAAACGACGGGAGAAGGCGGATCAGCCACCGCCCAGCCTTCGCTGCACATGTGGTCAATCTCCTCGTCTTCACTGGCTTCGCCGATGGCTGTGGTGCCTGGCATGACGGCCGAGCTGGAGCTGCGCGCTCGAGTGGGAGGCCCGATGACAGTCCCGCTGCGCGTGCGGCGAGGGGGAGCGGCCGTGGTGGGGATGGCGGTCTTGAAGTCAGAAGCGCGAATGGTGCCACGGCGGTCTCGACCTTTGACGGCCGGACGAACTCCGTCGTGTTCCTCCGCCGGCGTCGAGCTGTCGAGAGAGCGCGTACGATTGAGAACAACGCGGTTCTTGGTGGTAGTCCCTAGTACAACGTGCGTGTCAGAGTTCTCTCGAACAAAACGCAAATACACCCACCAAGAGCCATATCATCGAACATCTGCTTCAGATCCATCTCTGTGTGTGCCCTCTTCTCTCCAAAACCGGGAGGCCCCAATCCCAATTCCAGCGACAACTCATCGTACATGTCGACGTCTTCGCTACCGGGCCCCGGACTGTACGGGACCAGCGGGGGCCGATCCCATTCTTGCGAAGTGGGCGGTGATACGATGCTGTCGCTCAACCACGGACTGCGTGTTCGGGCAGGAAGGTCTTTCATCCCTGGATGCGACTGGGGTGTGATGTCGTCATCCTCGTCCATCTCATCGCCCTCGACATCCATGTCCATATCCACATTCTGGCCTAGCATATATGCGCGTTGATCGCGAGCAGGAGTCGAGATGCCTTGCGCGTCGGCGAAGAACCCTTCCTCCGAGTCGGAGCCTGAGTCGCCGTAGAAGGACATGGATGACGGTGGACGATTGAAGTCGATGTGGGCCGTCGCAGAAGGTAGAAAGAACGGCCTTTCGGCAGCTGGATTAAAGTGACAGTCGAAGCTCGAGTTGGCATGCACGCTCCATCGCGGAGGGCTTGGTGCCGATGGGCGACGGGTGCGAAGCAGAGGAGAGTGTAAAGAGTCATCGGTGAAGGGCCGCACAGGTGAATTGGCAGTGCTCGAACTGTGAGGGATATTGGGATTATAGTTCGTATCAGAGAGTGTACGTTTGAGAGACTTCTTTTGCATTGAATTGGCGACAGTCGTGGTAGGCTTGCTGTTATTCTGAGGAGACGACGTCACAGATCCAGGACGACTGTTGAAAGGACTGTCAAGCGCGCCGCCTTTCTTCTTCATTTTCTTCTTGACCGGCTCACGAACAGCATTCTCCTTCAGTTTATGCGAGGCAGTACGACGGACAGGGATGGGAGGAGACGAAGGGTGAGGGGACGATGGACGGGAAGACTTGAGCTTGAACACTTGCCCTTCAGTGAGGGCGGATGGCAGAGGTGTTTCAAATTGAGACCGATCGGTAGGAGTAGCAGGAGGAGGACTGGGACTCATTCCTATTGAACTGAATTGAAGTTCTTCATCAGCAAGACTAGGTTTGAGTTTCTTGGACATGGATTCGGGATTTGATGAGCGACGTGCGCGTTTGCGGAGGCGGCGATGCAGTTCTTCTTTTGACGTATATTCAGAGTCGTCGAGCTGGGGAAGGGGCGAAGAGGCAGAGACGAGAGGTCGTGCAGTAGTAGAAGTGGGTTTATGCATTCTGTTGCGTTTATGGGCGTAGGTGATTTGTTTGCGAGAGCCGACAGCCATGGTGCGGTGGAAGCGATGACGATAGCAACTGGGGAGAATCAGAAAGACAGGATTCAGGAAGACAGATGGTCTACTTCGATGCAAGAAAGGATGGACGGGGCGAAAAAGCAAAGGATGTAGATTGACGTCGCCGACGTGTCGGTCCGACGCAAGCTTCAAGATCAGCGCTCATATGCTTGTTGCTATTTGGTGGCCCCATATTCATCACACGCCTTCAAGTGGGACAACACTGCACAATTTCGAGACAGTTCTGCTATCTACGCGACATGTTCTACATGAATTGGAACGTGTTGTTTCCCATCCGCAGTTCTGGGCACCAAGGTCAAGCTGAAGCACGGCCTGACTGAATCGTCTCCTGGCAGCGAGAGGACAAAGTGTCGGACAATATCCACGACCACAATCTGAAATTGCAGTATTCTGCATGCAGGTCAGCGTGGGATTTGCAGAGTGTAGATCTGACACGAGCTTACGCGAAACGCCAGCTGCAGTGGTGAGTTGGAAGTCAGCATCCTCGGAGCCTATGATAGGACCTACCCGAGACAAGTACCAGGGCCAGCAAGGAAGCTCAATCTTTGCAGAAGGTTAGTACACCACCGCAAACCAGAATCAGTCCAACCCACAGCGAAGCATGGGGTCCAATCGCAGTCCCACTGCACGGAGATGCTTTCTCGAGCCATCTCGCAGGCCGGAAGTCCCCGGCATCCGGTCCCCACAAAGACTTCAGCCGATTATATGAAGCCAAGCTGACATAAACCAGCTGTCCTTTCTGTATCGGAATCTCCGTGACGCGTTTTCCCGTGTTCGTGACGACCTCTTGGCTCAAGGGAAGTATGCAGTCTTCAGTCGATACACGTTCTGCGAATGGAAGAGCAGCGTAGAGACGGATAGTTTCCTGGTTGGTTTCAGCCTGGGACGCACACAGCGAAGACGTGACGCACGTTGATGATGGTATTCAGGAGTGGCATCGCGTCGTAGTCGACAAACTCGAGCCCCATCTCGGTTCGGCCAATCTCTGCCCGGAGCTCGCTCTGGAGCCCAGGACGTTTCGCGAGTTCGTATACAATCCAAGAGAGCGTTCCGCCCTGTGGGTATCAGTCTGAGGAGAGACGTGAGGCGTCTTCCGGACGTACCGACGTGTCAGCGCCTGCAAACAACATAGTCCGGATGTGGGTCCCGATCTCCTCGTCTGGAGCACCGGAAGTCGGGTCGGAGGGGTCAACGCGGACTAGTCAAGCATTTCGACGAGATCTCCATGGTGCATTTCACGCCACGTACTCATATCACTAAGAAAGCTCCGATCCTCTTTGAATCCCTCATCCTTGCGCTTCTGCTCAATCAACTGGAGTGCCAGATCGTCCACAAGCCGCGCATAGTCCCTGATCGTGGACATGGGCGGGAATGGAAGCCGAGTCGCAAGCCGGAAGACGGGGTCGGGGATGTATGCGAGTACAGCTTCGCCGATCAGGCTTGCTTTCGAGACACGGCTGACGGAATCTCTTTGCGAGGATTGAGCAATCGGCGGCGTGAAGATCGGTGCGCATACATCAAACTACGCTGCTTTGCAGACGTGCTTTCTCCTGCTGTTCGATCGAATGCATGCAGTGGATACTGCAGAATCACTGGATGGTACAGTCAAGCAAGCAGCGAGATGATGTATGCTAAGACACACCGTCGCCTATGCTCTCCATCGCGACATCGTGCAAGCTTCGCAATACATCCACCGTGTTGCCCGGAAACCCAAGCGCGTTCCACGCTTCGACAAGCTGAGGAAGAAACAGTTAGGCATGCGCCGCGACCAAACGACGTCTCACCTTTCTCGCCACTTCCCGAAGGACGGGCTGTGCCTCGCGCACACTCTTCGGCGAGAACGCCGGATTCACGAGACTGCGGAGATATTTGTGTCGATCGCCTAGCACAAAATGAGTCCGAGGTGCACGTCGCAGGAGCTGAAGGCCAGAACTACTCACCCGTCGCCAGGAAGACGGTCCCAAAGCCAAGGAGCATGTTGCCCGCCTTCTGCTGCGAGGCTCCGGACACGAAGATTGGGCTATTGAGGATGAATCTCGCGGTGGCAGGGTCAGAGACAATCAGACGTGTCTCCTTACACCGCCAATCAGCACGAAAAGACAACTTGGAACGAGTGCGACGCGTACTCCGAAACACCCGCTGATGGCGTAGCAAGGGCCAAACGCATCCTGCCACTGGAATTCGTACTCCCCGTATTCCTTCGATAGCAGAAGCTGGAGGAGATTCCCTATGGGCGAGTTGGTGAGCTGGGCGAGGAAGCGGCGCGCTATATCCTACGAACCGAAGAGCCACGACTCGCGTTTCGGGCCCGGTATTGAATCGACTAGGCGGGGTTTCAGCGTAAATCTCCGAGCGAAAGCCCAGAAGCCAGCGATCAGCAAGCAAGAGATGAGGAGGGACATGGGTTATGATGAAGCGAAGTGGGCAAGGACCCTTCTTGACATGGGAAGAGGTGCTTTTGACATAAGTGATAAATAGAGTATATTGGCCGCTTCGGCACCCGCTCGGCGCCGCTGGAAGGACATGATCTTCAATGACGGCGCGAGGGATAACCCCTCAAGCAAATCCAGAGACACGCGAGAATTGGAAAGATTGCATCGATTGAAGCAGGCAAGTCGGCCATGAATGACATCGGATCAAAGTAATTGCTAGCTGCGCATCAGTGATGGCGGGCCTCGTGTCGGCATCCGCCGACTTCGCTAGGCTTTTCCTTTGCAGCCCGACTGGGCGCTCTCATTTTACACACCGCCAGCATGTTTAGCCAGAGGACTTTAAACCTTTTGGGATGTTATATCGCGCAACTGGGCCCGTACGTACTGTATATTGCTATCGTCTACTGACCGAAGGGCGAATTGAGTTTCTCTACCTCGTCGCCACAGCATACAGAAATTGTGAGATTCACTCTGCTCAACTGCGACTTATGTAATAATTCTTCGTCAATGGCTTTCCATGATCGGAGCACAGCTTTCTCCATGAATGCTACGACCGTTCGGTCCATTGTCTCCTTCGTTGTCAGGCATCCGGGGTCTTCAGAACTGCAGGAGCTCCAGAAGACACAGCAGCCAAACCGTCTACATCCATGGCGATTTCTCTTGGACAAAAATAGCCATCATTCATTGTTCTGCCTGTGCTTCAGACATGGCTTGGGTTCCCTTATCTGTCTGGTCAAGCGCACCTCTTTGTCCTTCATTTCCTGCCTGTCTAAGATCGTCCGGTGTAGAGATATAAAGGCGGGTCTATAGATCCAGTGCCCCATTTCCATCCCATCATCTGCTCGTCTACGACGAACCATCTCTGCACACCTGACCACAACCCTCTCACCGACTTACGACCGAACAATGTCTCACAACGTCCCACGCAACGCGCTGGCGCCTACCTCCCACCTTCCTTCCTCTCGTGTGTTACCGCCTGGCTCCATGTTTGGTTCCCTGGAGGATTTCCCCAATGAGGATATCGTCAACGATCTCCGGGCATCTCTCGGAATGCCTCACGACGATGCAAATGATTGGGGCGAGTTTTACGACGGGCGCACACTCGTCTACGAGCGCCCGCCTGCTGCTCGGCTTTCCGGCCGCAACAGCCCGTATTACGTGGAGTCCTCTTCGTGCGCTCGGCCTTTACCTCTCTTAAATCCTAGTGCTGACTCGATCACCCAGCGAATCGGAGGACGAGTCAGACTCTGAGCCCTCAGTGCCCACCAGGATTCCGCAGCCCTTGGGCCCCTCGTACCTCTTGACTCCCGCCGAAGCAATCGAGCGCGTCAAAAACCACCCACTCCCTCCCTACGCTCATTTGATTTCCCAAACATACTGGTCTCTGCTCCAGCTCGGCTGCACCGTCAACCCCAACGATGCGTCGCTCAGCTGCACCTTGAACGGCTGCCGCCACCGCTGCAAACCGAGCGACATGGAGCGCCACATCTGCAGCCACTTCGCGCCCGGTTTCCAGTGCGCGTTCTGCTCCGTCGCCTTTGCGCGAGAAGACGCCCGGGAGCGGCATGTGCGCAAGGCCCACGCGGAGGGCGACGCGCAACGGATGGCTTCAGGAAGCAGTTCTGTTGCCTCGCGCACGGTGAAGCGTCGTCGGGCCAAGGCATACGAACCGTAAGTTGCTCCAAGCTATTCAATATTCATTTCGACTCACTGTCTCTACAGCACAAGCAGCACGAGCCGGCGCACCGCCTCCAAATCAGCTCGCTCCTGAAAGAATACATCACGACAACAATGAAAGAATCTATCTCAATATCCTTCAATTCCATTATCTACTTCTATATCTTTGACCATTGATATAATACATTCCCTTTAATACCCACACTGGTGTGAACTTCGTCTCTTTGACACGTCCACAAGTCTTGATAAGTCCTTGAATCTCAAGACCCTCCTGGATGCTTTTCATCTACCGATGAGATATCTCTGAGACAGCTTGTTTGCGGGTGCGGTACGAATTTGAGTCAGTTAAGCATCACGCTTTAGGCACTCATGCAGACGGATCGTGGAAATCCCTTTCTTCCCCGTCCTCTGACCTTCGTTCTGGTTGATCCAAGCGCGCCGACCTGCTCGACGCCGCAGGGTCTTGGACGTGGCCATGAAGCAGCCTGTCGACGACCGGGACAGCTCGTCTTGATTATGATCAGGTCTTGAGGATTAACAGAGATTTCAAATGCGTGGACCTCTGAGCCGCACTGCTCATCATCTACTCTATCAATATGTATCATCCTTCACTTTTTGAACCATGCATAGCACGTGTCCCAGTTCAACCGTCACGTGGTATTGCACGGTTGGGATTCACATGTAAACGGCACGCGGAACTCGGCCAGTGGCATTTAATTTAGGCTGATATATCGACTGTTACAGTCTATGCGAAGATGCGTTTGGGTATGTAACTAGGTAAGTATGCTTGAGATCGATACAAATGAGTCCGAGATGCTGTCTAGATGCGACTAAATTGTCCTCAACATGTAGATGTCAGATTATTCTTCGGTACAGGCTGTTTGAAATCATCCTTCCAAGTCGTCAAATTCGGATTCGTGTACGCCTCGAGATACCTGATGACGAGCTCAGCATGTGTCAAATCGTAAACTATGGAGAAACCCAGTCCTCACGTGTTAATGTAATCCTGCGTCGGCCGCGCCGCGGTATCGCACCCGACGTTGATCTGGTCCGGCGGCTGGTAGACCCGGATGTAGTCGATCTTCATGACCGCGGGGAACACGAGGTTCTGGAAGTCAATGAACGAAAAGGAGTGCGAGAAGCCCAGATTGACGATGATATACTACACGTGTCTCAGGAAATCTCGAGGGACTTGAGAACATAGACACGCACCATGGGTTCTTCTGTGATGGGTCGAGGACCAATCTCGACACGGGTATCGGCAGCGAAGCCACCGCCGTTGGCAGTCCACGAGATCTTGTTGTCCGCAATCCATGTGATGTACTGCATGATAAAATGAGCCGCAGACTGTGCGACGATGAGCCATCGACTTACCCCTTCATCGTACCCTGGACTGTATTGGAAGCCATACACGGCAAAGCAGTCATCGACTTGCTGGTAGCAGTTCTGATTCGATTCCGAAACCACAGACGAGGCCTGCTGCAAGATTCCACCCGCATAGCTGTTCAGTTGCGAGATAGTTGGATCCGGGATGATTAGATTAGCGGATGTGTTGAACCATTCGTAGTAGGCATTGAATGGCTGTGGTGTGGTCAACGAAAGGAATGTGAGATAAGGGAAGCGGTGGCTTACAGCCCACTGTGCGCTCTGCGAAACGGCTCCAAAGTTGTTCGGCGACGTTCCGGCAATCTGGGCCTCGAACATATCGATTTCCGGTGCGGATCGGCCGACGTACGTCCCGTCCTCGTGCAGAGGGCCGGGATGCGACTCGCCGGAGCACGTGCATCTTGAAAGTCGTTGTCCGGGAAGGAACGACAGCTCGCCGTCGTTGGTTCCGGTGTTGGTAGCCGAGAGAGGCGCGTTGTTGAGAGTCTGGTTGGGGAGTGTCCCAACGTCGCATGCGTCATAACTGTACGGCCACATCCCATCCAGAGTCGCGCCGTAGCCAGCGCGCCCGAGATTTCCCCTAGCAAATTAAGCAAATGAGAAGAGAGAGAAAAAAGAAACCCGCCAACTCACATAGTCCAAACAGCGGGCCACAACCCGAACACGTTGTTAAACCCCGGCAGCTGGACACTGGTCACGATGAGACCACCGGTAAAGCAGAACTTGAAACATGAATTTCGACGCCAGAAGACAATAAACCAAGACGCACTTTGTTCCAGGTCGTCATCATCCCACTGGTGTAGTTCAAATCGTGATTGATAGTCGGATCGGGCGCTTCAGACAGCGTGATGTGCAGCGAGCCGTTTTTAGTCGTTAGGGCCTTCGGGTCATACCATTCGAGATCCCCGGTGGACCAATAATGGAGGTCACCGGCCTCCCTATGATCGAATTGGTTAAACGATGACGATGCGCTATTAAAAAAATAGAAGGCACCAGTACGGATCATCCCCGGGATAAAAGGACCTTCCGTCTTGGTTGAACTCATCGCTGAACACGAGTTGGAGCTCCTGCGACGGGTCATGGTACCCGTATATCATGTGCAGATCCTGTAGAGCGGTTAAGATGCAAGGATAGTCATCATCTCGTAACCGACGGACCTGCGGCGTATCCAAGTCAATCAATCCGAAGTTGCCCATGCTTGCCACCTGGCCTGTCGCATTGACAGTGGTGGCAACTGCCAGATTCTGCCGCGTCTTGTCGAAATGTGAAACCAGGGGATACCCTAGACTATATGCGCGCGCTGTCAGTCATACACCGATGGGCGCTAACAGGACGACAACTGACAAGAGCGCGACAATGCAGGCTGCCATAATCAACAGGCACCCCAGATTCTGCATCCCCCGACCGGTGAAGATGTTGCGCGAAGGACCACGATCGAGGCGGGGGTCGGGATTGTGCAGCGCGTCGTCCGGCTCCGGACGGAGATCCGTCGCCCACATTGTTGGGTCGCTTGCGAGGTCAAACTAGACGGAGTCGGCTCAATAATCAAACACCATTGAGCGATGCCACGCACCTTCTCGGCCATCGAATGGGTGTCCGAGGAGCCACTAAGCAGACTGCTCCTTTGCGACGAGGCGCCGAAATGCGATTGCATCGAGCTCGGACGGCTGGCTGCGGACTGAGGGACGCTCGCTTGCGGCGGAAGGAGATTCGATGACGAGGTAGTGCGGGACGAAGACTGATAGGGAGTGGGGTACCCTGGCCCGGACCCAGGCCGCGCTTGGCCGTACATCGTGCGTAGGGTTGAAAGGGAAGAAGAGGAGAATCGTCACTAGTGGACGTGAAAGAGAAAGGCAGTGGCGGAACGTAAGAAAGCTGTGACAACGGGAATAAAGTCTATCCCAGCACCGCTCCGCAGGAACTCGAAATAGTCTCTTGGCCTTGCTTTGAACCGGCTAAAAATAGCTGTGACATCACATACACATGCTATCGATGTCTCAGATCGCTTCTGCCGGTTCGGCACGAGAGTGAGCGGTGCTAGCATCACTGTCAATCAGATATAGACTTGAGTACGAGCCTAAGCCTCATCAAAATTGACCAAAATCGGGTTGGGCTGCAAAGTGAATCGAGAGAAGTTGAGAGGCCACTAATTACTTGTAAACATGCAAAGTATTTTACACAATATGGACTAATCGATCACTTCAACTTATGAGATGAATGTCAGAAAAGGATTTTTTCCGATGGCAGTTTTTCTGGCAGATGATCTACAATGTCCGCGCTCTATATCTATTGTATGTTGCACCTCATTCATGGTTTCGTAGTGTAGCGGTTATCACACAAGATTCTGAGACGCTTTGCGTTCTTGAGATCCCGGTTCGACTCCGGGCGAGACCTTTTGGACCTCCCCTCCTTGCAACTGCAGCCTTGTTTTGCCCACCAGGCTTGATTTTTTCTCCTTCCCTATATTTTCTTACTTGATGTTCTTTCTCACTCTTCACGGTATTGTCGATGCGCCCCTGCATGCCAATTCGCTCCCACGGCCCGTGCGCAGGTGGTTGCCAATCGGGTGATGTGTGATCCCCGTGCCGTAAGATAGCATACACTAGCACTGCCACCCATCCCACGTTCGTGGGACTGACCGAGAACGTTTATCGCACTATTCACTTAAGTGCGTCTCTCGTTCTCGAGCACCCGCAAGGGCGTTTTCGGCCTTCCCTCTCGCGCACAAGCGACAATGCTGGCACTGTCCATCGACCTCCTCCTCCTGCTCGAAGAAACACGCGTCCAGGCGTTGTCTTTCCTGGGTCTTTGCGCGGCGTACCTGCTTCTCTCGCCGTTCTGCCGCAATGTACGACAAGCTTCGTGGATCGTCACGACAATCGCAGCGGCGGTCGTCACTGCGTTTAGTCTGCCCTTTGTGTGGGACTATCTCGGGGGCAAGGGGAGCGTCAATGCGCTGTTGCCCCGCACCGCGCTCGCGGTTGGGGTCAATCGCTTCTTTCAGGTATGTGGAGAAATCCCCTCGGTCTTCATAGCGTTCTCACCTTCGGTGTAGGGCTACCTCTCATCGTGCGTGATGTTCCTGTACGGCCGTCAAGTGGGCTGACTCTTGAACAGGGATCTCTTTCTCGGTGTTCTTTGCTACCGCTCGGAGGTTTCGTTCCTCACCGGATGGCTCCACCACACGATCTATCTGTTCATAACTCAGCTCGCCATTAGAGCAGACTGGGCACATCTGTTTTGCTTTGCTGCGTTCATGGAGGTCCGTTCGGCCAACCAAACCCCTACACTTTCATAAGCTGATCCGGTCGTCTGCGTAGTTCCCCACCGTGATCCTCGGCGTCGGCAGCCTCGTACCACAGATGCGCTCGAACATCCTGTTCGCTGCAACCTTCTTCGTGACCCGCATCGTGTTCCACTCTGTGCTGATATGCACCTTCGCCATGCCTCAGTACCGGCCGAGCGGGAGCTTAGTTCCGTCCGGCATCCTCGTTTCTGTGCTTCCATTACATCTTCTGTGGTTCTCGGGCTGCATCCAGGGCTTCCTTCGGCGAGCGAAGGCCCGCGCTGCCGCCCCGCTGGCTGCGCACACCGATACCAAGAAGCTTCTGGTGCACATGGCCTCCCCCCCTCCGCTTGTCAGCACCCGTCCGAATGCCCTGCACCTGCGTCGCCTGCGGGTGCGGGTGGGCCAGTGGGGCCCTCGCGCGATCCTCGAAAACGCCAAGGCCCACGTGGACAACAAGAACTGGGTCGAGGGTGTCCGGGACGGGAGCCTGATCGATGGGTTCCGAGACAGGATGCTCGAGCGGATGCGCTCGCGGCTGGCTTCGAGACGGCCTATTCGGCCTCGCGCTCTTGCCATGGGCCGGAGAATGAGTGCCGGGCTGATCCAGGTTTTAGTTCCTGGCCGCGATGTCGTCTTGGACTACGTTGGGCTGGGCCGCACTTCATAGCCAGCTAATTGGCTGCTAGATTATGATCCATGTCGATGTTCTGGGATGCTGGATACAGCACTTGATGTTTTCGGATAGATGTTGCCAGCGTTGGCATAGATTGTAGTACCTACTGGGTACCCACTTATATCCTTTACGACCTCTGTAATGACATTCATGATCAAGTCTTTTGTAATCTCACAGATCAATGCACCTGATATCAGTTCTGATCGGATTTTGAAGATTAGTGCTTGCCGAAGATCATCGATCATTCGTCGTTAACTAGGACCGATAGTAATGTCCACGGAAGCAACTGGGAGCTCTATCTCCCACCTCAAGATTCCAAACATTTACTTCGCACGTTCCTTGACTCCCGATACGTATGGAACGATTCCAAGTTGAGACGGCTCATCCATATGAATCCTGAACGACCTCGGACATCGTGCACCTCACCGCAAGCCCTCAGTCACCGTAACGGCGCATTCGATTGGTTTGAGAAGGAGATAAAGTACCCAGATGAAACGGCTCGGTGCGCACGCCCTAGGATCAGCGATTCCATTACGTATTCGGGTCTGTAATTAGTATTTGCCTTGCCTATCCTTCCTCGAGCTCGGCACTCGGACGATGTCGAGCACACGCTGTCGCCTCCGTCCCTGATTTTCTTCTCCTCCTACCAACCAGGCGCCTGTCTTCGTCGTCTCCACTGGCAACGACGCCGCCGCCGCCAGTTTCGTGCTTCCCCCAGCTCATCATTATGAAACCCCCCACCGCAGCCGCGGTCGAGATATTCAAGCTCATCGAGGCGGAGCGCGCGTACGCCGTCGCCGAGGCGCACACGCAGTGCAACGCGTTTCGGGAGACCGCAATCAGGATGAACGGCGAGCTCGACACGCAGGTGCGCCAGACGAGCCTCGAGCTCGATCGGCTGGTGCAAGCGCTGTGCGCGGCGGGGATCCGGTACGAGGACGGCCGGTTCTCGTTCTCGTCGGCGTGGGGAGAGGCTGTGCCTGGGCTGAAAAGGGCTGCGTCCCGCTTTTTTGCGCCGTGCGAGGTGTTGTCGGTGCTGCAGGGTGCGAAGAAGAGTCCCCGAGAGGGGGCTGACCATGGCAACGATGGTGCAGGTGGATCTTTACCTGACCGTCGTGTGATCTTGTGTCTGAGTTTGTTTCAGATGCTATGGAGGAGGAGGATTCCGAAGCGGAATGTGCTCGTCCCTTGAAAAGATTCAAGTCAGAGCCGGCCATACTGAGAACGCGAGGTACCACGGCTTCGCTCACGGGTCTCCGGTTTCACGGGCTGACATCTTCCTGTCTTAGGGCATATCTCCAAAGTCGGAAACTCGGCCATACAGATGTTTCCTGTTTGCGTTTCCGGACCGCCAGTGCTGGATCGTTGGTCTCCTGCCATCACATCGGCACCTTCATTATCGGAACCCACGCTGCTCCCTCCTGTATCCATCTTCGAAGGAGCCCACGGCTGCTCTTACTACATCTGGTTCGCCCTGCGCTTTTCGTTCCTACACAAGCTGCGGTGCGGTGCCAGCCTCGACTGTTTCTCGCCACTCTCCCCGGCTGCCTGGCAAGCTGCGCTCAAGACGTGCCCGGCCGCTGCCGCTGAAGAAGGCTTCAAGCCGCCTATGTTCGACCTCGGATCGCAGTCGCCCTGCGCTTGTGGCATGCCGCCCCTTCAGCCGGTCATCGTCGCAAGTCTCCCCAAACGAGCAGACGGATCCGCGTTCTCCGCTGTCGACTTCGCGGACCGGGCGTTCCAGCAGCTTTTGTTGGTTGATCTCGAGCTTGGGCATATGCAGATTCAGCTGGAGCAGACGGATGCCATGTTGTGTGTGTCGTCACCGCCGGCGTCTCCCTCGTCGCCGTTGTGGCAGTCGCCGGGAGATCCAGACGCAGCAAGGACTCGTGTCAAGGAGCGACGAGCGATCTTCCGCAGTATGACATTCGGCTCGTCATTTGCTGAGGAGTCATTCGAGATGGCCGAGAGGCGAGACTGGGTGCTTCGATTCGCCAAGGTGGTGAAGAACTGGCCTGGGTATGATGCTGCTGTGGGGGCCAATGAAAGCCGGGACTTTGAGTCGCGGTTGATTCGTTTCTATCTGCAGACTGTCTGGGATACACTCGGGGTTGAGCCAGCCCGCGCGAGGCTACGCCCAATGCAGGATTCGCTGCCGGTGCTTTGTCGGCACTTGATGTCGATTGAATTCTGACTTTCTATGCATGTGCATAAGTAGCACTGAACTATCAATTACATACTAGAATTCCTGTGCTTGTGTCACAACAAATTTGTGTCTCAGAGCCTGAGTGTCCGGTCACGTGAAATTCAGGTGATCGTGTCGACTTGCACTCTTTCCACTTACGAAATCACCCTGGGGAAGTGCTGATATTTCCCAGTCCGATCGAACCATCTCGCCATGAGGAACACTTCTTGTCTTGAATTGATCTGGCTGATATCTCTTAGACCCGTCAGCAGGGCTTTGCATCCTCCAGTTCCCAGTCCTGTGGTCACCGTTTCTTCATCACAGGGACCCCCTGGTGGCTCTCTAATCCGAAGGCGGCGATGTCTTGAAGGAGCTGAATCCTGTGGCACAGCATGAATTCATTTCCCCGGAAAAGTGCATCGGCCAGAGAGACGTAGCGGGGCACTGGTTCCACGAGGTGTGCAACTTATGTATTCACCTCCCACGTCGCGGCATCCAGAGCACGGGTTGAGAGCGCCACCGCGCAATGCTGTTCTGGTGACCTCGAGGCCAGTTTGACTGACTCATATAAAGGTCGCCGCTGGTCAGCAGCCGTCCCAGAGGGCAAGCCCTTTCCCAGGATATGCCCGTCGTCGATTCGCCCTCTGTCGGGGGGGCCAAGCAGAAACGGAAGTTGAAGAGGATACTGTCTTCAGCCTCGGACGTATCACAGACCGTTGTCGGCATCGGCGCAACGGCGAGTAGCGCACTCCCTCCTCTGCAATGCGCTCTCGCCGGTGTCGCCGGCGTGATTGATGTGTGCAAGGTGACCTGGCTCCTTGGGGCAGTCCATCGACGGGTGTGCTTACGTTTTTTCCAGCGTGTGACCAGCGTCAAGAAGGATGCGCGTGATGTAGCTGCGCGACTTGCGCAGACCGAGTCGTTCATCGATCAGACTGCGTCTCTGGACCCGTCCCGCCAGGCTTTGTGCTGCGCGCAGCTTCCAGCTTTGGCCGAGTGAGTGGGGGCCGACGGTGCTTGATCCGTACCGACTAGACTGATGCGCGCGCACAGAAACAGACGTCTTTTGCGGCGCGTGGCAGATTCTAGTGGATTTGATCGGACAGTCCACTTGAACGACTTTGAGAAGACGATCAAGGATGGTAATGAGCAGTTGCGCGATGCACAGAGTATATTTCCGGTGCGCTACGGCATAAGATATCCCGCGTGACGAATTCGATCGGCTCACATGGATGCTTCTCTAGATGCTTCTGAGCCTGGGTACGCTGTCGGGCTTGTGCGAGATAAAAGAAGAACGGACACAGCTTGATGTCAGTTTTGAACTGGCGAATACACCTCAAGTAGCACTCATATTCGTTTTCAGCACCGACTGTCTGAAGTGATGGATACTCTGGCCCAGTCAAACCAGATATTGACTCAAACGAACCAACGTTTGGTTGAATCCGATCGAGCTAAGGATGGCGAAATCTTGCGATTAGCGTACCAACGAAACGTGAGTTTGCGTGATACTAGGCGCCAATTGGGCGATGTTGACGACAGTGATCCACAGTGCGCAGTTGTTTTTTTGGGTCGGCCCTGACGTGCATCCTTTCTCCAAAGGCGTTACACACTGGCCTGAAATTTGAAAGACTGCGCTGCGTGAAGCGTATGCCGAGGCTCATCCGTCCGGCATCCGCTTCGCGCAGCCTTTTAAATTTCAGGCCAGTGTCACTACTACGCTGGGTTTGCAAGGATGACTGGACGGAAATCTTACGCTTTCCCTCCTCGCTTGATCCCAGTTGATTAAGTTTGGGCCGGAAACGTCTGAATTCTGCTCAGTGACTAGGTTCCATGGTTTCACTCATTCAATGGACGGATGAGCAGGGCTCGGCCTGGCCTCAGGGCTGGGCCAAAAAACGTCCATATGCTTCCATACGAGCAATTGTTGATCCACATACACACATATTATGCATAAAGACGGCGCTACAGGCACACAACAGGAGGGTTAGAGACAGGCCAAGATCTGGTATTACATATTTGTGGAATCACTAGATTAGCATCCGCACACCGCTTCATTCACACTCAGAGAGGGAGCCGTCCCCCACCAGCGACACCGCCAGCCCCAGAGGCATCGCCCCCCAGGAGCCCAGCCGGCCCTGGCTGGCCGTCTTCTCGGATAGTCTCAGGGGGACCATGATGATGCTTCCGACCCCAGAGGCCAGCGATGCCGCCCTTCTCAGCAGCAGCAGCGACCCGATCCTTGCTGGCACTGCGTTCCCGACTGGCGCTCGAGCTGCGGTCGCGGATGTTGCCCGCACCGCCTCGGCCCGAGCTCTCGTAGACGCCGGGGTGGTGGACGATGGTGTCGGGCGCGGGGCTGGGGGACGCCGTGAGGTTCGCTAGGCCGCCGCGGCCTGTCGAGTGTCTTGCATGGGACAATCAGAAGGATGAAACACAGTGGGGATCCGAAGACTACGCACATTCCCTCGGCGGCACCAGGAGTCCGCCCGCGCTCAAACGCCGGCGCAGGCCCGGGCGTGATATTGCCCACGCCGCCGCGGCCGCTCGAGTGCACGACGGGGGGGAGCGCCACGGTGTGCGTCGTCGACGGGGCGAGCGTCGAGTCGGGCCCCCGCGAGCGCGAGCGGCTCATGTTCCCCGCGCCGCCGCGGCCGGTGGAGTGCACGACGGTCTGCTCGAGCTGCGAGTGCGCGCGCATGAGCTCGCGCTCGGCCGGGACGCGCACGTCCTGGTTGTCCGTGGGCTCGCGCGACGGGGAACGGAAGTTGCCCGCGCCGCCGCGGCCGGTAGAGCGGATTTCGGAGATGGACACGGGGGGCTCGCGCCCACGTGTGTCAGAGAAGTCGTCCGGCCCCGTGGTGGGGCGGTCGCGCGAGTTGGATGGTGGGCGCATGTTGCCGAGGCCACCGCGTCCAGATGAAGTCTGCGGCACGGACCAACGAGTCAGGTGAGACCGAGGAACGAAAACAGAGATTGCTGAGGACGTACGACGAACTCTCGTCCACGGGAGGTAGAGCGATCGGTCATGGTTCTGCGCAGAGAGATTGGTGGGTGAGGTATGTCAAAGAGCTCGGTGGAAGTGCAATGGGAGAGGGGTGAAAAAACAGGGGTGTTTGGATCAGCGCCATACTGGCGCTATATAACGGATCTTGACAAGTGAAAGTGGCAAGCAAAAGGTGATTCATGACGTATGGGCACAGTCCGATCAAAAGGCACGCCATCGGCCAACTTTTTCAGAACGAGCAAACAGGTGAAAGTAGCAGCCCAAGCGGGAGCAATGAATCATGGGGTACGGTCATTTGCCTGAACATTATGTGACTTTGCGTCAGCTGTTTTTTCCCCAAAGTAAAGCCCGAGTGCACTATAAAATGCCCACCGCAACACGGAGATCTGAAAACGAACGCTAACTTGTCCTAGATCCGAACGCTGACCCGCGTCTAGTCCATGGCCGGACAGTTGGACAGACACCTGTCATCGTCGCATCAGCTGAAGGAGCTATCATGCTCCCTATGCGCATGCACTCACCGAGTCAACAAATTTTCCAAGCCTTTTCGGCACAGATCGGGAATTATCTATGATGACTCATCCCAAATGATCCGGGTTGAACTGGTGCAGACTCCTGCCTACTCCTGCCTCTGATCGATAAACGTTCAGTGGGCGACCAAACGCTTTCTGACGGAGGTAAGCACGCTGGATCCATCAAATCCAGATCGCACAACATCAATAAAATGGATTGTCTGTACATCTGTGTCATATGGACGACACTCCATTCCATTCACCGTCCCTCTCTCATGCAAATGGAATCCAACTTGACTATCTGATTCATCACCGAGCTTTCAGTCAATCCAATTTCAAGCGGCCCGAACACAGGCCAGACTTTGACAGCATCTTCGACGTCCTCCATCTGGTCAATGCAGCCTTGTTGATGCACACAGTGCATTGCTTTCCTCAGATTCAAAACCATTCAGGTTCGATTTGATGACTTGTCAGACTACACAGGAGGTCCAACATTCCATGGTGAGAACCCAGTAGACATCAATGTTCAAGCAATGTCAGGCCTGATCAATATGCTGTCTCTTGTGCCATGTAATGTCTAACACCAAATCTAGTTTGCAACATAGCCGTAATACAGAGGATAGAATTTCCAGCTAGAATACTGTGGAAGAATCCCAGATCAACGCAGATAGAGAATTACAAGAATTTAACTATGAAGGTGCAGCTTGAGAGTTGAGCGGCAGAATCCAAAAGCTGGCCGACAGCCCACCACTGAGTAGCAGGCCTCAAGAATCATGCAATGCCGAGATTCGTATTTCTGCCAAAGATTACAACAGATGTCTACAGCACTATCCAATCTAATCACGAGCAAGCGGCATTGGTGCACGGGATGATGTTCTTCAGACTGGTCGTCGCGACGTTCATCTGGTACGGGCTCGCGCGGTTCTTCGCATGCAGGTTGACGGGCGCAGGGAGCTTGTCGACGGTCAACTTGGTGTCCAGCCCGGGGCGGAGGAGGACGGGGCGGCCGCTGACGCCCACGGCCGACACATTGGGCGCGGGGAAGTTCTGGAACTGGTACGGGTCTGTCCAACGCGTCAGAACAAGCCCTTCCGAGCTGCAGTGAGTTTCTTGGACGTACTCAATGGCCCGTTGAAGATTCCGGTCAGGTTGAAGTGCGGCACGTGGCTGGTTTTGGTGTTGGTGTATCCGATTTCCTGTGCGACGAAATCGAACACTTTGGCCACAGTCTTGTTCGTGTCCTGCCGGCCGAGAGACTGCAGATCCCAGTTCGCTTGGACAGTTGAGATGAGCGAGTAGTGCGTGTACAGGGTGGCATCCTTGGTGCCCTTCAGCTTCGCCGGGATCGCCGAGCCTGGTGCTTATAAGCGGAAATAGCCTGGTAGAAAGAGTGAACCGACCCAAGGCGACGGTGTAGACCGTGTTCTGCTCGCTGTACGTCTCCGTCTCGTCGAAAGTGAGCAGAATCAGAGTCCGGTCGCCGTTGACCCGCGTGTCAGACAGCAAAGGAACAAGCCAGTAGTCCAGGAACTCAGCCGCAAAGTCGATCGTCGTGTCGTGCGCATCGTTGACCTAAGTTTCCGGGCCGTCAGATCTGAGGAGACGTTCCCAAAAAAGACAAAATCACCATATTCGGCGTGACGAACATCCACTGAGGGAGTGTTCCGTTCACCGCATCATTCGCAAAGTCGTTGAAGGACCGAATGCGCTTGACGCGCTCGGCATCGCCGGCGACCGCGTCGTAGATCATGGGTGGATTGTGCTTGCGCATGTAGTACGTGTACGGGCTGAGACCCTTGCCCAGGTAGTCCGGGGCCGTGTAGCTGTGCGCGCGCGCGCGATTGAGCCCCATGCGAACGAGCGCGCGAGATAAGGAGATAGGTAGACGGACCTGTAGCCGAAGAAGCCGTCCGTCGGGATGCTCTCCTGATACGCGGCCCACGAAACGCCCTTCTCCTCGAGCAGATCAATCACGGTCGTGATGTTGGACGGGATGTGCACGAAGGTGTCGTCGCCGGCGCCGAAGAAGTCGCCGCCCATGGAAGCGATGTCTGGAGAGAGATAAAGGGATGAAATCTGTTGCGGCGATGGAGCACTCACAGTTGGGCTGGGAGGGATGCGTTACGGAGTTGTAATCCGTGAACAGTATCCCCTCCTTTGCGAGCTTCTGGAAGGTGGGAGTGGCCGCAGCCGTCTATCTTCCGTTTCAGTACCCATACTATGCGAATCAGTGCATCCGGGATGTGACCCACAGCAAAGTCCGTGTTCTCAAGCCACACGATCATAATGCGATCGAACACCTTGCCTGCCACGGTCACTTTATCATCGAGCGTCGAGTTCGAAAACGCGGTGTAGTTGGCAGTCTGAACCAGCGGGCCGCGGGGGGACGGCGGGGCGAATGCTTGCGAGACCGCTGCCGAGGCGGACCTGATCGAGGAGGCAGCAGCGAGCAGCGAGACGAGGCTCCGCAGCGATTGCTTCATGGCTGTGATAGAAGTGAGGGGCAATTACCGCATCCACTGCAGGTCCCCGCCGAGCTTTAAATAGTTTTCAGTAAATCAGAGTCGCGTGGATGTCTTCGAAACCCGTTTGTGGCGACGCGCTCCATGTGATGGAAGGAAGCAAGGTCACATTGGACGCAACGACGGCCAAACAACAAGTTGGCAGATGAAAAAATCAATGATGGGTGTTCCGCACACGGCAAAGCAACGTTCGTAGCTTGTCTATTTTTACAGACAGAAATGCTCTTCCTTGAGACGGCGGCCTTGTCTAGGCACAAAGGTCTCTGCAATATACTGTTGCGGCTTCCGGATGTCCTCGGAGTCGGTGGGTATTTGCTGTATTCGCACCGCCAGGAAGACTTCATGACGCGGACAAGAGAAGATGTAGATGACATGATCTTATATGTCGAGTCGGACCGGCATTAGGCAGTTGAAAGTGACTACCAGCATGCACGGCCGGCCTGGAGAGTAGAACAGAAGTGGAACTCGAGCATTGCAATTTGATCTAGTAATCTCGGCGGGTCGCAATGCCAATCCATCGGGTCACCTGACAAGCCACTTGGCAGCCTAATTACTCGGGATGCATAGTCTCCTTGAAGCAGACTACTCACAAGGCCTTTCGGTAATCGAAACTTTGATCGGGCCATAGAAGTCACGAATGTGCTGAGCGTAACGTCTGCCTTGGGGAGACTAGGGACGCACTCCATTGGCCAATTCTAGTAGCACTGGTAGCAACACAGCTGGGGTTAGCTCACTCACATTTGATGGATGACAAAATGCAAGACTTGCATAACGATCATGCACTGCACGTATCTGCGGGTCAATGCACAGCGCTGAGTTGGCAGGGCGTGGGTGACACACATGCGTCCTTGATTGGCGCATGGAGCGTGCTGGGAGGAGTGAGATAGCAAGATCGGCTCGGGGTGTCACTGCGTGGACATTGGCAAGAGCTTTGTCAGTTTCCCAGAAATCCTCGACGCTCACTGAGGCTACGTATCATGATGTTCAGTCATTTGACGAGGTCGCCGATCTTTGGGAACCAGACCCGGGAGTCACGAAGTGAAAAACGGCGATCTCTGTCATCTTCCGGAGGAGCTCGGGAACGGGCTGCTGCAAGAGAAAACAGTAAAAGGACAGTGCGAGTGAGCAGCCGGGTGAGATCTCGCATCATCCAGCTAGTACGTTCACAAAGCAAGCCGGATCGAACGTAGAACAGACACGAACAAGAGAGAAAAGAGCAAGTTCCCAATCAGCGTGACGGTCACACAGCGTCGTCGTCTCCCCATCTTCCACCTCCCATCCATCCACGCTACACGAGCACCATGGATCCCGTCGTAGGCAACGAGTCTCCGCAGCCGCGCACGACCACGACCATCTTCAACTCTTTTCTCGGTCGCGGACGGCCGAGGAACCACTCCCAGTCCCACAACGCCGCCGCCGACCTAGGATTGACGCTGAACACGAACACCATCAACAACGCCGCCCGAGAACTCAGCCCGTCACCTCCCTCGCCGATCCCGACATCCGCGGTGACCCAGCGCCGCCGGGGACCACCCACAATGGGCGTCAGCGTGAGCCCCAGCACGACGCAAGCGGGCCTCCACCTAGGACACATGCTCCGTCGAAGGCGGAGCGCCAGCAACGTCCAGCCGCAGCCACCAGCCCAAGTGCAGACGCCGGGACAGGGAGGCCCTCCTGCCGTGCCGCCTGCTGCGTCGCAGGCCCAAGCACGCACGGCGCCCATCCCATCTGCCACCTTATCCTCCCCGCATCCCGCCACAGGTGCTTCGGCCGCTGCTGCCGCCGGGTCACCCTCGGGTACAGGACATCGGCTTCGTCTCGTCCCGCACATCGACTCGAGGCGCTCGCTGCGGTTCGATCCCATCACGCGGGAGCTGCGCGGGTCCGATCCCGCTTTGCGGATTGGGCGGTTCACAGATCGGTCGGGGATAGGTATTGCTGCGGTAAATGCGTTGAGCACGAACAAGATCGCGTTCAAGAGCAAAGTCGTGAGCCGTGCGCATGCTGAAGTCTGGGTCGAAGAGGGGCAGGAGAGCGGGCCAAAGTTCTTTATACGTGATACGAAGAGCAGCAGTGGCACTTTCTTGAACCATGTTAGGCTCAGCCCTGCGAACACGGACAGGTGTGTTGGGTGCTGAACGCGGACATCGATGCTCATGTACTGCAGCCGGCCACACCAGATCAAGGACGGCGACATTCTCCAACTTGGCGTCGACTATCAAGGCGGCGCTGAGGATATTTACAAGAGCGTCAAGATCCGTATCGAAGTTGGGCGCGAATGGCAAACCCAGGCCAACGCCTTCAAGTGTGTGTTATCCCGTTGCTCCCCCATGTGAACTCACATCAGCACAAAGCACTGCAGCCTTGAAGAATCTCCGCTCGTTGGGAGTGACCAGCGATACGGAGGCAAGCAGCAAAGCTGCCACGTCTGGCAAGAGCGGGCCACCCCCAGTTGCCAGCGGGATACCCGACTGCTGCATCTGTACGTCGTTCCTGGTGGCGCACACGGGTGCCTTATCTGACTGAAGCTTGATGTACAGGTCTCTTCCCTGTGCGGCTTCATCAGGCTGTTTTCCTGGCGCCGTGCTCGCACGCGTTTCATTACAAATGTATGCGCCCGATGCTGGACTCGCACCATCCCGCTTTCAAGTGAGTCGTTTGATGTAGCATCGGACGTTTCCCTCATCCCGAATAGTTGCCCGCTGTGCCGTACTTTCGCTGACCTCAACGAGGAAGTGGAGATCGATAACGAGGAAGAGGTGCGTGTCTGTCAATCTCCCTGCCGACGTTCGCTCACGATCTTTTTCAGGATGAGGAATTCGAAGACCCCGGGTCTTTCCCGGCTGAAGCTGCAAAGGACACTGTTACCGAGACCTCAAACCCGCTTACTTCGCTTGCGGCCCAAGCGACGCTGCACCCGGGCATCGTGCACACCACTCTCGGACAGATTGGCGAGATGGGGGAGCTTGTCGGTGATGCGGAAGGTGTGCTGGCTGACGACCTCGAAGAAGCCGAGGAGGGGGACGAAGTCGAGGAGATGTTCACTGGGCGCTCGCGGATGATGGCGGGAGCGGGTGCGGGCGCGGAGACCGAAGTCGAGGAGGAGGGTCCTTCAGCAGGGAGGTGAGCCGCCCCCCATGCTCCGAGTTCCGGGCGTGTGGCCGTGGCAGTCGTCTGACGGTTGGACGCGTCACACGCCGGCCCCCCACCCGCCCTCGTCAGTCACTGACTCTTGTATTGGGCGTGATCAGACGGCTCTCGATGCACGTGGTGGCGGACGAGGAGGCGTCCCGGGCAGGACGTTCGGCGTCGGCGATGGACGTCGATCATGACGGGGACTCGACCGGCGAAGGCTCGGCCTCTGGGTTCGGAGAGGGCGGGGTTGTGCAGGTTGCGATGGGCATGGGCAGCAAGCGGAAGCGGTAGATATGCGTGGGGATAGAGAGCAGCAGCCGTTTGCGGGCTGCGAGAACTTGGATTCATGGGATTGTTTACTTTACGACGGCGGACATGTATCTCTGTGATGCGGGCGCCGATATTTTGCTTAATGTCGCTTTCTTTATTCTGTATCACGGTCCTCAGTGAGAGAGATGTCATGGAGCTACACGCAGCACTCTCGAGCTTACCATGTGTAGCATGCGAAACACCCGAGCATAGTCTGTAAAAAGCTGCAGGCAGAATAGACCGGTCGACGATCCACTGTCCGGCGCTCGCTGTGCGATCCGTCCCTGCATTTCATGGGCCATCCACCTATCCATCGGGCAGGTGCCTTATGTAAACGGCTCCCGGCTCACCGGGCCGGACCTGTATCCCATGGAAGTATTTTCCTGTCGAGACTCGATTGAGACCCGTGGATATGAAATTAGGCTTATTTCCGTCTATCTCTCTCCGCTGCGACCTTGATCCGTACCACGTGAAGCCTGGGCAACTTTCATCTCCGAGCGCAAGGTTCCTCAATCCGGGTTCCCGGGCGGGACGAAATGGGATTCGCTTTTCGAGTTGAGACAGAAACTGCAACGGACCCAATATTTACTCGTAGATGATCTCCCCCACGTTCTGATCGCACAGTTTCCAGAATATCGATGGGAAAATCCAGAACCAGTCCCTTGTTGCACGTCGCTGAACAGCGGACTGACTGCGATCCGTGCTTCGAGAATAATCAGGTCGCGGAGCACGCCACCAACTCTCCGCCTGGTCTGATCGTGATGGGGGATACATACGGTACCGGTCGCTCGAGATACGAGGTGGGGCCGAGGTTTAACACTCGCAGCAAGTCCTGAAAAGGTGCCTAGCTTCAATATTAATGATCCCGAACTCGGCGTAAGTCAGATCTGCCGTGAGGGCTGGGGTTTGGTTGGGCATCGAGGGGAACCAGGGTACGCCTGCTGATTGCATATTACGTCCGTAAGATCTTCGAGCGTGTCGCGAAGATTTTTTTTTGAGAACATCTTGTTTTCTAGGGTCCCGGTTCCCAGTGCGGGAATCCTAACATGCAATTAACTTGGATCGGTTTATCTCGGCCTCGTTATCAGCGTTCAAGAGATGGCCGCTTTCTCAAGGCCGCACGAGTCCATTCCTCATCATCCCCTTTATTCGATCTGGACCGTGGCTGCCATGTTGGGCTCGTAATCCGGAGATATTCGGTGTGATACTTGGTGAGATTCTGGATCTGCAGATCCCCCCTCTCTTCCAGCCCACGGCTGCGTCCATTTTCCGGAAAGTTGATCATGCGCGCACCACGATTTGATCGCGCCTGGTAAATGCATGTTTACCACTGATTGATGCATACTCTCAACAGTTGGATCCGTCTCTGCCAGTCAATACGAAATTGTTGGGCATGCAAACGCAGTAGGGTTGTATATTATTATCTGTAGTATATTAAGCATGTGTCGCTCTCCAAGGCAGCAGCAATATCAATATTAGGAGCGGCTGGTATCCACCACAAGCATCTTCAGGTGATAAACACAAGATCGCGCGCTGAAATCTTATCAGCTGTCAACAACTAAAGGCAATGTGACCTGGAGCTACCTGCAAGCGCACTCGTATCTCCCACGAGGCGCTGTTTCGTCGCCTGCTCCAGGACGCGCCATTTCAGGTCCTCCCACTCGCAATGTGCCTTCCGGAGCTGGAACGGATCTGGGATGCAGAAAAAGACGATGCGCGGGTCCATCCATCCGAGCACCTCAAGCGCTGAGACCAGCGCACCCCGGATCGTCGCTTCGGGCCTTTCGGTCAGCAGCAATGCCGTGGACATCAAGCCACGCGGAACTTCCCGCAAGGCACAGACCCGGAGTTTCCGGCAGTCGCGGAGGAGCCGCCGCACGGAAGCGGCGATGCGCCCGCTCTGCGGCTGGCCGGCGCGGAACGAGAGGTCGAGCGAGATGTGCGTCAGCGTGGGGGGCAGCGCCTCCCAGTGCCACAGGGACCAGTCCTCCCAGATGTTGGTGATGTTGAGGTGCGTCACGCGGCTGAAGACGGGGCCCTCGAATGGGTAGCGGTCGGTCGGGTGCGGGTGCGTGATCCCGTGCCAGACGGATATTCGGCGCGGCTGGATCGCCGCAAGCGCGCGGGCGACGGAGAGCGGGGGCGCGGAGATCTGGCTCTGTGACGGCAGGAACCACGTCGTGAGGTTGTCGATCCCCGTGCAGACGGAGGTGATCCTGAGCATGTGTTCCGAGGGCATGTCGAACAGGATGCACAGCGACTTGACGTAGGCCGCGAAGAACATCGGCGGCTTCGTTCGGGAGCCCTCGATCGTGCGAATGAACGCGCCGCTCGTCTGTGGTCGGGAGAGCTGGACCGTCGAGTAGAGACTAGGCTCGACCCTTTGTTATGCCCGGATAAGCACCAGGCGGGGGGGCCTAGAATCGTAACACGGACGCACCAGCGCTGGACCGCCCTTGAGACCCGGACCAAGACCAATGCGGTCGCGAAATCCTCCTCTGCGACCCACTCGAAAATCAGGCGCAGCAGCTCAAGGGGCATATGGAGGTTTTGGAGAGAGAGGGCCATGATATATATCGGGCCGACGAGAATCACTGTCAGTCATCTTCTGAAGGAAAGTACACATCTCGGAAATGCCACAGCGCAATGCTTGTCGCTGCTTGTGATATAATACGCAAAAACTCTCTCTTTTTGTCCGAGGACTTGATAGACGACAGCGCTTGTGACTGGCCCCGGCTCAGGCGATCAAGCTCGTGTCTCGGTAATGATCGATTCTCAGTCTTTGTCATTCTGCCTGGCCCTCGTCCCTTGTGCGCATAATACTACCGCAGACGATAGATATCTCTATCGTCTTATCTTCTGCTGTTCAACAGCACCTGTGTGTTTGCAATCCCATGCTGGACTTGCCCCTCCCTCAATCTATGTCCGTCCCCGTCAGTGGATCAACACTGGTGGGAATTCGGTGGCCATGTGCGGCCTCTCAAAAGGTCGCCGGAGGTGATGTTGATGGGAATCGAATGGTGCTGATGAGAGAACGCTGCTCGCAGCACCGCGCATGTCCACATCGCATGTTCCGAGCTGGGAGCTTCCAGACCGCCGCGTACCCCGCGCACCTTCGACCAGCAGGCTCAACTGATGTCTCCCGGAGATGTCCGATCTGTCCTCGGGCTCCGGACACGTTTCAATATCTCCTCATCTGTTCTGCCACCCTTCATTTCCGGTTGCACGAGCCGGGACCGACACCGAAGCCGTCCATGCCTTTCCTTGGCAATCCCGGCGGGCCCCCAGCCGAGGTGTTGGCTGTCGACAAGCGCCATTATGCACGCGAATGAGAAGCAGCGCAGGTCGCTCATGTGTTTGTTGGGTGGTTCTGTGGAGATGGCTTGGAATCAGCACAGGGTCCTGATTGCTGTGGAGTCTCGCCCCGAAGACTCGTCGCTCAATCAGTGTCCTTGGCAACCTGAGGAATGGTCTCATGTTCGCGATTTCATTTTAGATTGACACACGTGATCGCGAAAACATTTCACGAGTCACCTGATCGTCAGTTAGGCGTCCCTGTCACTTGTGCTTCGGAACTTCTCTGTGTTCAGTGCCTTGAATCAGCTCGGCTCTCACACACACCCTCTTCGAGTGGTTTGTCCATCAAATAATATCACCTTACAGCCTTGGAGGAAATAAAAAATTCCCTCCATTGCAGCCCGTACACGCGGCTTCGAACCCTCCACTCAATGAAGGAACACTGATGGAGGCATGTGACGGAGATCTACGGAAAAGCGCGTCTAGATCGCGCTCTTTCGCGGGCATCCCGAATCACGGATCCACACGCGAGCATAGAAGCTGATCTTTCTCTGGTAACCCACAGTAGCTGCCCCCCAAAAATCCGGATGCAGCGGAATGCCAGGCTCCAGCGGATCTTCACGAATTCGCCGGGTTTTTGTATGTACGTGTTCTGTCTGGCGTTGGCACGCATTAATCACTGCGTGGGGGAGTAACCCCGTCACCTTTATCGCGGCGGCCACCATAGAGTGATGACCCTTGGAATGTTGATACACGTGACCGTGTCTGATCTGCTAAATGAAAATTTGCGATCGCCTACGTCACAGGCTGTCACAGTGAATCTGAAAATCTGACCGCATTCCATGAGCTATGTACTGCTCAGTGCTGCCGCCTCTGGTGCCTTCCAACACACTGTCTGAAGTCCACAAAGAGGGTTACGCTCTGTCGCAGGGTATGCCGTGCGTCCTGATGCAGATGCCTGATGAGACTTTTCGTGTCCACACTGTAGCGACGACTAAAGAACCCCGTGATTTTCATGCTTATGTGCAGAGAATCTCTCGGCCGCCGGACTGCGACACACTTCATTCTCCACACTCACCGGCCGCCGCCACTCGCTCCCTTCCGCCTGTCTCCGTCTGGATCCCTGACGCTGCGGCGGCTGCGCGCGGTCTCGCGTATCCGGTCGTGCCAGGGAAGACCTATAGGACGCTGAATGTGTGACGCACATGCAGGATGTACCTCGACTCGGAACCACGAGTGAGCCCTCGCGCACGAGATGGCGGATAGAGAGAAGGACGGACAGACGGACTCTGAAGGGTGGCCCCATCCTTCTATGACGGTCAAGATCCCCGTGCGGATGCAAATATAGCTCAGCTTGCTAAGCTGCTCACGGCTCTGCGGCTCTGCGGCTCCTCTAACTTCCATCTCAGAAGCATCCGCACGCTGATGCAAGCGCGTCCTCGCGTGGCTTGGTCTCGCCATGCACACCTAGACGCGGCCAGCCCATCTCGTTCTTGCGCGTGTTACTACAGTACAAACGGCTCGATCTACCTGGGCTGCACGTGAGTATCTGCTCGCACTGCTGGTGAAGCGCTGCAGCGGCCACCCGAAGCTCAATGCCGTCACGAGACCATCCCGTGGTGCACGGGGGAAGGACCCTGCTCGCTGCAGAGATGCCGCGATGCTGCATATAGGGAGCAGAACGCGTGGGATTGTTCAAGGCGGTTCTGGGCCGCTGTCTACCAATGCACCGCTTGCAATATCCTTTTCTGGCTCAGAGGATGGGCTCAACCATCGCCTTCTTGAGGATAATGAATTCGGGGGAAAATTGGTCCCCTGCGACCTACAGTCACCACTTCGAGTGGCCGGAGGATTTGTCACAGCCTGCACGTGCCGTGGATATGTCAGCCGGGCGGCAAGATCCCCGTTTTCGACCGGCAATGACTTACGAATGCACGGGCAGCGCTTCTGCTCTGCAAGTATACATACTTAACGAACCGCTCTCAGACTCGGCCAAGTCCACTTGCGGGCGGGATGATAACGCCCAGCACACATGCCAAATCTCGCCCCGGACTCGCCGCTCCCCGCCGCCCACCGCCTGCCGCCCGAGCTCCTCGCGCACATCCTGCTCGAGGTCGAGCCGGGCCCACGCCCGCACGGGCTGTGCGCCGAGGAGCGCCCGCTGTGGCACCTCGCGCACGTGTGCCGCTACTGGCGCGCGTGCGCGTTCGCGACGCCCGCGCTGTGGACGCACATCCGCGTGCTGCACTGCGCGGAGATGCCGGCCATGCGCAGCGCGCCGGTGGAGCGCCTGCGGATGCAGTACCGGCTGGCGGGGACGCGTGCGCTCTCGGTCGACCTCACCGCGTGGGAGCCGCTGGAGGACATCGCGGCCGCGTGGCAGGAGGCGTTCCTGGGCGCGTGCCACCGCTGGGGGCGTCTGCGGCTCTGCATGATGCTGATGACAACCACTTGTCGAGATCCGTGCGCGTTTCTGCATGCTGTTATGGATCGGATGCATGCGCTGCAGGTGCTGGAGCTGGATGTCGAGTATCGCGAGACGCTGGCGTTGCGCGTCGCGCCGAGGCTGCACACGGTGATCGTGACCGATGTGCTCTGCTCCCAGCCGAGCCCCCGACTGCTGATTGACTGGTCGCGCGTCACATGCTACCGCGGGGTGTATACACTCCATGATCAGATCCAGATCCTGGCCGCTGCGCCAGACTTGGTCGATTGTGCCCTGGGTTTCTGCGAACGCCCGTTGGATGCTGCTGCTGCCGCTGCTCCACAATCCGACCCACCGCTCGTCACCCTCGGCGTACTTCGCCGACTGCACATCGCGCGGAAGTGTCAGTTCCTGCAATATATCGTAGCGCCGAATCTCCAGGAACTCCTGATCACCGGGACGATCGATATCGCGTCGCTTGCCGCGTTCGTCCAATCCTCCGGCTGCGCCGACAGCCTCACGCGCGTCGTGCTCGACCGCACACCCAACCTGTCGCCGGTGGCTCTCTCCTCCGTCTTCCGCATCGCGCCCTCGCTCCGGTCGCTCCGCATCTGCATCCCCTGCGGGGCGACGCACCCGCGCGACCTGCTGCTCGCGGCGATCTCCGACCCGCTGTCCGCGCTCGACTCGCTCGCGTTCGTGGCGGAGAGCTGGACGCCCGAGATGGTGGACGGCGTGCTGGGCATCGTCGAGGGCGCGAGGGCGGCTGTGCCCCGCCTGCCGCAGATTCGGCTGCACAGTCGTCGGTCGAGTGTGAGGGGGATCGGGCCGGCGAATGGGCGCTTAGGGCGGTTCACTGAGCACGTGCGCTTTGAACACCAGGAGGATTGTGGTGTTAGAATTTAGAACGGGTGTTCTTGTATTGGAAGGAAGTTATGTAGCTCCAAGAACGATGCAAGACTTTACACACTGGCTACTTTGCCGACAGGGACAGCTTTTGCCTGCTTGGGTCATGTATCACCTATAAACTGCTCACTGCTATGGATCACGCGCCCTGAGAGTGTGTTCTCCGGCTGCCATCCATTCATTTATTTTGACCGGTAGGGCCTCTTTTGCACGCAGTGACTACATCGGGTCAGATCCTATCCTGCTTCTCTTCTCAATCGATATTGGGGATGGAACAAATGGTCTTCAGATAAGCTTCTCCGAGGAAACTTGGTCATAGGGTCACAACCTAGAAATGTGCATGCGACAGTGGGTGCCTGGCGCGAGACGGAGCGGAAAAAGACGCATACTCGGCTTGATCATGATATTCGGTCACGTGCCAGTCACACGTGCCCGTGTGATGGCCTATTACGTCACGTGTGTGTGTTAGTGCATGCCGAGGATATTCCGCGACCGTGTTCCTATCCACCGTGGGACACATTCGCCGATGGCACGCTCGAACGCCTCCCTTGACGTGGTTCCTGGGAAGGGTCCTTGAAGTGAGCCCCTGGCTGGGCTGCGAAAACGTTGGGCCCCTTGTGCGCGTGTTCGAGATCTGGTGGACGACAAAACTCGTGACTGAAACAGTGAGATTACGCGTTCTGAACCCGTTAGATGATATCCTGGCAGTCTCGGTCCATGTATGGCACACTTTCTTTGGGCATGGCAACGAGCCGATGTAGTCTCAGCACGCTCTGGAGACTCCATCAAGTTCAATCGGACCAGCTAGGCTACAATGAAGAGCTCCACGAAGACATGCGGGGCTATTCTGTGCTGCGCAGAGCTCGTTCAACTCGTTTCGAGAATGATACGCCGCCCTGGGTTGGATCTCTCGACCAAAGCATTACCATCTCCACTTCAGAAAGCAGCCTGCAACAGTTCCGACGATGATATGCCGCCTGCGTTATGTTTTTCTTCCACGTGTTCGAGAAAAGTGACCGTGGCATTGAGAGGTCAGCCGGACGATCATAGTTGGCGGCCAGAGGATACGCACGGCTCTTCCAAATCAGCCGCCTCACCTTTTTCTCGCGCCACGAGAAAGATTCATTCAAGCCAGCCGGGACTGACGACAATCAGCGACAAACGACACAGCGTGCTGAACTGCCGATGGGTTCCCGGCATACTTGTTCATCACCCGTTGCACATACTTGATTGATCACTTGGGCGAAAACGGTGAATGGCTAGCAGCCCTTGGATTCTTTAGATAATTACTGACCGGCGGAGCGTCTCAGAGTGCCGCACAAGATTCTGAATTTTCTGTGAGCATTTCGGAGGCGCTCTGATATATACCCCACGACAAAGGACGGTCCCCGTCGTAGTTGGAATGTCTCGTCACCAGTTGATGGCTCATGATGGGTAGGTAAGATCTGACGAGGCTGTCCGAAATTAGCGATGCCCTCCCTGGACACGCGGGGGAGAGTGTTTCACAAATTCACACACAGTAGAACCATCTGCTGTGCGAGATCCGTTCAATCAAGAAAATGCAGACATTGATCGCTCGAGCGCCGTCTGCAGCAATAGAAACGGCCAGTCACCGCCGACAAAGCACCGGCTGCTGTCGGGAGCATAATACTCACCGATCATCAGTACAGGCTGCAGCGTCGAGCTTGACTGCTGCTAGAGCACAAAATACGAATCCAAAGCAACAGATTCCAGGAGATGGTCGAAATCACACCGAGGTGCCAGTCCCCGTGCCTACCTGCAAAGCAGCCCTAAAGGAAGAGCGCGGGAATCGGTCGGACCTTCAGAATTTGTTCAGAATGGACTAACGCCTCGACAAATGTAGTGGACCTGACGTCAGGACATTTACGGCGCGGCCCGAAGAACCCAGCTCGCCCCCCGCAGTAGTCCCAGAATACACACCGTCCCCACCCTCGTCCATGTCGAACAAACAATCTGATTCGTACGGGACAGATGCGGTGGGGACGTGGTCCTGCTTGATAAGAAGCGAGCGGGATTCTTCGGCACTTTGAGCCGGGGGATGCGATCGCCTGCCATCGTAGCAGTCTGGGCTCGAGTGCGCTCCGGCGGGACGCCCGAGGCTGTGGGGAAATGCGACGGGTCCAAGCAAAGGTAGCTGGTTGTTGTAGTTACCGCTCGCCGGGGCCGGTGGGGACTGCTGTTCCTGTGCTCTCACGAGCTGAACTTCATCGCTGACACACCTCTTTAAGAGCTATTTCGCCGAACTCTGCGAACGGCCGGTCGCAGACAGAAGGGAGAAACCTGAAAGCCGACCACACGGCGCGCAAGGCGCCTGCTTATCGCATATGAGCTTGAGCCTCAAGAGACTATGAGCATACATTCTCCACAGTTCCACTTGGCGGAAACCAGTCAGCGAAGGGGAACCTAGACAAACACGGGGAACACAATCGAGTGTATGTATTTCGGGGATCCGATCCTCAAGCTTCGGGGTGTGTTGGATCTGGAACCCCTCACGGCGTCTGTCCGGCGCGCGAGCAGACGGGACCCAACAGAGAAGAGAGCTCGCGGGGTTTTCACAAGCAGCTGGAGTTGTCGGAGAATTGCACCCGTGCGGGGTTCAGGCACAGGGCCCGGTTGTCCGTTGGAATAAGCATAGCGCAGCCCTCTGATCGCCGTTGGCCAAGCGGTCTCGAGCCCAACAGCACAGCGCAGCAACCCCAACATAGGCACGCCGGCGCCCCGGACCGGCGCCCGGAGGAGACTCGCATGAATGTTCCAAGCCCGACAGTTCTGCCAGAGGTTCGCTCTGCAGCCGGGTGTGAGCGGCATGTGTCTGAGAATCATTCGAGCAGTCACAATGACTTGTAGACATCGTCCCTGATCCGGTGCGATGTTTCATTCATTCATTCATGTATCAGCCAGAACAGCCCAAAGCAAATCGGCGCGGTAACCTTCGTCTGCTGTGCCTCGGCCAACGAACCACTCGGTTAGAGAGAGAAAAAACAAAGTGGTATGATGTGTCATTACATTTTGTTTTGTCGGCTTCGCCATGGGCCATGTCAACAGTGAGGTCTTGGCCCATAAATATATGAATTCTCGTCGTTAAATGGCCTGATCTGATCTCAAGGAGACTCGAACCACGTGTCGGCCCGGCTTACTCATGGTGATTTGTGGGCGACCGCGGAATCTGATCACAGCGATCAGCCGAGGGTCAAAAACACACGCAGTGACGCCAACCAGCCCCACGCTCCCTCCTCCTCCCTCCCCCATCCTTCTTGCCCTGAGTATACCCATGCCCGGCAGCAACGACGGCGCGACGCTGGTGGAAGCAGAGAAGCCGCACCTCGCGGCCGAGCCTCCGATGCCGAAACACGAGCTTGACGAGCCCTCGAGTCCGGAGAACGAGATCGCGGCGGCGGCAGAGCATCCCGAGGGCCTGAAGCTCGCGCTCATCACGCTCGCGCTGTGTCTAGCGATCTTCCTCGTCGCCCTGGTGCGTCCGCCCGATCCGCGCCCGCGCCCGCGCCCTGCATCTCACTCTGCCGCAGGACAACACTATCATCGCGACGGCCATTCCCAAGATCACGGACGACTTCAATTCATTGGCCGATGTCGGTTGGGTGTGTGGTCTCCGCTTTCTCGAGTCCTCCCCGTGCTTATGCTCGTCGCGCGCAGTACGGTTCCGCGTGAGTGCTCAGCTCACACACGGCGTCCGCGGCCGCCCTGCCTGGGGATCGCGACGTGACGTGCGCTGATGGATAGCTGACTTCCACGCGCTCGGTAGATATCTCTTGACGACGGCCGCGACGCAGCTGCTGTTTGGCAAGTTCTACACGTTCCTTCCCATCAAATGGGTGCGCGCGCGCCTGCTCTGTGCTCCTCTTTGCCGCGCGCTCACGTCTAGGGCCAGGTCTTCGTCGCCGCGATCGTCGTGTTCGAGGTCGGGAGCGCGATCTGCGGCGGGGCGCCCAACTCGACGGCGTTGATCATCGGCCGTGCGATCGCGGGTCTGGGGTCGGCGGGCATCTTCAGCGGGGGCATGATTATCATCGGTGTGTGTGGGCTTACGAAACGCCGTCCGTCTGCTCACGTTCGCGGTGATGCATCACGCAGCGCACTCCGTGCCGCTCGAGAAACGGCCGATGTATTCGGGGCTGATTGGGGGCATGTACGGGATTGCGAGCGTTGCGGGGCCCCTCATGGGCGGCGTGTTTACGGACAAGGTTTCTTGGCGATGGTGCGTGGCCGGCCCTGCGACGTCGTCCGTTCTTTCTCTTCACGGGCGAGCTTATCACGTCACACCCGCAGGTGCTTCTACGTGAGGATATGCGTGCCACCGTCCCGGTCTGTCGTGTCCTGACAGCCTGTGTATCCAGATTAACTTGCCCATCGGCGGCGTCTGCTTGCTCTTCCTCCTCGTCTTCCTGCACATCCCCCGAAAACCCGAACCCGCCCACGCCCAGCTGTCGCTGCTGCAGAAGATCAACCACTTTGATCCGTTCGGGACGCTGCTGTTCATGCCTGCGATCGTGTGTCTGCTGCTCGCGCTGCAGTGGGGAGGGTCGAAGTATCCGTGGGGCAACGGACGCATCATCGCGCTGTTTGTCCTGTTTGGGCTGCTGATCATCACGTTTATCTTCATCCAAATCCGGAAGCAGGAGATGGCGACGGTCCCGCCGCGGATCATCAAAATGCGCAGTATCGGGTTCAGCTCGTTCTTCGCGTTCTCGCTCAATTCGTCGTTCTTCATCATACAGTTTTACCTCCCGTAAGTTGTCTCGCATTCGTTTTCGGCGCGTCATGTGATTTTTCAACTCCTCAGCATCTGGTTCCAAGCCATCAAGGGTGTTTCCCCTGTTAAATCCGGCATAGACAACATCCCGCTCGTGCTTTCCCTGATTCTCGCATCGATCGTCGTCGGTGGGCTCGTGTCCAAGATCGGGTACTACACGCCATTCATGCTCGCGGCGTCGGTCGTGACCGCCATCGCCGCCGGCCTGATCTCGACGTTCACGACCACGACCGGGCACGCGGAGTGGATCGGGTACCAGGTCCTGTTCGGCTTCGGGCAGGGCTTCGGCGCGCAGCAGCCGCTGATCGCCGCGCAGACGGTGCTCGATCTGAAGGACGTGCCGATCGGGACGAGCATCATCCTGTTCCTGCAGACGATCGGCGGCGCGCTGTTCGTGTCCGTCGGGCAGAACATCTTCACGAACACGCTCATCAAGAACATCGCGCGCAACGTCCCCGCGATCGACCCCGCGAGCGTCCTCGCCGCGGGCGCGACGAACCTCAAGGGCGTGGTCCCCGCGGAGTCGCTCGGCGCGGTGCTCGTGCAGTACAACGGCGCGATTATGACGACGTTCCGCGTTTCGATTGCGATGAGCTCGCTGTCGCTCATCGGGGCGCTTGGCACGGAGTGGAGGAGCGTCAAGGGGAAGCACATAGAGATGGGCGCCGGGGCGGCATAGATCGGCTAGCTATTTACCTACTTTATATCCCTTGTTTATGTCTGGGTTGGTTTCCAGTGTCTTGACGGATTCTTGTGTGTTAGATTAACTTGTGAGGGACTGTGCGCTGCCTAGTTACAAGACCTGGCTTGGAGCAAACATAGGTTCTTCAGCTGCTGTAGACCAGCTAATGTATTCTGCTGATATAAACAGTATCTCACTGTGATCTATGAGGAGATATTTCACATTCATTCTAGAGCATTTGGGTCAGCTGTCGTACACCAGCAATATTCGCAATCATCGTGCCCTCCATCGACTTTGCGTCCTGGGTCTCACACATCCTCCCACCCCTTTCCATACCATCGCTGTCAAATATCTTCAATCTTGCGAATAAACAATGGCAAAACGAATATTCTACAATCAAGACATTCCAACATGCCCAGCAATTGTCTGCCGAAACCCCGGAACTACAGTATGTCAAACAACCTTCGCACATCTGGAAAACAAAAGACGGGGAATGTATGTGTTGCGGGAGATGCGGGCGATAGTCACTCGAGTGGAATCGACAGAACGGAGCGAAGACTCGCCGGTGATACTTACAGGGGCAGAGCAATCACGTCACGTGGATGACTATCATCCCATCTTATCTGGTGAGCTACAATGATCCTTTGCCCGAAGGTCACTCCACACCCAGACGTCGTTCTACTCTGAGCAAGTCCAAAGATAGCGCATTACGCATTCATCGTGATTCTATGTACAATAACACACATTCTGCTCGATCAACACAAGAGGAACAGCGTCCAGTTATGAGCAAGCAGCGTTCGTGCACGGGATCATGCCCTTCAAGCTCGTGGACTTGACATTCATCTGCCAAGGCGTCGTCGTGTTCTTGGCTGTCAGGTTGACCGGCGCGGCCAGGTGCTCGAGCGTGAGGTGCTTGTCAACGCCCTCGCGGTACAGCACGCCGCGGCCCGTGGGCGACCGCGCATCCGGGTTGGGGGCAGCGAAGTTCTGGTACATCGACGGGTCTGCGGGCCCGCGCAGTCAGTATCCGAGTCGGCCAGCAGCGAGACAGAAAACACGCACTGAGAGGCCCGGGGTAGTGGCCGGTCAGGTTGAGCAGGGGGATCTGCGCAGGGGAGATCGCCTTGTTCTTGTGGCCGACCTTTTTGGCGACAAAGTCAAACACGCTGGCAACGGTCTCGTTGGCGTCCTGGCGCCCGAGCGTCTTCAGGTTCCAGTTGGCCTGCACGGTCGAGATTGTCGAGTAGTGCGTGTAGAACGTGTCATCCGTCGTGCCGCGGAGCTCCAGCGGGATGGCGGTACCTGGCGGATCCCTGTCAGCAAGCACCGCTGAAAGAAACATCCAGCACGCACCGAGGGCGACGGTGTAGATCGTGTTCTGCTCGCCGTACGTCTCGTTCTCGTCGAACGTGAGCAGGATAAGCGTCTTCTCGCCATTCACGCGCGGGTCCGTCAGCAGCGGCATCAGCCAGTACTCGAGGAACGCGGCGCCAAAGTCGATCGACGTGTCGTGCGCGTCGTTCACCATGTTCGGCGTCACGAAGATCCACTGCGAGAGCGTGCCGTTCACGACGTCGTTGGCAAAGTCGTTGAAGTTGCGGATGCGGCTCACGCGCTCGGGCTCGCCCGCAATCGCGTCGAAGATGATCGGCGGGTTGTGCTTGCGTACGTAGTAGTTGTACGGCGCGAGGCCCGGGGAGATGTAGTTCTTCGACGCGTGGCTGTGAGATATCCGTTAGGACGAGCCAGCAGAGCGCGATGGGAGGACGCACAGGAAACCGAAGTAGCCCACCTCGGGCATGTTCTCTTGGTAGGCCGACCACGACACGTCCTCGTCCTCGAGCAGATCAACGACGGTCGTGATGTTCGACGGGATGTGGTACATGTTGTCGTCGTGCAGACCAAAGTGGTCACCGCCCATCGCCGCAATGTCTGCGGCGTAATGAGCACGATGCATGAAGTAGAAGCGGTGTTGGCCAACTCACAATTGGGCTCGGAAGGGTGGGTGACACCGTTGAAGTTGGTGAGCAGGATACCCTGAGCGGCAAGGCTCTGGAAGGCCGCAGTCGACGCAGCACTCTATTGTTACATGCAAATCAGCGAGCGAGCGGGAGCACCCCACTACGTCGAGCACGCACCGAGAAGTCGGTGTTCTCCATCCAGACCTGGATGATGCGATCGAACACCTTGCCCTTCTTGATGTGGTGGTTGTTGGGCTTCAGTGTGCTGTTCGAGAAGCCCGTGTAGTTGCCGGACTGCGCGATCGGGTTCGTCGACGGCGGGGCGAAGATCTGCGCAGAGGCGGCGGTCGCGACCTGCACGGACGAGACCGCGAAGAGGGCAGCAGCGAGGACACGGAAGGCGGACATGGTGGGGTCGAACTCGACAGCGGCGCGGGAATGGAATCAAGGAGCCACAGAACATTGGAAGCATGCGAGGTCCATTTTAAAAGAACAGGCGGACAGTTTGGGGGATGTGTGATGGGGGTGGATGAACGTGCGCAGGAGCCACGGGTGGAGATCCATGTGCGCCCAGCGCTCCGGGCGAAAGGGGATGAGGCGGCATGTGGGAGACTGCTGAAATGGGAAGGCACACCAGCCGAGCCATCCATCAGTGGTCCCTAGCCAATCAGCGTCCCCGCATTGTGCAGTCCCTGGAGGCACGTGCATCCAAATATAGCTCCCCGGTTATTACATCATCCACGCACAGATTCGCTAGCGCTGCGACCAGCTCCTGCAGATCAGCGGCGTCGGCCCGTCAAGCACAAGCCCTGAGGACCCTACCCTTCCGTCTAGCCAATATCATGTCCGGACGCCGGCACGTCTCGTGGGCCACCGACCCGGAAGTGGAGGAGCATGCGCTGCTGTTGCGCGCCGACGAAACGGCGGACCCGGAGTCGGAGCGTCCACGTCCTGCAGCACCACCATCACCACGTATATCTAGGCGACAGCGCGCCTATGCATACGGCGCTCTCTTCCTCGTCACGATCCCTCTGTTCCTCCTCTTCGTCATCGCGCTTCTCCGCCATCCGGACGAACGTGCGACCTCCGCGGGATCGGCTTCGGCAGCAGCAGCAGCAGTGCTGGAGCACCCGGACACATTCAAGCTCGACGCGGCATTTGACCGGACGGCGCCCCCAACGACACGCGTGTACAGATGGACGGTATCCGAAGTGATGATGTACGAGCCTGGTTTCGGCTCGAACCGCACGCGCGTCGTGGTGAACGGTCATTCGCCCGGGCCTCTTATCCAGGCCAACCAGCACGATCGGGTGGTGGTCTACGTGACGAATGGGCTGAAGGCGGAGGGCACGTACGAGTCTTCGCGCTATATTCCGTTCTACCCTCACCGCTGGTGCAGGTCTATCCACTGGCACGGGCTCCCTCAGCCGGGTACTCCGTTTTACGATGGGACGCCCGGTGTTACGCAGTGTCCGATCCCGCCGGGGCAGACACTGGTGTACAACTTCACTTTCGGAGACTTCAATGGAACGACATGGTGGCAGTGAGTGACGGGCGCGCTCTTCAGACCGACACAGTCGTTAACAACCAAACTGCAGCGGCCACTCGGGTGTACAGCACACGTGAATCAGCTTTTCAGTGACCTGGCTCCGGTGCTCACATACATGACGCAGGGAGGGCCTCGTCGGGCCCATCGTAGTCCACTCGCCCACTGAATACGGCTCGGACGCAAGATCGAAGATCTCCGACCATATCATCACCATTACTGACAACTACGCGGACTCGGCTAAGCCGATGCTCGTGGATTATCTGGCTGTGTGTGCTGTCCTGTCGTATGCGGCACGTTCGTCTAACAACGTAGCCGCACAGTCGACCCCGATTGAAACGACCGACGAGCCTGTTCCGGACTTCGCCCAGATCAACGGCGCGGGTGCCGGTGGACACGAAGATGATCGTGGGGTGTACGACGAGGTGTCTGTGCCCAAGGGCTGGTGCGTGCCTGATCCAGAGCATCCTGGTCCCCTTCGCAGACAGATGATGGCGCGCTCCACAGGACACCCACCCTCCGCCTCATCCACGCTGGATCGTTTGCGCCGATGCGCATCTCCGTCGATGGCCACGCACTGACCATCGTCGAGACTGATGGCACACCGACCGAGCACGTGCAGGTGCGCGACCTTCTGATCTGGCCGGCCCAGCGGTATCGCGTGCGCCTGGATCCCGTGGGCACCGCCGTGCCGCAAGCCGTCTGGGTCAGGGCGCACATGGAGGACAGCGCGTTCTCCTACGACAAGTTCGCAGGATTCCCTTCTCTTCTCACTTTTCATTCTGAGCGACTGCAGCTTGCGCCAGCAGCCCGAAGCGCGCGCGATCATGCGCTTGTCTTCTTCCTCCTCCTCCGGTGCATCGCGGCCGACGTCGCACCCCGGACCGCTCGATCAAGACAAGGCCGTCAACGACTGGTGGGCCCGGCTGCCCCACTTCGACGAATGGACGCTCCACCCCGGCGCGGGCATGCAAGCCCTGCCGACATCCCACGACACGCTCACAGTCCCGTTCAAGTTCTCGATCCAGCGCACGAGCGCGCGCAACTGGCGCTCGTTCATGAACAACACAAGCTGGGAGATCCCGCCCGCGCGCGACGCGATGCTCGTCGCGGATCTGGCCGGGATATATCGCGGCGACCCGCTGCGCGTGAAGAGCTATCCCGTGTGCGTGTTATGGTTTACGGCCGCTTGAGCGGGCGTTGCTCATGCTTACTCGGTGGGGGCAGAGATCAGCTCGTGGCTGCTATTCCTCGGGACCACGTCGTCGACTTTGTGATTACGAACCTTGATGACGGAGGTGGGTTGCTTGTTCCTTGTTGTCGCTCTCAACTCAGACTGCCGTGGACAGACCATCCGTTCCACTTGTGCGCTGTTCCCTCAGTTGACCGGGGTCTCATGTTTGGCTAATCAGCCGCGATGGGTGCAGGCATGGCTACGCTGTGAGTATCCAAGCTCTGCGCGTCACCCGTCGCTCACTCGCTACTCTTAGCCTTGGCTTCTGGGACACGGGAAAGGGCGCTTCAGATCGTACGTGAACCACCTCGACACCACGAATCCGATTCGGTACGCCTGCAGTCCTTTTCCGGTGTCATGCGCTGAGAGAAGCCCCAGTCGAGATACCTTCACCGTTCCTGCACGCAGCTGGGCTGTCGTTCGTATTCTGACAGACAATGCCGGATACTGGGCCTGTGCGTCGCTCCCTCTCTCCCTCACGATGTAGCGCTTGCTCACGTCCTTCCAGTCCATTGCCACATCTCATGTGCGCTCCCGTTCTCGTCCGTGGTCTGACTTTCTCACTGTCTTTCAGGGCACATGGCCGGGGGCGGGATATTCCAGCTTGCTGTGCCCCCGGCGGCTAACGAGACGTTGACGCTCCCGGAGGACATTGTGCGGCATTGTCGCATGTGGGACAAGTAGTGGCGCGCCTCGTACTTGTGACCGGATTTCGTCAGAACATGCGCAGTCTAGGGGTGAGCTGTCCACACTGGGAATAGTGCATAACCACGAGACATCTCTATTGTTGGATCAAGCCGATTCAAAAATAGCAGCTGGCAGTAGATATGTCTCCTGCACCCATACATTCAGCCTAAAGATTACTGTACATTTCTGGCGCATCGTACTGCATCAAGATATCGCCTTCAGAACGCGAGCGGCGCGAAACCCATGCGCTGGGCGCCCACATCCCACACACTGTAGTAGTGCTTCAACAAGCTCCCGCCGACGAGATCGAGCCCGTCGAACGCATTGATGAGCGTCTGGCACGTGCTGGGGCTGCTCGCGAACGGGCCGACGCTGAGCTCGCTGCTGGGGATCGTGAGGTTGAACGCCTTGCCGGACTGGGAGGTGAACCCGATGTCGATCTTGGCGGGCAGCGTCGGGATGAGGGAGCAGGCGATGCCGTAGGTGCCGGGCTCGGCGGCGAAGGGCTTGATGTTCGGGGAGATGAGCGCGTAGATCGCCTGAAGAGGGGGTGGGGGGGAGTTCAGTCAGCGCTTTGCTTGCTGTGGGAATCCAGAGACGCACGTTCGCGGTCTGGGTGTCGAACAGCACGTTCGACGTCCCCGAGTCGAAGATGATGTTGCGCGCGCGGGAGAGGACCGACGTGGTCTTGCCGTTGACGGCAATGCGGGGAGAGTCGAGCGACCAGGTCGGGTCCGAGTTCGGGTTCGGCAGCGACGCGAAGGTCAGCGATCCTGTGGTTTAGAGTGTGTCGATCAGACACGCATCCGGAGGAACTGACAAGGGAAGAGGTGCGTACCGGTGAATTTGGTGGAATCGACTCCGCCGATGGTCAGCTCAGCGCCGCCGATCGCACGGGGCGTGAGATACAAACTGAAGAGGGCTGCAAACCGTCAGTCAGACTTTGAGTCGATGCGAATCAGGGTTGGGGCGACACACATGGGAGGCCCTGGTTGATGAGAGACGCGAAGAATCCCTGCGCCAGCGCGCTCATTCCTGTTCCAGCTTCGTGTAAGCGGCAGAGCTCAGGCTGAGACGCACGCAGCTTACCCTGGATGCCGCTGAACGGGTCGATGTTGAACTTGGGGGTCTGGCCCGTGATCAAGAACAGGTCGACGCCCTTGGAGGTCAGGCCCCCGACGGTCACCGTGTCACTTGCCTCCCGCAGCGTCAGTCTGTTGAGCAAGTCCATCAGTAAAAGCCATCCGCGTCTCGCAGGCACACAGACACACACACCTGTAGTTGGACCCAATAACCGGATCGACGCCGACGCCCGTCGCAAAGGTGATCGACGACGTCCTCCCGCGATCGACGAACGTGGTCGACTTGCTCGAGTCGAATTTGACCTGGTTCGAGCACTGCGTGCCGCACAGCGTCGACGCGAACTCGAGCGTGCTGCTGCCCGTGTCGAACACCACCGACACCGTCTGCGGCGGCGTGCCCACGGAGATGTTGCCGAACCACTGCAGGTCCGTGCCGAGGAAGAAGTCTGCGAGCGGCACCGTCGCGGGGTTCAGCGCGCGGCGGCGCAGAGTCGCGTCTTTCGGGGCGACGCGCGACTGGAGCTGGATCGTGTGCGGCGTCGGCGTCGTTGTTGTTGTCGAAGCGAGCGCCGTCGTGGCAGCGGCCAGCAGGGAGAGGGAGAGCACTGGGGACAGCATCGTCGTCGTCGCTGAGTCCTGGGAGATTCCCGGGCCCCAATTTATAGCATCAGAGCGGTTCTCTCATGCACACATGGTCCGGAGGGGGGAGCACGCTGGGTCGCGGGGAGAAGCATGCGCGGCGTGTGTCCCATCGCGTCTGTGATCTGCGCGGCGCGTGACAACAGGCGTTGATCGATCCGTATGCGGTGCGACGCTCCCAGGATTTGCGCGCGGTTCTTCGATTGTCAGCACTTCACAACATGCGAGCCGGGAACTTGGCTGCACGACCGATCGAATGCACGACTACCTGGCAGCTCAGCCCCGCCGTTGAGACAACACAGACACAATCGATGCTATCGCCCACATGAAACCAAAGGAATGGAAGTTTTTCCCAGGGGAAGAAGGAGCGGTGCGCGTGCAGAGCAACATGATTCCCAAATATGTGTGCTGGGATGCGTCACTTGATGCCGGGTCATGCGTCGCCGATACATAATTATCGATAAGATGATGATTGACTCGGTCATCGTGATGGCATATAACCTTTCCCACACATACGCTTATTTCGAATCGATGCCCGTGGACGAAACTGTGACACCTTGTTCGAGAGACGACCCGATCTGCCCTACCTCCCTCGCTCGGCACTCAATGATCCGAGTTTTATAATTGTCTACGATCGAATGCGGTCAAGAAATATATCGCATCGGTGCGATTGCGACCCGGGAGAAGGACGTTGATACAATTTTGGCGCGAATTACAAATATCAACCGTCTGTCCTGCTGATCACGTTTCAGTCATCACATGTCGTGACTGAGAGAAGCAGATCTGGCCCCGGCTACACTACAAGGTCAGTTCACCTCAAGACGCTGATTGCACTATATCGGACCGAGGTCTGCCTCAATCCAGATAAATCTGGAACTTGTGTAGTATTTTGTTCAAAGTTCCGTCCGGCTTTGTCCTCTGTCTGAGGTGCATTCCACAAGATCTGACTTATCACAGTGAGTGAATGAGCTGATTTTGACACCCCTGTGGAACTCAGTGACGAAAGCAACTGCGAGAATATTCGCTGTGTGTGCCCGGGATTTTGCACTAGTTCAGCGTGGGTTTCATGTTTTCGGCCTGATTTGGGCTATTTTCAGATCGAGACATGACCATTTTAGGGCCTTGATTAACGCCATTCCAGACTAAGTCGATGAGGCCGTCAATTCTCGTCTCAAACTCACCTCCACTTCGCATGTCAATGATCTGTCAAATTTCTTGCCGAGATCACATCCAGCTTCAGCTCACTCTTGGTCTATCGAGAAGCAGTTCATAAGTTGCTGGGAAATGAGAAAAACAGAAAAATGGGTTCTACTTGAAGCTTCACTCTGATTTCTCTTACAAAGTATGTAGTCCGAGCTGACAACTACCGGGGTTTCTTGCCGAGTGATCGTCAATTGATGCATTGATCGCAAAGTTAGAGCCGAGTTGGAAGCGAGAATTGGGCGGAACTGATGGGCAGTAGCCGGGAGGCCTAGAAGACAGTTGCATTTCTTATGTCCGAGCCTTCGGGGCCTCGTCGCTTCAAGAGCAATTCCCAATACATACACGCGGGATGCAATCCGTCCGGCGGTGGCACTACCTTGATACATACCGCCGCTGTGGAGCCCTCGACCGCTCATGTGTCTGGTCTAATCTAGACCACTCCGCTTCGCATACGGTATGTAAGGCAGACTCCTAGCACAGTTTCCCAGCAACCACCCAAGATGCCCTCCTCGAACCCGCTCCTCTCGCTGAGTGTCCTCCTCCTGCTATGCGCGCGCGCTGCGTGGGGTCTGACGGGCCTCATCGTCCCGCTCTACGTCTACCCCACCAACAACAAAGCCTGCGACCAATGGGCCTCGATCATCTCCGCCCTCTCCGCGGCCCCGCACACCGTCCCCACCATCTTCGTCATCAACCCGCAGAGCGGGCCCGGGCCCGCGGGGAGCCAGCCGACCACCGACTACCAGCAGTGCATCCCGCGGCTGCGCGCGAGCGCCGGGGGCAGCGCGACGCTCGTCGGGTATGTGCCGACGGGCTTCGGACAGCGGGACAGCGGTGCTATCAATGCAGACGTGGACACGTGAGTCGCGGTGTGCTTATGTGCTTTCCCAAGTGTGTGTGCGGTGCGCTGACCACGCGGGTGCACTGCGCAGGTACAAGGGATGGGCCAGCGCGTATGCGATGCAAGGCATCTTCTACGACGAGGCGTCGCAGGCCGCCGGGGACGAGCCCTTCTATCAATCCATCGTCACGCACGCGAAAAACGCGGGCCTCTCTTTCGTAAGCCGCGATTCTTTGCGGTGGTGTGACCTGATAGATATTTGATCGCAGACCGTGCTCAATCCAGGTGCGGTGCCGGACTCGGGGTACTTTGCATTCGCGGACGTCATCTGCACCGCGGAGACGTTCTACAAGGGATTCTCGTGCGTGCCAGCCAACCGCTCCGATCTGATGCGCAAAGAGCTGAACCCGAGCTGCTCAGGGTTTCGTCGCTCACCATCTCGGCTGCCGCGCCGGCCTCGAAGCAGGCTGTGATCCTGCACGACGCCCCCCGCTCGCCGTCGAACCTCAGCGCCGTCATCCAGCAGGTGTCCAACGCCGGCGTGGGCTGGTTCTATGCAACGAACGGCCTGCAGACGGGAAACACCTATGGCAGTGTGCCGCCGTTCTTTGCGACCGAGCTCAACGATCTCGCGGCCCTGGCGTGATTGCAGCTTCAGGGTTCAGGTAAAAAGATCATATTTGCTTTCTAGTCCTCAGATAGTGCTCTTGATCCTAGTCAGAACATTTCGCTAGGGAATCCATCACATTCTCCTTGCGACCATACGTAACAGATATTCGATTTAATGCAGGCATGACACGACAAACATAGGGGAGCAACTTGACAATATGTGATATCACTGCCAAGTGAGGACACGTCCCGGCATTTCCGGTCATGATAGCATATTCTTGCAAATCTCTGTTGATTGAGCAGTTCTCAAATCCTGAAGCCACTATTTTTGGTTTACTTCGATTCTCTCATTAGGGATATTGATGGAATGAATCGACTGCCCATTTCGCTCACGCAGCCTCGAAACTAGTTCTAGATCACCGCCGAGAAACTCTTTTTAAATTGCTTTTCTTGGTGCTATTGTGTGAAAACAAAAACAGAGCTGCAACCTCGAGAATAGGCAAAGACGGGCGTGGAGATGAGCTTCGGAACTTGCTCATCCTCGCCGCAAGTGAATAGCTACAGTAGCAGTATTTGAAGGCATTCATTATGGAGACAAAATCGGTCGTTCTACATAACAGTTGGGACAAGCATTTCCAGATTAGATGGCAGAGACTGAAAATCGCGAGACTCGCAGCCAAGCAATTTCAGGCTAGTAAAAAAAAACGGGCTGAACCGCTCAATAAATAACGCCTACAGTAATCAATTGAAATCTGCTATATGGTGTCTTCTTTTTTATTTAAAAAGATTGGCAAATCGTGGGTAGGCGGGTGGGGTGTACCTCCAGTGATGTCATGGCCATGGCTTTGCCCACTCAATGCCTCACCGAAATCTGGGATGTGCACGAGCTCTCAAAAATCGAGGGCGGCATCGGAACAAATCATTGGAAGTCCAGTCCACAGGAGCACGTACTTCAGCGGGCTGCATGTCGCGAGCAACAGTCCCAAACGATCAGCGTGACAACAGGAAATACTCAGATGGGTGTGGAATCTTGTGTGTTGGGACCATCAATTCTTGGAAATTGGCGATACTTCCAGCTCAACTATCATACACTCACGTCTTGATCAGTAGCTTTGGGGACTGATTCTTGGTTGGAAAAGTCGGCGGACATTCGGACCTGAGATATCTGTGAACGAGATGCTATGCCATTAATTATATTATTACATCTACACGGTCGCAGAGCACATTAAAGATTACAACTACGGGTTCAAATCAGCTCTACAGTTTCTCGAGGACGCCATCCGTCCAGTGTATCAGCTTCGCCACCCTCGCGTCGGATCCGCCGTATCCAGCCACAGCATGACCAGCCAAGACACCCTATACATCGTCAGCCAACATTGAGCTATAAGCAGCAAGCACGCTCACGATGGAATCATCACCCGACTCGCTCAACACCACCTCCTTATTCAAAGCGACACTGGATATCAGATCCGCATGCTTCCCGCGCAGAAACACGCCGCCAGTCTTGCCCGGAGAAAGCAGCGCGTAGAGCTGGTACTCTCCGCAGTCCTCGAGGGAGATTTGTGTCCAGTATCGAAGTACGCGCACAAGCCCCGTGAGGGGGAGCATCAGGTATCCAAACGTGAATCCCGGCTTTCCCGGAGGCAGGACCTGGCCCGGGTACGTGTACGTGCAGCTGAGCCAAGGATTCGTTGCGTGGAAGTACTGTGAGCGGAATCAGCCTCGGACGTGAAGTGCAGCCGCGAGGGGGCAGACAACGACTCACCGCTACGAGCGCATCGTTGTACGCTCCACCGTATTGCATGCCTTTGAACGCTTCGAGACGCTGCAATGGATGGAGATAAGCGATCCGTAAATATGGCTTGTAAGTGACCGAGCACGCACCGGGAATGCGCCATCCAGCCACGTCCTCCCTGCTTTCCTCGACTCCGCGAGGTCAAGATCCGTCGTCGGGAGCGGCACTGCGTTTCCTGCGGCGAGGACGGTCATCAGGCTCGTCACCTGGTCCAGCTCGTGCGCTTTCGCAAGCAGCGGGAGCAGCTCGCGAGCGATGAGGTATCGCGCAAAGAATCTGCGGCGCAACGATCAGCAGGAGAAGCACCTCGGGAGACCGCGGACGACCACGCACTTGGACGCCAGATGCTCGCTCAGTCCCTCTTTCGTCACCGCTGCCTCCATCAGTGAATTCGACACCGGCGACGACGCGCTCAGGAACAGATAGTTGATCCTCCCGCCGCCCGGGAGCGCCTGCAGCTTTTCCTTGATCTTCTTTACGAGCGCGCGCACCTCGCTCATGAGCGTCACGTCGGCAAGGAGGAACTCGTGCGAGAACTCGGTACCGAGATTGGGCTTCGGGAACGCGTCGAGGACCGCGCGCGCGGAGCGCTCGCTGCGGCCGACGATGATGATGTGCGCCTTGCCCTGCGTGTGGCGCGCGAACGCCTTGGCGACTTCCGCACCGATGGCTGAGGTGCCGCCGACCACAATCAGTACGGGCGTGTAGGACGTCGGGACGAGGGCTGCGTTGGCGGATTTGGTCTCTTGGAGAGCAGGCATGGGGATTGGCGATGTGATGTGGGGAGTTCGATGAGTAGGTCGTCAGCATTGCTCCTCTGATTTATATGCATTGAATTCTGGATGGATTGTCAGCAATGAGAGCAGTCTGCCGCGCATACGCCATCGCGCTGTTGAGATGATATTGAAGTGATGTGGGTGAGGTTCCGAGTGTGTCATACTGTATGACGCATTTGCCGTTTTAGCGCTGATTAGGAGTCATGCTACCGGCGGGCGAGGCGCATCATTTCCAAGTTTCCTTCGATTGCTTACAGATGACTGTTGTTCTCAAAGTCAACCAGTAGTGAAATATTGGTCATACCACGACAATTGGTCATACCACGACAGGGATCCTCGAGGAACTTGCAGTGCGCCGATGACGTCGATTTTCGCGTATTTCTTGCTCACTTTAAAGTACGTGCGACTCTCACAAAGCATTTGACCGACCGTCCATTTGTCCAACTATTGATTCGCCTTGTTCGTCCTCTCTTTGATCCCGAAATGATCCCATCCGTCTGCGTGCGGTTTGAAATCCTCCAGAACTCATATGCAATGACTATCAGAGCCCAAATCAAACGATGTTGCGCGCCGCTTCCATTCGCGGAGCCAAGAACGCGACGCGGTGTATACAGTAGCTTTGTTGCCTTTTCTAATACCGCCGGCAATCAAGCGCAAATCAGACACAAGGCGGCACACGGTTGGAGCTGGTCATTCACGGTTCTCTCAGCCAGCTGAAAATCTCCAGAGACTCTGATCGTTTGAGCGAGCTGCGAGAAGTTGACTCGTGAACAATTCCGGAGTGTCTCTAATGGACTGCTGGCCAGTATATTATGGGGCCATTGATACATACATCATGCTCTATCTCACACCGAATCAAACCCACTGATCTACTCGGCCTGCACCTCGACGGGCTCCTCCTCCGGAGCAGACTGGCTGGCATTCCCAGCCGCAGCCTCCCTCTCCTCCAGCAACCGTTCCGCCTCAAGTCTAGCCGCCGCCTCCCGCCGCTTTTTCTTCTTCAAGGCCTCGAGCTCCTTCTTCTGTCGCTCCTGCTCCTCCATCCAGGCCTGAAGCCCGTCCACCGCCGCCCGCGGATCGTGCTTCGCGTTCAGCAGGTATCCCTGCAGCTGCGCGATGGAGAACCGCGCCGCGGGGATCTGGCCCGCGAACTCCTTCGCCCACGCCGACAGTGTTGACGCCGAAAGACGCTCCCCGGTCTTCTGGTCGAAGTAGCACCCGATACGCGGCTCAAAGTCGTCCGTGGGTATGATCTCCTCGTCGTACGGGAAGAAGCGCTCGAACATCTGTTCGATCTGGGCGCTCGTCGCGAGCCCGTATTGGACGCGCACGTCCATGCGGCCCGGCCGGATCAGTGCCGGGTCGAGTTGCTCGATGTGGTTGGTCTGCGAAACAAGACGGTGTCAACACCTGCGGATGGTCGGTGGATGATAAGATACGCACTGTTGCAAATGCGAGTCGCCCTTCTTCGCTCGCGACCGAGTCCAAAACGTTGAGCAGTCCAGAAAGAGTGACTTGCGACCGCGGGGGTATCGGCTCTCGCGGCACGGGATTGCCCTTCGAGTCAAGCAAAGGGTCGTCGTCGTCGTCCTCATCACGCGAGGGGAACGCGCAATCGATATCTCTGCATAAGAGGATGAGAACTGCCTGAAAAAAAAAATCGGGAACAGTCATACTCGAGGAGCAGAATGCAACGCGAAGGGGTATCTCGAATCAGACGTCCCAACGAATAGTCGTCGATACTGTCGCAAAAATGTTAGAACCCAGAAGAACAGCCGATTTTTTCAAAACGACAGCTCACCCCGGTGAAGCCAACGAGATAAAGTAGATTTCCAACCCGAGTTCACCAGCAAGAGCGTGAATGGTTGAACTTTTACCGGTGCCGGGTTCCTGCTCCGCGTCAGCAAATGAAAACCACAGCAAGATACTGCAAATTCACCCCATAGAGCAGATACCCCCTCCGGTGTGGGACGCCGGCAAACGTATACCACTCCTCGCTCGCGAGAAACTCCTTCGCGTCTTTCAGCAACATCTCCTTGATCCCATCCGGTAAAATGAGCGTCGCGAAGCCCCTGCGATTTTTCGTGACCGCGCGCGCCCAGGAGCCGTAATTGTCCGTCAGATGGACAGTGACCCTGGAGATCGACGCCTGGGTGTAATGCTCCTTCGCAGCCTCGACAAACTGCTTGAGAACGTCGCGATCGGACGAGTGGATCATTAGGTTGATCGACCCGCCGGACGTGCGCCCGTTGCCGTCCTCGTACCCGATGACGAACTCGCACTGGATCCAGATGCCCCGCCAGCGGAGCCGCTGCTTCGTGTTCGAGCCATAGCCCTAAGATTTAGACTAAGCAGTCATGGTGCTAGCCATGGGAAATCCATTGTAACGTGTGGTCCTAGCCATGGCGCCGGCAGTGCATTACAATCGCACGTGAATGGGGACGATGATCTCCCGGCACCATCGGCACAAGAACTGATGTCGAGGGTGCTGTTGGAAACAATGATGATCGGTGATGCATCGGGCGATGAGCGCGCCTGCGCACTACATCAGATGGATTGGGTCGCTTAGATTGCTTTCAAATGTATGATGCACAATCAAGCAGGTGGTCTGAGCGCGCCCCACGTGAGCATGACGTAGCGCCATTGGGCCCGCGCCCTCCGCCGCTTACGTGCGTGCGACGCATCAACGATGTGCTCATTACCGTGCGCCTCACGCTGCTCACGTGCATCTTCAGGCCAAACCGGCCAAACCAATGATTGATTACATATATTATTATATATGCAATATCTGCACTACCAAGATCCGCGCTTCTTCCAGAGCTCGTAGAACGCTGCAAGACCTTCAAACATCCATCCAGCATCCAGTACAGCCTCCTCCCACATGGCCATCTGCTGCACAGGGGCATCCGACTTCAGGCTAACACCCCAAAAGTACAGTGCCGCCACCAGGCTCTGTACTCCGTTTGGTCCCCATCTGAACAACTGGCCCCATTCACGACCGCCGGCTCCGTAATTCAATCGGGTCCAATGGATGCCGTTGCCACCTGGGCCGACATCGGCCTCCCTGATCCGCCACGTTGGCTGCAGGGTACCCCACCATCCCTGCCACTGCCTCGCAAATGTGTCGACATCAGCGATGACCATCTTCGTACGCTTGCTGCGGATCCAGGCGGTTACGGCCGGCGGGCGGGCGTCGGCCGATAAGCTTTCGTCTCCAGCCTCAAAACGGGATGCATCCTCAACCCGGGTCCAAGCAGCTATCACGGCATTGTAATGTGGACCCAAATCCACCTCTGTCAACTTGCGATGTGCCTCGCGGAACCATGTAGCCGCTTTTGGCGGGCAGTGTGGGCGTGTTGTCGGAGACTGGCTCATTGGGGTCACTTCGATCAGCGCTGCATCCCCGCCACCATCAGCATCGCTCGGCAAGGCACTCTCATGCTCCACGTCGCCATTGTCGGTGTTGCCGATACCCTCGCTACCGCCTGTGGCAGTGCTTGAATCTGGATGACCCTTTTCCACCTCCCTCTCATCTGTGCCCACGTCCACGTCCATTGGAGCCGGCTCTCCTGCCGTTTCGCTGGATGCTGAATCGTCCATGTCCATCTGAGGCGGGTCTGCGGCTGTTCCGCCCCATCCCGAGGCGTCCCCTGACTCGTCTCCGGTCTCACCCGTACCCTGCAGTCTAGCTGAGCGCCTGCGCTTTTCAGAAAGCACATCGGTGTCTTTCCGAGACGCGGCCTTCCTCTTCTTGGGTGGCAATCTCGTGACTGCACCAAGATCCGCTATGGCTTGCTTCAGGTTCAGTGCTTCGACAACCGCCGCATTCCTCCGCTTGTTGCGCGCCTGCAGCTGCGTTCCTGTGAGTTCGTAGTCGGGGATATCTGGCCACGGGTCCGTGAATGTGATCTCGCCCAGATGGCTAGAGTGAAATGTGATAGTTGTGCGACGAGGCAAAGAAGGGGCGGGGGTGGCTGGCTCTGGTTCGGCAGGTGCGGGATCGTAACCGGGAGTGGCAAGATCGTAATCAGCGGGGGTAGGATCATAATCGGTGGGGGCAGGAACGGAATCGGCAGGAGCAGGATTGGTGGGGGCGGCGTTGACAGGGGCGGGATCAGCCATGGCGGTGGCTGCACCACGCATCGATACAGGGCGTGATGGAGCATTGGCACCAGCAGTCGCTTCGCGGGGACGACCGGCGGTCCGCCTCCCCCCATCGTTGCCTGGTTTTGATTTCGATGTGAGGGACTTGCTAGCATCGGCTGACAACTTTGTTTTGGGCCTGGGCCTAGGTTTTGGCTTTGCCGTGTCACTCTCCATTCTCTTGCCCTGGCCAGCCTGCTTCTTCCTCACGGCCTCTGCTAGGGTAACAGCGTCAACGTCCATGTCGTCGTCCTCGGAGTCGGAAGAGTTGACGTCCTCGGAGTCGTCATCATCGTTGTCCGATGGGAGGTCGTTGCGCACGGACTTCGGCTCGTCAATAGTGTACCTGGCTCCGGCAAAGACGAGCCGATCCATAGCGTCTTGAGGCAGTGCGGCAGCAGCGCAATCGGCAGCGGCTACGTGACACATGAGTCGTGATACCTTGAAATAAACACGGATACGTACTGTATGCTGTCTTGAGATACTCGACAAAGAATTGGCGCACATGACGGTCAAAGCGCGCCTTGTCCCACTGGGCCCAATGTGCCGGCTCCGTTGCTAGGTTGTCACCGTAGGAGACTCTGCGTTGTCTGTCAGTTGACAATCGAGCATTGTTGTCCGCTCACGTACGAATGGGTGCGCAGCTCTCCTCCATATTCCGGCATCGGTCCTCCGACAATCAGAGTGGCATGAAGGCCAGTTCGATCATAGATACCCTTGAGGATCGGGTGTATCATTGATCCAATGGCTTGAATCGCGCTGGAAGCAGATGAGAATCAAAGATCAAGCTTGTACATGCGAGACGCACTGATGACGGCTCTCAGGATCGCGCTCGGGCATGTCCAGCGCCTTGAGCGCCGCAAGATACTCCGCCTTGGCTTTCTCTGCGTCTGCTGACGCCTTTCGCTTCCAGTCCTCGCGCTCTGCATCTTCTAGCCCACCAAATATCTCTCGTGCGACTTCGGAACGGAAACCCATCCGATACGGCGCTCCTTTGGGCAACTCAGCGCGGCGCATCTCAACAACGGGCTTGATCACAGTCGGGTACATCTCGCGCATGAACTGCTGAAATGCCTGACGCGCTTTGGGTGCCCGAGTCAGCCCGGAGAGCTTGCCAAGAAGCACCGCATACGGGTTCTTGCGAGGATCGAGCGTGTTCTTGCGCTCCTTCTTGAGCGCACAGCGGATTCGGTATGCATACCAACGCTTGATGCGCTGTGGAAAGAGAAAACAGCAATGAGCATGACGTGAGTGTTGTGTGGCACGTGACTCACGGCGTTATGGACAAGGATTCTCGCCCGCTTCTCCTGCTCCTCCTCAAGCGTCAACATCTCCTCTACCACTGGTGCCTGTGGATCGTATTCGGCATCCATCGTGGGCTCCACATGATCCGGAGTTCTCCAGGGGATGCGAGCATGGAACTCGTTGCACGCTGCCTGGATAGCGTCGCGCTCCTCTGCCCATGTCCCTCTCAATCTTGCCTCAGAGACGCGATGCATATGGGAGTTGAGGATGTCCTCCCGCGCTCCTTCTGCCCAAAGCCGCAGGTTTTTGCGGTCCTTCTTGTCTTTGCGCTTCTTGCTCACAACGACCATGGTGATGAACTGAATAGAATATCTACACTTCCATGAGATCGTCGTCTTGCTGAAACTGGACAACTCACTATGAAAAAGCAGTCCTCGGTGCTGGTTCAGGAAAACGGGAAACGGGTGCTTGTTGATGATTTCCTCAGATCAGACCTACGCGAGTCACACGTTGCTTGGGCAGTTGCGCATTCCTGGCTCCCGACCTGTGCCTGCACCGATCTATGATTACTCCAGTGATTCAAGTGATCGACCGTACCGGCCCCACCACTAACAGCAGTATTCTATGTAGATCCCTGTCCTGCGTGCTACAATGTAATTATTTTTCCTGCTCGCTCTGCTCATATGTGATATTAGTCTACAATTGCCACATGCATCAATCGGCGATCGCCGACCGACGTTCACGTGCACCGATGCTTGTGCACAATCGCCATGTGCATCATTGATGGTCAAATGTGAATTCCCTTGGCTTCCTCCACCATCATGGCCACCCACGACGACGAGCGAATACTCGAACTCCTAGCGCAATTGGATCTCACCGAAAACCTTCTGCCCACGTCTCCAAACTTGAGTCAAACCACTGTAGCTTTACCTTCGGCTCTGAGGCAGCGCACAATCACTGCACAGCCGACCCTTTATCGAATTGAAACACGCGACGCTACCGGCAACGCGATCGTCGGACACACTAGCGAGTGGTCTGTCATCGCACTATCATTTCCATCCTTCATTCACGAAATCACAGGTCTGTTGCTGGTTCGCTCGTGCAGGACAAGCCCGGATCTCGTGCTGTTTCCCTTTCCCCAAGAAAGACAGGCCGCCGCCCCCGACCAAAGGCATATGTTGTCTTTGTCGGCCGTCGCTCAGGAGTTTTTGATTTGTGGTGTGTTCCATATTGCACGATCTGTACAATCTACATGACACATCGTTTCAGGTCTGAATGCAAAGCACAGGTGTCCGACTACGCATGCTGCTTGTACCGTGGCTACTCATCAAAGGACCGGGCCGAAGCTGCTTTCGTATATGCTCAGCAACGTGGATGGACCTCGGCACCTGGTCATTTCCGATATGTCCCCCCCATCCCGGTCACCGATGATGATTATGAAGTTTACAACCCATTGAGCGGACGGGAGGAGGACAACGACAAGCGATGGTATGTCGTTTACCGTGGATTACGTCCAGGGGTGTATCGCTCGTCTCTGGAAAGCCAACTCAATGTGACTGGTGTTTCCGGCCAGTTATTTGAGAGTGTTGAGGGAGAGGCATTGGCACGTAAGAGGTTTGCAGATGCAAAGCGCAAGGGTATTGTACGTGCTGTATCGTCATCGTGATTATAATCCGATTGTTATATTCGCCCTGGTTCAGCGGAAAACCAGGTCCTGGTGATGTCATGCATCGCCACATGCTGTCAACTGTCAAATGAGCTTCTGAAGATCACTACCCTGATAACAATTCCATTTTGTCATTTACGCCGGCGCGAGGCTGGAAAGCCTAGAATGGGTCATCCAGTGCAGCGATGGACCTGTAGCCCTAGATACGTTGAGATATCATCATGAGGAGCCCTGATTTGTAATGGCAGGCGCTCCTTATTTCGTGTTCCCTAGAACGGGACTGCATCTCTCTCAGACACTACGCATCCAGCCTGGACAGTAATCCAGCTTGCATTTCATCTGGGATGTCCGGCATTACTTCAGAATGGATTGTCGTCTTCATTACGCTATTCCACAGCTTATTCTGCCCTCAGGTCTACCTGCAGTGTCATCCGAGGCACCATATGCGATCGTTCTATAAGTGGGTACCTTCTAGGGACCTGTGAACAAATCCAGCCTTTGCACCGTTATTGCTGACCATTTGACTTTGTCATGAGCATCCAAAGACAGTGATTCTATGAAGTAATAACCCCCTTAAACCTCGAGGTTTATGATTATGATTAGAATTCACACCATCTCATTCAGTTTCGGCATCGGGGAAGATACTTGTTAAACGAAACTTTTCATGCCCCAAAACATTTCCCTCTTAAGCCCTTATTTTTTTTTGCCAAATCTGTCCAAAATACTTAGAAAGGTATATACATAGAGTCTCCCGCCGTACACATTCCATTTACACTTGTGAGACGCAAAATAGTCCAATAGCTTTGTGCTTTGACCCATTATGGAAGGTGTGTGTCACGGAATGTGACACATCTGTCTTCGGCCTCCACCATCCACCGCTGTCCAATCTATCTCTATGGCGCCGGCTTCAGCGACCAAAACTCACCAGTCTTCACCAGACAAGCTTCAGTATCTCATGCATGGGATCTACTGCTGGAGGTATCGACAAAAGTGCGTCTTTGTGATCAACACTCATGGCGCGATTGCTGACGTGGCACCAGAAATAAGGGTTATCTACGCCGGAAGACGCGTGAGGCCATGGCCGACCTTTATGCTGGGGTTGGGGTGGATCCGGATGAGCATGCCCAACGCCGTGAGCATCGTCGGGAAGCTGCTGCAAAGTATCGGGAGAAGTGGGTGTTTTGTTCTCAATACGCCATATCCTTGACATGTTTTGGAGAAATCGCCGCAAGCTCAAGCTCAAGGCACGGGAACGGCGTGCATTGGAACGGGAGGAGCGACAGAGGGAGATGGACCAATAACGCTGCCAAGTAAGTTGTATCCTTGACGTTAACAACGGCGAGCATCCCACATAGATGTCTGTCTGATGCAGGCAACCCCATCTACATCATGAGACCACCCGACGTGCTAATGAGATCCAGCTGCAAGACGCCCGACCGGCAACACCCATGGAGGATGTTTGTGCTAAGTGAGTACGTTCCGCTTCCTTTTCCGCTGTGCTGCCTGACAACGGCATATGTAGTACATTCTCTGACACGGCCCGCACCAGCCAGGAAGACTCGGCGTAGACATTTATTGCCACGTAGTCATGCTTGAGATGATATTGATTGACATATACATAAGATGATCAAATCCCACGCCTGTCTTAGTCAGTGCTCACTGCCCACGTCTTGTACAGTCACTACGCCATGTCAACACCGCCTGTTCGCGCAAGCAATCCCCTGAACCAGCTGGAGCAGCAGAGGGAAAGAAACCGTTCTCGCATGGCACGGTTCGCATGATTTCATTCATCTACCACATGCTGATGATCACTATTAGTCGACGGTCTGAGCTGAATTCAGGATCGCCGGAGGAACTTGAAGCGTTCGCGACTAGGGCAAGGCAAAATCAAGCCCGGTATCGAGAGCGACACCGCAAACAATTGCAAATCCGAGAGGCGCAGCGACGTAATTGGTGCGTCAAGTCATCATTCTTGTCACCCGGTCCATGCTCATTCGGCCCAGGCAGCACTATCTAAAATTTGGCCCTGAATCGTTTGCACAATACATAGCCACCAAGAGAAGGCGTCGGGCGCGGGATAGAGAGCGAGCTATGCGGAGGCTGGCGGAACTGGGATGCTCAGTGGTGCTACCCGAAGATGATCATCGCGAGTACGAGCTGCCGTATCCATTGCCCGGTCAATCTGTGCGTTAGACACCTACAGGATTCTGATCTCGTTTCCAATGACACTTGTTCCTTCTCTCCAATTTCACATGCTGCCCCAGACCGAAAAGCTCATTCCCCCCCCCAAAGAAAACGAGGCGCTCGTTCGGCTATCATCCTCTCGTGTGATGCACCACCTGCTTGCGGTCCATTCATGCTCAAATCCTACATGAAGCTCTCCCTGGTGTCCTACTCGCAGCGCGCTGGCTGCCACTGTAAGCGCCAGCAGAGAGATACACAAACGTGTTTGTCGTTCGTATTGTCTGCAGACCTTACAGGGAAATAGGCAACCATGTGCTTTCGATCATTTTCAGCTACGATATCGGCTGTAAATCTACAACGCGTGTGGCGATTGTTGCATGTGGCAATTGTGTACACGTGAGTCGCACCTGATTTGTCACAGTGTAGCAAAATGTATTACAGAGTACAAGCGAAGCTGTGAATACCAAAACGCTCTCAGGCCACGTCATGCTACCCCGTCGACAGCGAGGGCGCCCACCCCGTGAGCCTGTGGGTTGGAGCGACCGACCAGTCCAGCAGCGGCCAGTAGAATGGAGTGCCGACTCCGCAGTATACATTTCCTCACGCACGGGCGAGCACACAGCTGAGATAACAAACATCAGCCAGAAGCGACGGCGCATTGATTTCGAAGACTCGGAGGATTCAAGCGCACCTCTTGAAGACACACGGGGCTCGATTACGAGCAGGCCCTGGATCCCAGACTTTGGCACACCATCGACAGTGATGGAGGACGACGCTGGAGGCGGGCATGGAGATATAGATCCGGGAGTGGACGAAGAAGAGACGGACGAAGAAGACGACCACTCTGAACCCGGACGACGCAAGGCCTACACGAGTACAGTCAGTAGCGGATAAGGAATAAGAGAGCGTGCTGACCGACATTTTAGAGAGATCCTATGTCGCTTTGGCGTCCACGAATGGCGTTCTATGTGGATGAGCTTCTTCGTCATGAGGGATTGGGTGACTGGCTGGGAAATCTGAGATGTGCACTGTGTCAGCACAATGTGGATGCCAGGGACTCGACCGACGCGCCATCGCTGGCTAATACACACATATCTGGGACTGGTGTTGATTGCGGAGAGCCGGAGGGTGCCGAGCGCGAACCAGGTATCTTCAAGTGCAATGACTGTGGCGAGTTCCTGCAATGCAAAGAGTGTCTGCTCAGGGAGCATACACGACAGCCTCTACATGTGATCAAGGTACGCACCGCTGCGTTGTGCGCCGCTTTATCTGACGTGGTATAGGAGTGGAATGGTTCTTGGTGGACCAAGACATCGCTGGCAGATCTTGGGCTGATATACCAGCTTGGCCATGGCGGTTTCCCTTGTCCGTTTCCCGACCAGAATACGCGGCAAATGACAGTGATACACGCACCATACATCCACTCCATCCACATGCGGTACTGCAATTGCAGCAAAGCCGACTACTCCAATCACGTTCAGCAGCTCTTGAGAAACGGTTGGTATCCTGCAACCGGCATAGATCCGGGGACTTGCGCAACGTTTGAGACGTTGGGGTCGTTTCGTCTGTACCAGACTGTTGGAAATCTGAACGCGAGGGATTTCATGACGGCGCTGGAAGAAGTGACAGAGATCAGTGCAAGAACCGGGATGAAAAAGACGGTGGTGCGCACTTCCAATAGCCCTCGGAGTGCCATTGGCTGACTCTCCAGCAGGACCGTTATAAACAACTTCAGCGCATGGCTCGACAATGGGCGTTCCTTGGGCGCTTGATGAGGGCGGGACGGGGGCACGATCCATGCGGCGTCGAGAGTACAAAGCCCGGAGAGTGCGCAGTCATCTGTTGGGCATGTCCATATGAGCACCGCAATCTCCCCGATAACTGGCGAGACGTGCATCCGACATTTCGGTGAGAGTCCAAGATGAAAACAATGTGCTGACTAACGATGATGACAGCTTCATTTATATGCTCCTGTTAGCTTTAGACGCGAATTTTCGCTTGAAGAACCGTATGCGTACCAACGAGATAGATGATCCATCCCTTGGCCCGGGTTGGGGTTATTGGGTGCCTCCGGAGCCGTACAAGGATCATTTGAAGGGCTACATCAGCGAAGAGGATGTGTGTACATCTGCTTGTCTCATGGCCGTTTATAGTCTGACTCTTTCCCACCATCAAGACAAGTACTTGTATCGCGTTTGCGGCTCTCCTGCAAAAGGACACTCGACTCACAACTGGCTTACGTGTATCAGGAGTTGGAGGATGTGTCTGCGCGCGGCATGAATGTATGAGACCGAACGGTTTGGGTGATCTCCAGAAGGGTGAGCGGTGCGTCTGACTCGTCTTCTTCTCTGAGTATGTGTGCCTAAACATGTTTTTAGCTATGCCAACATGGATTTCATCGCGTTTTCAGCACTGGCCACCTTCACGTTGGCATGGCTGACACTATCTTACGACATTGGTTGCCAATGGAAGACCCATCTCAAGACACGCATGGAACAGCTTCCTACGAATCTCCACCTTCCTCTCGACAAAATTGAGGTTCAGTGCGCACTACCAGTCTGGCATGCAGCTTCCCATCACGCAGAGTGCCAGAACGCGAACAGTCTCGCTTTCAAGCCAGGTGTAGGCAAGACGGACGGCGAAGGTGTCGAGCGAGTATGGTCTACACTCAACCCGACCGGCTACGCAACAAAGACGGCAGGTGTGGGGATGCGGGCCGACATCATCGAGGAAAAGATCGATCACAACAACTTTTTGAAGAATCTGGGTCTCGGTGCGTGTGCGGAGTTATTGGGTGTGGCCTAAGCTGACGACACTCAAGGTCGCACACTACCCGCGCGCTTGCTTGTGGCGGAGCGTGAACGCAGCATCCAGGTCAAGGCCTTTGACGATGTCAGTGGGTCAGTGCCGAAGGACATACGCGAGACGTGGCTGGCTGCTATCACCGCGTGGCTTGAGGACCCATCAAATCCGAATCCGTATGTCTTAGACACTTCTGGTGTGTATCCTATGGCAAGCCTTCTGGGGCATATAGCTCATGAAGGTCGTAGAATGCCAGACGGAAACACAGGTGCGATTAGACCTGCGCAAGGAGGAGGCACGATTGTTGGCAGAGGGGCAGATGCCGCTCAAAGGCCAGAGTGGCACGGCATTCCTCATTGCTGGCATTCAGATTGAGGACACCCAGTATGCTCTAATCTGTACAGTATTCGGGCTCACAGCTGATGGCCACACAGGCGAAGGATCCGACAGGAGATCCAGAGCACCGTCATCCTAGCACCGGATCGCGCCAATCGCATTGAGGACTGGCGGCGTACGGTGCACGTCAAGATACAGCGATTTCGCGAACTGCAACGGGTGTTCATGCCGGCTGCCGAGGCAATCATACGAGCCACTGACACCGCTGTTGCTCCTTCCCCCGAGAACCTCAAGCTGTGGATGCCCAGCGACATGCCGTCTGCACTGGGTGACGACCGAGGATGCGTTACGGGATTGGTCGGGATGGAATTGCGATTGCGTGTAGCGCAATGTGAGAACAGCCTAGCTCAGGTCCGCGCACGTCTGCATGCAAAACGCCACATCATCAACTTCCGTAATGCAAATGTAACTGGGCAGGTCCAGTCGACCAAGGCCCGAACGCTCATTGACGAGATTGGAGAGAAGGTGAATGCATGGGCAGCACGATATCGCGTAGGCCGGACGGCATTAGTGGCTTTGGGGAAGGAAGGCGACTATGTGCACCTACGTGATTTGGCTCAGGAGCATCTACAGATGGACGGGGTTGCCATCGCCGCCGATGACGACTCCGCAGCAAGTGACCGGGCGGCGGCAAAGAGGTTGGCAGCATTAGGCGCGAGCCGGGCTCCGAGGCACGATGCAGGTTCCTCGAGACGCACCATGTCCTGGATTTGGACAGCCAAGGGCGCCTTGGACAAGGCGGAGGAGCAGCTGCATGACTGTACGCATATGTGTCTCACCCCATGATGCTTATTGATTTACCGCCAGCCATTCGTGTCGAGTGGGCACGTGCACGTGCGCGTCGTGATCGCTGGTCTGAGGAGGTTGTGCTACTGAAGGAGGAGATGCGGCGAGTCTGTGCCTATCTTGAGTGGCAGTCCAATTGGTGGATCAAGCAGAAGAGTCGTAGGGAGGACTGGGATATTTATGTCAAGGCTGGGGCGCTTGCGTATGCCCTGAAGCAGGCGGCCTGGCATGCAAAGCTCCGGGAGCATCTTCTTCAGACATGGGGAGATCGCATTCATACATCATTAGATTAGATTGGAATCTGATTCAGATTAGATTGCATAATGTCTCTGGGGCCATCTTCAGACATGGGGGAGATCGCATTAGATTAGATTGCAGTCTGATTTAGTGATTTGGCTGCATCATGTCATTGTATTCTTATGCGAGTGAATCTGATGGGATGAGACCTGCTGGGGTCTGCCGGGACCGGCACCAGGCAGGTGACAGGAGCACCACCCAAAATGGAACATGTGCACCGCTCAGGCGGGACCGTAAGCGTATGGTGCTAGCCATGGCATGGCTAGGCCCACACGTTAGTATGTATTTCCTATGGCTAGCACCATGTGCGTAGTCTATTTCCTAGCACTACGGGTGCGTGTTCGACGACGGGACGAAACGGACCAGGCTCTTCGGATCCTCCCGGTTCCAGCCGGCGTCGTTTTGTTTCGTCGAGACGGTGAACTCGTTGGCGTCGGCCATCACGTTCGACGACTGCAGGTAGTCGAGCACCCAGTCGAAGCTGAAATCAGCCTGGTTGAAGTGTGCGATGATGAGCGACTGCGACTGTAAGCGTCGATACGGCCTGTCAGCTGACGCAGTAACTCCACAGACGACGCCTGCCACGCACCCAGTCGTAGTCCTGCCGCGGCGGCGGCACCGGCGACGTCTTGTAGAACGCGCGCGCCTCCTGCACGAACTCGTCGAGGACCTTCCGATTCCGGCTCCACACCTGGAGCGTCAGACTCGACGCGCCCTCGTTCTCGATCTTGTTGATCGTGATCCAGTGCCGGCGGCGCCAGAAGAACAGCTCCGGCTCGCTGTTGTCCGGCTCGTACACGATGTCGGGGTACCCGTCGCCGGTCGCGAGCGCGAATTCGCTGTTCGCCACGACCTTGGCGTTGCGCGCGTTCACGCGGAACGTGCGGGACCGGTTCCACACCTTGTGGTGGTTGAGGTACGCCGTGACCTGGCGAGATCAAACCGCGCGTGGTCAACACGTGTCAAGGGCCGGCGCTGGACGGACGGACGCACCCATTCGTAGCTGAGCTCCCCCTGCTTGAAGGACGCTTTGACGAGGAAGACTGCGAGGACAAACGGTCAGTCACGCTGGAGGGAGGTATGCATCGCCGTCGCGCACGCACAGCTGTTGACCGTGGAAACCATCTTAGCGCCGATGACTCGACTCCTGTTAGGTTTCGGATAGCAATCAGTGAGATGGGCGGTGCAGGGTGACGTGAAGCCGTGCACGCACGTCTCGACGATGGTCCCCAGGAACATGAATCTCAGCAGCTCAGAGACCTGCGGGTTCTCGAGCAGGCGCTTGAAGACGAGCAGGATGGCGCGGATGAACTGATTCCATGAGCGCCCGGACTGCGATTGCACGCGGCCCATAGCTCGTGCGAGCGCGCGACCGGGTGACATTGAGTGGCAAACAAGGGGTGGGTAAGGAAGGTTGATGAGTGAAGGAGCGAGCCAACGAGGCTTACCGTATTATACCGATCGACTGCGGCGTGACAAGCTGTTACTGGAACGTGAGCCTCCTAAGAGATGGATGGTTGCTCGAGTCAGGGTGACTTGCGAAAGGCAAGATTGGAGTCAAAAGGACGCTGCATGATGCGCCCAAAGACACTGCCACTGGCAAGCTCCCAAGACATTGATGGATGGCGGTACATGCCGACAACGTGGCATCACTGTCACGCACTGCTCCTGTGCTACTTGACTCCCGTGCATCACAGGTTCTCTAATGTTTGCTGCGAACAAGTCTCAGGATGTCAGACAGACAATACTCGATGATGGCGCATGACTTTCCAGCATTCTCACGAACATCGTCAGCAAAGGGCTTCTCCACATGGCGAAGAGGTCTCCCATGCCCATGTATAACCGTTCTCAGACCGGCCCTCATGCTGGGCGAAAAGGCATTCATGCGCAGCTCTTCTAGATCAGGACCACTTTCATCTCAAAGAAATAATGACCGCCAAGTCTAGCCTAGTTGAATCGCCTCTTTGTGCCCCGGCCTCTGTCTTTGTGCAGTTATCGGAGTCGGTGCTCCCAGTTGCGAGCTGACAGCCTGATCCCGATGCCCACTGCTTCTCCATTTCTCCACTCGGCACCCAAACGCTATTTAAGTTTACAGCCGTCCGTCCGTTCTCCAATTTCACGCCATGGGGCTTCCTTCCTATCCTCTGAAAGTGGTCGGTCGTGGCACCACATCTGGCTCTGCACGCACTTACTGAGCTCTTCCTAGCTGATTACTGGCGTGACAGGTTATATCGGGGGTACGCTCCTGCGTACGTTCCTCCTCAGAGAGGACTACAAGGCCGGGCTGGTCGAGATCACCTGCCTCGTCCGCGACGAGGACCGGGCAGAGGTTATTCGCCGGGAGCTCCGCCTGAGAGTCGTAGTTGCCGATCTCGCGGAGCTCAATCTGATTAGAAGCGCCGCTGAGAACGCAGATGGTCCGTGCCCGGTTGCTTTCTGTGCCGCTGATTCTGAGTGACTTGCCGTTAGTGGTCATTCACACGGCTCATGCCGATCACCCCACGGGATGCCGCGCCATTTTGGACGGTCTCCGAGCTCGATATGAGAGGACGGGGATCCAGAGCGTCCTGATCCACGTTCGTCCTCGAATTTCCCAATTTCCCATTCCCGGACTTGATTGCATCTGGTAGAGCTCAGGAACCGGCGCCTTGACAGACGATGCCTACGGCGCTTTTGCTAGCGAGAAAATGTCGTCTGCGTCCATGAAATCCGGTTCTGGAGAGTGCTCTAACCCGCTGTGTCCAGATATGAAGACCTAGACTGCAGCGACATCCGCGCCATCCCAACCACTTACGTCCATCGAGAGAGCGATGCGATGATCAGCGAAGCCAGCGAGGCAGGCTACGTCCGTGGCTACGTCGTCATGCCCCCTCTCATCTGCAGGTCTCATCATTCTCGCCCCAATCCAAGCGGCTAATGATACAAACCAACCACCAGACGGACGGGGGACCGGGCCGTTCAGCCGCACCTCCGTCCAGGTTCCTGCGCTTATCCGTGCCGCGCTCAAACTCGGGCAATCGGTATATGTCGGCCGCGGCCTGTCGCTGTGGAACGGCGTGCACGTGCAGGATCTCGTCGACCTCTACCTCGTCCTCCTCGACGACGCGGTCGCTGCAGGCAGGCAGCCCAAGGCCGTGAGCGGCAAGGAGTGTTTTTGTGAGTCACGAGTCGCGTGACGACCCGCTCACTAGTGGCGGTTTCGTTTCGTTCCGGGTCGTTCATGGCCGGACGCTTGTACAGCGATTAATAGCCTGATATTAACGGCCTTGGCAGATTTCTGTGCTACCGACACCTATTCCTGGAAGCAGCTGGCCGACGAGATCGGCCGTCGGCTTTTCGCGCGGGGGGCGATCTCGAGTCCAACTCCGCGGTCCTTGACGCCGGACGAGGAGCTCGAAACCTTGGGCGCTTGGAGCCGTTTTGCCTATGGTTCGAATTGTGAGTCTCATGTTTTGATAGAGACAACGACATTCGGTTTTTGACCGACGGTCAGCGCGTTCGAAAGCCGGCAAAGCGTATGCGCTGGGATGGAGCCCGAAACATTCCGACCACAGCGCAGGCCTGTTTGACTCCATCGACGCCGAGTACGATGCGGTCATCGATGAAGGCAGAGACGAGCGGCCGAAAGTGCATATCGACGAGATGAACAGAGCAGTAGGGGAGGGGTCCAACGGCGCACCGCCCGCCGTGCCCGGCCGATTCTGGCTGGTTGAGCGGATTATCACAGCGCTCCGCAGTCTGTTCGCGTAGACGGAATGAACATGCGCGTCGACGATTCATGCTTGAGCCGCCAGCCCAGTCCTCTGAATCCGTCTGGTGATCGCAAGAGGTTTTAGAGAGCGCCGGGATACACTCGCTGCATCGTCTAGTGGCTTTGATTGGCCCAAAATAGAGCCCAGGAACCAGATTAAAGCCTCAAAGGGGAATGCAAACGCTATTCTTGGTGTTCTGGTGGGAATAGAAGTAGGTGGAGATTCTGCAGCTCGTCCGGTCAACATCCGTTCCAATTCAGAGTCTCCGATCATTGGAAGCCATGTGTCGACGGTCGCCAGGCGCGTGGAAAAGGAAAGTTTTCTGCCATCGTGGACAGATGAATCGATAATGCATCAGAATGCTGGCGTGTCTGCTCGCTATGAATCGTTCATTACCGAGTTCCGCAGAGTTGTTCGCAGGTTAGAAACAGACATCGTGGGAGCGTCTTATATCAGCCTGTCAACTCTCTGACTCAGATCTGTACCACGACTGCAATCTGCCACCTAACTGGCTTTGGCTCACGCGTTAGGGACATGCAAGAGGGGGTCTAGAACGTGATCCACTGCAATTACTCCCCATTCTCACTAATGAGCCAGCAACCAAGGCCTCTCGAGCCAGGATCATCCTTCTCGCGGGCTTCGTCTGTGCTTAGCGGATGCTTCAAGCCTAGCCTTCAGTCTTGCCTCACAGCGATCAATCGACGATTAACTTCGGGTCGAGGGAGAGGCGGGACCCTGAGAGCACCCCTTCGAGGCGCAGGCGCTTCTGCACTAGCGGCCCGGGATGGGAATGCTCGATTACGCATCTGGCCCTGTCTTCCGCCGCCCGTGTCGTCACACGCCGCTGATAGAGTCTGGTGCATGCTCGCAGCGGGTCGCTATATATCCCTAAAAGAGCGGTTAATGACGATAGCTCGTGGTAGGTAAACCTTGTATGGATCGTACGAGATGCGCTGCGAAGATCCATCATCATTTCCTCTCCAGCGCCCTTCGCGGCGCAGACGGGCCTGGGATTCTGGGTTGGATTAATTGCGGATGCGTATATAGATGGGGCACGAGACGGGTGATAAGACCTGCTCGAACCGAGGGACGAGCCAGCACAGCACAGCACAACACGCGCGTGAGTCGTCCGCCGCTCTTCTTCTTCTTCTTCTGCATGACATCCTCCTCATCTGCTGCGCCCCCAGACTCTCCTTCTGTCTCTCCATGCCGCCCTCACATGTAGCGTCGCTTTCCTTGCGCTCCCGAGACTCCGCAAACGAATGACAGCGCTTTTCTTAGCTCACCACCCGTGGCCTGGCGCTCAATCACATCCCGGCTGTAGTCGTCATCGTGCTCGCGTCCGTGCTCGCCTCGATCGTGGCGGTTCTGTTTGTGTACATCATCATCAAGATCTGCTGTCGGACCCGCCCGTCGGCCGAGAGCAGGGAGCAGGCGCAGCAGAGGGAGCCCGACGGGGAAGCCGTGGTGTCGATCCTCAACAAGGAGGGTGGCGGGGGGAACCCGTCATCCTTCGACCTGAAAAGGGAAGACTCGACGTCTACCAACCTGCACACGCGAACCAATCCTCCTCCTGCACCCGAGCGCCCCGTCTCCCCCTCGCGACGCCGGGGCGGGTACCACGTCCCTTTGCTGAACCCGTCCTTCCTCTTCCCGGCGCGGGCCTCGAACTCCGGCTCGGTCTTCCGGGAAGAGGGCATCTGGCCTCCGCCGCGCCAGGAAAGCCTATTCGTCGATCCGCTCTCGCATCCGCTCCCCGAGGAGTTCACGCAGCTCGTGTCGACCATCATGGGCGCGGTCGACACGGACAACCTGCGGCTCCGCATGGACTCGACGTTCTCCGGATCCTCCTCGACGGCCACCGTCACGTCCGGCCCGCACGCGCCGGCCACACCCTCGCCGAGCGTCGCAGCGGTGGCAGCGCCGGCGGGTGTTACGCGCACGCCGTCGCGGCGCAGTAGCTCGCTGTCCCGCGGTGCGCGCACCCACGCGCCGCGGCGGCTGCGCCTGTCCGCGTCGACGCCGAGCCTGCTCGTGTCGGAGGAGACGGACCCGCACTGGCCGCCGACGCCGGGGCCCAGCGTGTCGGATCCGCCGCCGCCGGCCGTCGTCGTCGGGATCGTCTCGCCGGCGTGGCCCGTGCGGCCGCCGACGCCGGGGCCGAGCCCGCTGAAAGGCGCGCTGGCGGTGGCGGGGCCCAAGCGGCCGGCGACGAGCGACGGGAGCAAAGCTGTGGCGAACTGGCTGGAACGCACGCCGAAGCGGCCGGGGACGTCGCCCGGGCTGAGTAGCTCATTCTGAAGTGTTGTTGTCCAGACGAGACGGAATAGATTCGACGATGATGATGATGGTGGGGGGGAGCGTCTTTGACTCCGGCCTATGTCCGCATAATGCTACAGTGGCGTGGCGTGTGTCTAGGTATGTCTAACGGGTGAGGGCTATATGCTACGACTAGGGATATATGAGGTGTGTAAAATGATATTAGTTGCCGGCGTTCTGTCCCAGCGATGAGAATCGATCAGACGGTGGATTTCTCCCCCTTCGCGGCAGCCTCCTCCTCCCTCATGGCGCGGGCGATCTTCAGGTCCAGGCACGGCGCGAACTTGGACTTTTCGCGGATGCGCGCGCCGTACTTGTAGAACAGGAACGGCGACGGCATCAGCAGCAGGCCGACCCCGCCGAGCAGCGTCGACGCCCAGTGGACACCCAGTCTGTTGAACATCTGCACGGTGAACAGCGGGAACACGGCCGCGACGAGCGAGCGCATGAAGGTGTTGGCCGCGAACGCAGACGCCGCATACATCCTGGCCGCACAGACGCAGTCAGCATGCGGGAGAGACAAGCGGAGAGAGAGGGGGGACGCACAGGTACGTGTCGACGAGGTAGCTCAGGAAACTCATGAAGATGAGCGAGATGCCCATGCCCAGGACGATCGCGCCCAGCTCCGGGACGTACCACGGGACCGAGGCGTACTGCCCGGTCCATCCGAGCCAGAACGCGCCGACGACAAACGCAGGGCTGCCGATCATCGCGCCCAGGAGACGTTCCTCGGCCGGGGGAATCCGCGCCACTCCTTGATCAGGCGCGGATAGTGCCGGCAGCAGAGGTAGTTGACCACGGCGCCGAGCGACGTGCCGATTCCGATCCCGATGAACATCAGCCCGTCCTGGCCGATCGTGAAGTGGCGGCGGACGACGAAGATGATGGGGAACGCCTCGAACACTGAGAGCGGGTCAGCGCATGCTCGTCCTTTCAGAGCGCCGAGTTGACGACTTACGGCAGTACATCACACCGTAGACGAGCGACAGGTAGAGCGTGACCAACACGAGGATCGGCTCGCCCGCCAGCATGGTGAACGGGCGGAAGAGCGTGCGCTGGACGACCGCCCACGGGGTCCAGTCCTGCTTCTCGATCTCGGCGTAGAGGTGCGCGGAGCCCTCCGGGTCGGCCTTGCGCAGCGCCTTGACTTTGTTGAACATCAGCACGGGGACGTACGTCTCACGCAGCGCGACGAGCAGCAAGGCCGTGCAGGTGCCCGAGAAGATCATGCCGACCCAGAAGATCCAGCGCCAGCTCACGCCGCTTTCAACGATACTGAGTTGCAAGTCAGCATGCGGTCATTATGTATCAGACGCGGTAAGCAACTGCTGCACGCACTATCCGGCTACGATCGGGCCCATGACGGGTCCGATGAACACACTGGCAGAGAATATGCTCGTGGCGACCCCGCGCGTCTCCGCGGACCAGATGTCGGCCAGCACGCCGCCGGAGCTGACGAGCGGCGCACAGCCAAAGAAGCCCGCGAGGAAGCGCGTGACGAAGAACGTCTGCAGGTTGTGTGCGAGCGCCTGGCCGAGATGGAACAGCGTGAAGACGACCATCGCGACGGCGAGTGTCCTCTTGCGGCCGAAGAGCTCGCTGCCGGGGCCCCAGACGAGCGGCTGTTGGGCATGACGTCAGTCAGTCGGCCAGTCTGATCGGTGCAGACGGGACACGCACCCCGAAGACATAGCCGAGCAAAAACGTCGTCGTTGTCAAGTACGACACCTCCGCGGACGTATGGAAATCGCGCTCCAGAACGAGTAACGCAGAACTGGGTGCGGACGATGCGAATGTTCTGCCGCCCCACAAAAAAAAAGAAGAAAATAATGTCAGCCCGGGAGGGAAAGAGGACGGAGGAGACCAGGCACGTACACGCAGACCGTCGCAAACACACAGACCGCAGTCATGAACCACTTCCGCCGCACGCTCCAGTTCATCGGGTTCGCCGGGTCGTCCGGGCCATCCCAGGTCACGGCCTGCGGATCGCGCACGGGGGCGGCGTGGCGACATACGGCTCGCCGGCGTGCGGCTTCGCGGGCGGCGGGTGCGGGTCGTCCCCGCCGTACTCGTGGATTTCGCGCTCGTCGCGCTCGAGCTCCTCGTCGAGCGGCGACAGCGCCTTGGCCGGGGGCTCGATGGCCGTCACGGAGGAGCGCGGTGTGTGCGTCACGGATCCGCTCGCCATGGGGGGTCGGGGTCGGGGTCGGGGTCGTAAGCGTGGGCGGGCGTGAAAGAAAAAGCAGTAGCAGTCGGAAACGTCATACCCGACTCCTCTGGTTTTTATAGGTCACCGCGATTGTGCGGTTCATCTGTGCTCCCGCTGAAAGCTAAAGCCTCGGTTACGGCTCGGTCTTCTTTGTTGCCGGGCCCGGATTGGCGGCTCAGTATGTAATCAATGATGACGTAACAGCCGATTCCGGCCTCTTCCTCCTGTGCATCCACTTCTCTCGAAAAAAGCACATGGAGCATAGATGCTGCTGCACTGTAGCATCAGCCTGATATTCCGTAGCAGTTGTTGTGCGCTGCGATGGAGGTAGGCTGAAGCCGGTGCAGTCGTGTTCATGGCCCAGTTGCAGGTGAATTATCGCCTATTATCACCTCACGTCAGCCGGGATCTGACGTCCCTGGCCGGAGCTTATCAACCGCTGGAGATCTGCATAATCGGGCTCGAGCGAGCGCAGCCCGAGCCTTGATGGGCCGCGAGCCGCTCCAGCCTGCAAGACATCTCCGATCGCCCGTGTCAGCCACTTACAGACACAGTACACACTGTATACTTGGTCACGGGAACGCGATGTTCACAGGCTGTGTGTTATGTTATGTACGAGACACGATGATTGATCGACCGGACGACCACCCACATCGCAACATCCATCTTCCGAACCCTCCCTGCGTTCTATTTTGATCGCCGTCCGTGCGCGTCTGATGCCATGGCCCCCTGCTCTGGCGATGCACCCCGAAAGGTAAGGCTCGGAAATCGATTCCTTTGCCCACCTCCTGTATCTACCTCCGGTGTCCCACGGAATCTGTCGCTGCCCCGGATACTTACTGCACGCACGCAATCCAAGCTGCTGGTAGCCGAGTAAGATGCCAGCCAGTCCGGACGCGGCGAAGCAAGCACAAGCAAGCTTTACGTCCACTCCACGCCGGTCGCTGGCGTTCGCGCTGCACCCACTGCTTCCTTGAGTTTCTCGAAAGTGATTGCAGTAACGTCGGCCTTCGTTAGCGCTCGATCTCCAGATGCACCACACCGTAACGACCGCTTTGGCTTTACCGCTCCAGAAGAGCCGTCACAGAAAAATAAACTTGCCGAGTGTGTGTGTGTGTGTGTGTGTGACACGGTCTCTTGTAACGGACTCTGTGATCTATGCATGTAGGTTGATTTAATGCTACAGTCGAACGCTCCGGAGGACCGTCCCGAGGACGATAGGTTAAAGGCTGAGAACGAACCCGGAGTCCGTGGAGGGAAGCAGCCGCTGCCGAGCGCACGCAGCCGAAGAGAGCGAGGGCAAGCTCAAGCCATCTTCGGTATCTTGACTCGGAATATCCACTCCGTTCGGGTTCGACCTGTAAACTCATCGCGAATACGTCTGTGGGTTTGGATAGTTCGATGCAGGTGCAGTGGAATTGCGAGGATAACCGCAGCCCCAATCGACTCTCGAGCCCGGCCGAAACCCGAGGGCAGCGACCGCACATGTTTTCCGGCGACCGTCGCAGAACTGTAACCGGATTATGCCCGTGTTGCGTTACGGCAGTTGCCCAAGCAAATCGCAGAAGGTCTCGACAAACAGTGTCGTGACGTCCAATATCAAGTTCAGGTCCGGAACATGTGTTTCCGTGATGCATACCATACACACATCGCACGGCACCGCCACGCGTCGTTTGGCCGGGGCGAAGACGTGAGAAATCGCCGATCTGATGGGAAGTCATCACCGCACGCAGAATCTCCGAGATGGGCGCGACAAAGTTCAGCCAGAGCGTGGACGGCGACAGGCCCCCGGCTACACCCTATAAGGGTCAGTCCGCCCCAAAAGGCTGGTTCGCGCGACGAAATCGACCATCTGAACCGTGATTCGCACCATATCCGGACCGGAGTCAACCCGGATTGGGATAAATTAGGAATTTCTTGGAGCGTTTTGAGCCAAGTTACGTTCAATTTCATCCTAGGGTGCGTTCCACAAGATCTGACTTATCCCAGTGGGAGTGGATGACCCCCTCTGGTTCTTAGAGGGGACGGCAGGTGCGAAAAAACTTGCGGTCAGCGCCCGCGATTTGAGCCATCTGAGTCTGAGACTCAGTGTTTTTGGCCTGATTTGCGCTATTTTCAGGCCGAGGTATAGCAACAATTTCGGGCCGTTATTTGCACGATTCCGGCCGGACCCAATAGGGAGTAGCCGGGGGCCTACAGCGACATCATGCGGCGGCAGTCCGCATTGTTGCGACGGCCGTCGCCGTGGTACACAACGGCAGCGTCACCGGACTCAGACGGCTCCACCACCTGCCCCCAGCCCTGAAGCGACGCGAGTGGGGTGACTGATCATGCAGCATGGCTTGACAACAGCGTCCGCCCGACTTTGTTCCACGGGCGGTCACATTCGCCCACGCCGCGATTTATCCTCCGCATACAAGACGCGGGGCACACAGAGCAGCAAACGCAGCAGCAGCAGCAGTCAATAGCTCCCATCGCATCCCCATCCCCATCCCCTTGACGATGAAGATCTCACACCCCATCCCGGCCCTCACCGCGCTCCTGCCGCTCGTCCGAGTCGCCGCGCAGTGCCCGCAGGTGCACGTGTTCGGCGCGCGCGAGACGACCGTGCCGCCCGGCTACGGCACCTCGGGGCCCGTCGTGCAGAGCATCGTCGGCGCGTACCCCGGCGCGACGAGTGAGGCGATCACGTACCCGGCGTGCGGCGGGCAGGCGAGCTGCGGCGGCGTGTCGTACGCGAACTCGGCCGTCGCGGGCGTCGCGGCGGTCGCGAGCCAGGTGAATGCGTTCAACGCGCAGTGCCCGAATACGGTGCTCGTGCTCGTGGGATACTCCCAGGTGCGTCGGGGGTGTGAAGGTGGTGGTGGTGGTGGTGGCTGACTGTTGGTTGTGGTGACAGGGCGGGCAGATTATGGACGACGCGTACTGCGGCGGCGGGGACACGAACGAGGGCCTGTCGAACACGGCCATCCCCATCTCTGCCGCTGCGCAAAAGAAGATCGCCGCCGCGATATTCATGGGCGACCCGCGCCACATCCCCGGGCTCTCCTACAACGTCGGCACGTGCCAGGCCTCCGGCGTACGTCCACGTCTCCCTCTCTCTTCCTCCCTCTCTCTCTCTCTCTATTTCTCCGCACTCGGCCCGACCCCCGACTGACCAGCGCCGCAGTTCGCCCCCCGGCCGGCCGGCTTCAAGTGCCCGTACGCATCCAACATCCAGTCCTACTGCGATGCCGCGGACCCGTACTGCTGCAACGGCTCCGACGCCAACACGCACCAGGGCTACGCCGTCGAATACGGCGCGGCCGCGCTCACCTTCGTCAAGGGCAAGGTCAACGTGCTCCTCAGCGGCGGCGGCGGTGGCGGCGGGGGCACCGGCCCGGTCAGCACCACCAGCGCTACCCCGCCTCCGGTCGGCACGGGCGGCACCGTTGCGCATTGGGGACAGTGCGGAGGGCAGGGCTGGACGGGTGCGACGGCGTGTGTGGCGCCGTACAATTGCGTCGCGGCCAACGCTTATGTGAGCCCTCTCCCTCGTTTCGGTCTCTCGTGTGTCCCTCGATCTGAACTCTGTGTCAGTACTCCCAGTGTCTTTGAGTTCGTTCTCACTGTACAGTATGTGTTCTCGATGATCCGCGTAATCCAACATGTTTTGCTTGTCTCTGGTTATTCGAGTCTGTGTGCCATTCCAACTGGCAGCGAAGAAGCACGCCTGGCTTTCTGGTATGGCTTGAAGCTCTCGCCATCGACGCATGGTTGAAACCACATCAAGCTATTCGCATGCCGTTCCTTTTGTACGACATCTTGTGAGAATGTCACGTGCAGATCCCTCCCCAAGGTCAAACAATTGGATTTCAGAGCGAGGCTGAGGTGGTGTCATTCGGGATTCCCTCGTGCTGGAGATGCGCTACGGGCGGTGGAGTGATACCCAAAAGCCAACCACGCACAAACAAGTACATCTTCCATCTGTGGCCGATTAGGCTGATTGGCCCGCGCATTCTTATGTTGTGCAAACTCGCATAGGTGCAGTCGCCTGCCGATTTGCTCGGGTGTTGGATGTGGTGTCACGCGGATGCTTTATTCGAGCGCTCTGGGACTCTAGGGTGGCGAGCAAGTCCTCTATTAGCGGCAGCCCCCACTACTTGTGTGCAAGTTCGGCCGAGGGCGGGTTGTGACCTGTACCTCCACTAATTGCTTAGTTTCTTATTCACCTCGCAAGCCCAGGCTGGGATACTTTGGACATGGAAGCTGACAATCATCAGTCGGTGTGGCGTCCGATGCTCCGCGACCCCGATCAGCGCTTGAGCAGTATATGCGGTACAAGCAGTTGCCTTGTTTTGCATCGAGAGAAGTCTTGAGCAAACGAAATAGTAGAACGTACCCTAAAAGGTACATGGGCTCCTTCGTTGAGCGCGGCTTATTTCAGATGTGCCATATCTTATGACCATCATGACTTGCCGTTGCCGTCCAGCGTCTTCCCTGGTACGGTGGGCACCCCCAGCAGCTCGAAAGGGAGACCAGTCCAAGCTTGGTCTGGTAATGGTTGCCTCGCCCTCGCGGCAGCAACGCAACGCAACTACCTGTGCGTCATCCGACATGACACACACCGGCCCTGGACCCAAGTTGCTTTGCAATTAATTCATATCATCTCAACAACGCGATGGCGTACGCGCGAGCTGCTCTGATCGCTGACGAACAATATCCAGGATGACTGTGCGCATATAAACCAGAGCAGCGAGTGCAGACTTCCATACTGTATCGAGCTCCTCACACCACTCATCAACTCAATTGACATGCCTGCTCTCCAACAAGCAAAGTCCGCCAATGCGGCCCTCGTTCCGACGACGTACACACCCGTGCTCGTCGTGGTCGGCGGCACCTCAGCCATCGGCGCGGAGGTCGCCAAGGCGTTCGCGCGCCACGCGCAGGGCAGGGCGCACATCATCATCGTCGGCCGCAGTGAGCGCTCCGCGCGCGCGGTCCTCGACGCGTTCCCGAGGCCCGATCTCGGCACCGAGTTCTCGCACGAGTTCCTCCTGGCGGACGTCACGCTCATGAGCGAGGTGCGCGCGCTCGTGGCGAGGATCAGCGAGAAGCTGCAGGGGCTCCCGGGCGGCGGGCGGATCAACTATCTGTTCCTGAGCGCGTCGTCGCCGGTGTCGAATTCGCTGATGAAGGCGGCGGTGACGACAGAGGGCCTGGGAGAGCATCTGGCGTCCAAGTGCGTGGCCGTCCCCGATGTTCTTCTCCTCGGCACCCCGACTGACTGCAGTGCCGCAGATACTTCGCCCGATACCTGATTGCGCGCGAGCTGCTCCCATTGCTTGCGAGAGCGCACGAGCTGGACCAGGTGGCGACCCTGATGACCGTCCTTGCTGCCGGCAACGCAGTGCCGCTCCCGACGACGGACCTCGACCTTGCGGAGTCGCGGAGGGCAGGGAGGAAGTGGCTGGATGGCGCGTTCCCGGTGCGTGCTCGGTCACCTACAAGCCGTATTTGCGTTCCGCTCATCTCCACTCACTGCAGCGTCTCGAAGCGCTCAAGGGCATGCAATATGCCCTGCCATACAACGATGCGCTCGTGGCGGTGAGTCGTCGTCTGCTCCCGCACGTCCGGCGCGGCTGATCTCTCTCACAGCATTTCCACGCAACGAATCCTTGGCTCAGCTGCACGCACACGTACCCGGGCCAGGTCCTGCCTCCAGGAAAGCCGGGGTTCGCGTTCGGGTACCTGATGCTCCCCCTCACGGGGCTTGTGCGCGTGCTTCGGTACTGGACTCAAGTGCCCCTCGGGGACTGCGGAGAGTACCAGCTCCACGCGCTGCTTGCTCCGGGAAAGACTGGCGGCGTGTTCCTGCGCGGAAAGCATGCGGATCTGATATCCAGTGTCACATTGGATAAGGAAGTGGTGTTGAGCGAGTCGGGGGATGATTCCATCGTGAGCGGGCTGGGTGTTTACTGCTTTCCCCTCGCTGACGAAGGTCTATAGGGCGTCTTGGCTGGTCATGCTGTGGCTGGATACGGCGGATCCGACGCGAGGGTGGCTAAGCTGATACACTGGACGGATGGCGTCCTCGAGAAACTGCAGAGCTGAAGCTCGATTCTTCATCATATTCACGCGGATTTTTTGTCTTGCACTGCAATGAAATAGGCCCTGGAATCGGACACTTTATAAGGCATTTTGTACAAGTTGATTCCCAGCCCAGCCCCATCTCTATTCAAAAAGTGTATCTTGTTGCTTGTCAAAAAGATAACATTTTGTATGTTAAAACCTTCTACTGAAAAGATGAGCATTTTCGGCAGCCAATATGTTGTCTTTTCTTGGCACCGAAAATGTCAACCAGAATTTTCACGTTTTAGGTCAAAATGTTCTCTTCTTGGCTAACCAAATAGTCCCACAAAATGTTCTCTGTTTATTTCAACTACTTCTCCAAGAGGATAACTTGTCCAGAAAGCGAATCAAGGATTTTCGGACAAGTCTCGCCGCAGCGGGAAGGATGTTGTCTGCGACGTCATTCGTTCCGGGCCGGCCGAAAGCTCAAGACAGGCATGAGTGTCACGGCGTGACCTGCCGATTTCTGCCCAGCCGGGATATCACTACAAGGAGTTCAGCGCGTCTATGCGAAGATCACACGGCTCTGTATCGATGCGTTCATGAATTATCGCGCCTCCAGAAAACTATTGAAATCCACCTTCGACGCTGCAGCGGAAGATCTTGCCGAATCGGTTAGTGTCACCAATCGTTCGCCGCTCTGATTGTCACCCGAGCAGGCTGGCTGGCAGTTGTCTATGTCAACCATCTGTCCATAATCCCATCGCCCTCGCCTTACTCTCTTTTACGCCCATCGCCAAATGAGCTACATGCGCCATTCGCCTCCGCTGTCGCACTCGATGCACGCTTCTTCATGCCGCGCCCGCCTCAAGTGCACTGCCCATCGCCGCGTTCGTGGGGCGGCACACCTGGGATCGGGGAGGGCCCGGGCATGGCCGCGTGGTCCGCCAAGTGCGGCTAAACGACTCATCGCGACCTCCCCGCCGCGCTCCCGCCAGCGAAGCACCAGATCGTGGAGCTCGACGTGGCTTCGATGAAGGACCGTGCGCGAGGTCCGAGCCAGCGCGCTCGCTGCACGTCTGCATAGGGTCGACTACTTCTTCTTGGTGGTGCTCATTGTGGGCGGGATGGAGACGAACGCGCGGAACGAGACGGAGGAGGAGGGCGTCGATCGCAAGCTTGCGGGCATTACTGTCACGGTGGTCGGTAGAAGGTCATCAGCGAGAAGCTGCTGGCGCTGGAGGAGGCAGTGAAAGCGGGGAAGAGGCGAAGGTCGTCTCGGTGCATTTGGGGACGCCGCTAGGGCAGCACTCGACCCGACGAATTTCGGCATAAGGACTGGGTTCTCGATCGGCAGGGCGGCTCCAGCGACGCCGAATCATTTCGATCTCAGTCCAGGTGCGCACATCCGTCGTATCCTTTCCTCTTGCGTTTTCACTGAGTGTGCATGTTCTAGTCCTTAGCTACTCGCTATCCGACAACGACTTCTGTCTACTCTCCTCGATCACACTTTCCGCGTATTCGGTGGAGGAGGCGGGGGTGCATCAGCTGTATCCGCTTCTGAAGAGCGGGTCGGGAGCGTGGCGGACGAACGATAAAGGCAATGCAGTCACTGGCCGAGCCGAGACTTTGGGTACCAAGAGGTGCAGGATGCGTTGCGGGCGCATACAGAGACGGCAAGAACTCACTCGACACAATATCGCCGTCGCAAACAATACGGTCGTTCGGCGCAATGGACGCACGCAGTTACACTCGATCGCAACGGTTTGCGCTGGCGATGTTCATCTTGCCTCGGTTGACGATTTGAGACGGATGGCCTGCTCGGGATTCTACTGATTCGACGAATCACATTCTATGAAGCGTTACGAACTCGGCTCGGAGTCCAAGACATTCGCTAGGCGCCTCGCTTTCTGGCTTGTGCGCATGACTTCTTCAAGATGGCCGCCTTATCGGACATGTCCGTCTAGCCTGGGACTCCAGAGCGTGGGGCCGGCAGATGGGCCGAGCTGCTGATTCTCAGCGGGTCGTGGTGCGGAAGTCCCCCAGGCTAGAGGTACTAGCCATTCAATCGGGCTCCAACTGCGAACCGTGACGGTTCATGGTTCTAGGATCCTTCGCGAATTCGATTTGCGACCTCATTGTGCCGAGTCGTCTCGAGTGGAAGCTATGCAGCGGAAGGCTGAGGGACTTGAGGACGCTGTCCTTTGGGCAGAGGACCAGACATCTACTTGACGCGGCACTGCTCTCAGACGTGCAGAGATCGCCTGGACCTTCCCTCTCCTTGTCGTGCAACATGGTTCTGGTCTGTTCCACAGGATATCTGCAGCTCGTGCTGAGCGATGATGTTTCGAGGATGCACACCACATTGTGTAGGCACAAGTTCTGCGACGCTATCTGTGGCATGTCCGCCTCTTGGTTTGTGTAGCATGTCGCAGCAAGTTTGGTTGGTCAGGTCATGGGCACCGTCAGCGTCGAGAAGCCTGCAGATTCGAGGAAAGAATGAGGATGGTTGCCCATGCGGACGATCGTGGTCGATAGGACAGCCCCGTAGTGAGCTATTTGATATGAGCTTCGCCAGAGTCTTTCCTCCACCTTTAGTCGTTGAGGGCATAAACGAAGAAGAGAGTGCACACGGTCCTGAATTAGACCACTGGGCCTTGAACACCCCCCGCAAGACTTGTCAAATAGCTTGCCGACAACTTCCTCATCCCAACGCGTCGGGCGACCTCGGAAGATCGAGTCGTTGAGTCGCGAATCAAAATTCCAGAGATTGTCGTGACCGCAAGGTCTGCAGCCCGAGAAAGTACATAACGCCGCCTCCGAGTTGACAGCATTTGAAGAACGGTAGATGCCACTGCACACTTCGTGTCGCTCCTGGACTTTTGTTGGGTATCGCATACTGTGAGATTTCAGAGTGAGGTTCCTCAAGCTCAGCTCGTAGCAGTGGTGGTGGTTTTGAAGCAAAAATTAGTATCGGACGAATTCGGCCGATGACCTAGCCGTGAGCCTTGAAAGCTTGATACGTCAGACTGCCGAGTGATGCCTCCTACTTTCACAGCAGTATCGTGTGGGTCCCGATGTTCAGCTGGAGAACTTGTGTCTCTAGTTCGATTCTCAGCTCGGGTGCTCTCTTCAGCTCTGTTACTCGCTCTGTTACTCGATCGATAATCAGGCAGCCGACCCACCGTCTTCCTAGTCTCGTGGCCGCTCGTTCTCCAAGCTCAAAGAAAAAGGGAAACGAGAGAGCCTTTGAGCGCCGTTCAGCTTGAAAGATCCCTGCATTGGTCCCGATGCTTTACAGCGGTTCTGACTTGGATGAGAGGGCGATATCGATGATGATGAGCAAGTGCGATATCAGGAAGAAAACAGGGCATAAGCGCTGGCTGGAAGATGTACTTTCAGCCTCGCTTAACTTCTCTCCGACAAATTTGCAGCACATTATACTCGATGCGCATCTTGCTTCAGCCGAAACATTCGCGAAATCACCTCCACGCACACCAATCGCTCCGCTCGAGGGAGTGTTGCGAACGAGCAGCCAACGTCACTACTCAAGTCACTACTCGTCCTTCAGTGTCTCGCTAAAACGTTGTGTGCTGCATATTTGTTGTCGAAGTCTGGCTGTATGCGGAAGAAAAATGACGATCGCCTCTGAAAAGCGACGAGACGATCCGGGCGCCTACCGATCTCGTCCGAGGGCCAAACATTGTCGAGGGCGCTCTCCAAAGGCTCGTCTACATCTCAACATCTCATTCATGCGAATTTGACGATTTCTTTTCAAAATCAGGACTCAACGTGCATTATCAGCTCCAAGCGTCGACTGCTCGACCGCGCTTTGATCAAGCCTCACCGCATCGGGATATACCCAGAATACATCGGTAGCTCTTCCGTAAGTGCTGGTTTTTTCATGAAAGAGAGTCTATGGCTCACGATTTGGACGGGCCAGGCGCGATCGATCCGTCCCGGGATTTCCGCTTTTGGTCGCGCTTTGAGGCTCTGGCGCAGTCCCCGTTACATTTCTGCCTGTCGCATTGTCAGACCTATTCCGCCACTCTGCTGGCCGTTGGAGAGGCTTTGTCTATGTTCTGGCGTTTGGAAATGCGGAGACGCGTTTGTTTACAGCTATTTGAGGGAGCCGGAATTCCAATCTCTCTCTGCTTTCGCCGCGATTGCGTTTGCGTGCATCCCTCCCTATCCTCGTCTCCATCAGCTCCTACCATGCCAAATTCGTCGTCCTCGACTCATCGCTTGGACGGGGCTTCGAACGGGCACGATGCAGATATGTTGAACCTCCAGATGTGGAGAGAGCAACTGGCTCAAGAGTGCGCTCATTTTCCACACATATGACCTCCCTACTCACTGCTTTTTCTAAGAGTTATGAACAACGGCACGAGTGATATCGTGGGCGAGGGCACATCGACGTCCTGGGCCACCGCTCCACCCTTCAACAACCTACACACAGCGCAAGATTATTTGTATGTTCATGCCACCATGTATTTCGTGTTCTCCGTGCTCATGAAATCCACCCCCCTTGTCAGTCTATCCAGTGGATTCGCCGACACTGCAGGAAACAATGCGTCCAGAGGGGGTAGCTACCAGGAACCTGGGTTCGTGTTGTGCTCCGGTATCACTGATTCAAACTGCTCATTCCGAATGTCCAGCATCATGCTCAACGAAGTTGATGGTCGGGACGCGTCCGTCACCTGGCCCAGGGGTCCTGCCACAGTGCCTGATGTCTCCGCCTTCGATTACCGACCATCATTTGGGTTGGCCCACTCTCCGTCCATCTCTTGCATCACGTCGCTCACAGAAACCTCACTCGCTCCCAGATCGGGTCCTACACAGAATGTTCATAGGAACGCAAACCTGTACAGAGGCGAGAATGGGTACGGGCAAAGGTGTTTATCTATCTCGGATCGATGATGTTCGCTGTAATCATGCGCATTTCACAGTCGCGTAGCCAATTATCCTTCCTATGCGCACACCAATCTGGAGGCGATGAATCCCCGGTCAGTGGCTGGCCCGTCCGCTGTATCGATGCGCCATCCGTACGTTCGTTTGAGGCTCATAGTGTTTGGAACCTAATGCATTTCCAGTGCTCCATGCTTCGCGCCTACGTTGGCTTACGACCATCGGCAGCACAGTGACACTAGGCTCGATCACAGTATCAAGTAAGTTCTAAACGTCTCGATATGATTATCTTCTAACATTACTTCAGTCCAGGATTTCCGGCAGTGCCACCTCGGCCACCGCACTACGCGAGCTTGAGCTCAGGACAGTTCCCATCCTGGGATCTCAGCCAGCTGCCCCAGCTGCATCGAATGTATCAGCCGTGAGCTGGGCTTGGTTTTCTTTTTTCTCCGTGACTCAGGTTTTCTAGGATGAGTTCGACGGATCGACAATATCCGCAGAATTTCGACCAGCCAAGCATGATGGCTCCATCGACTCGGAGAGCCAGTCCCCACTTTGCTGACAGGTGCGTGTACTGTACTAGCCCCAGCTTCCCGCCTTCATACACTGATGTGAATGCTCGTAGCCCGGAATCCGATCTCCAGTCTGCCGCTGACACCACTCCTCCCCCGGCGGCGTTCACCACTCTCCCGGCTGCCTCTTCGCACCGATACGATCCATGGTGGGGTGCTGAACCTTCCGCTGCGGCAACGCTCGCGCCTCCACGCGACTGGAGCTACGATCGCAACGCCAGCCGTTCTTGTGTCGAAAGAAGATCTGCAAGACCATTCCGGCCATACCATGTTGCTGAATCGAGTGCTGCAGCCGAAGCTCACTATACTCCAGCGGAACACGTACAACCGGTCCCACTCAGGGCGGCCCGAAAACCGAAGCAGCTAGCACCCGACCAGAATCCTCTCAACCAGATCAGATGCCAGATGCCGCGTATGGGCCAGATGCTCACTGTCTCCCCGTCAATCAGCGATACAACGACGGACGACATGCCCAGCGTTTCGACAGCCGGGACTCCGCAAGCGCCTGCCTTCGAAGAGTGCGGTGAGATGATCGATGCCGAGCTAGTCGCGAAGCACCTCCGGAAGCATGTGCAGGCCGACGGGCCGATGTGCAGGTGGGGAGGCCGGTGCAGCCACGTCGTTGCTGCTTCGAATCTCAACGGCGACTTTGTTCGCCATGTCAAGAACCGCCATATGAAGCTTCTCAACCTGTGCGGACTGTGTGGCGAGTATCTGACAAGGGGCCAGAAAGAGAGGCATGGCTGCGCCGAAGTGAAGAGGGGTTTCAAGATGGCGAAAAGAGAGACGGTGTGAAGATAACAGAATCGATCTGCGTGTATTGATCAAGTCCTTCGGAAGTGCCTTCGTGGTTTCATAGTGTAGCGGTTATCACACAAGATTCTGATGTTCATCGTTCTTGAGATCCCGGTTCGACTCCGGGTGAGACCTGTTACTGCCGAGCTCATGCCTTCTTTTTCGCACTTCCTTTCATTTACCCCGACTATTCACGATATCCAGGTCCAGTGCCTCAATCGTCTTGCCCGGGCCTGCTGCCGGCCAGCCGATCTAATTGATTGACAGACGTTACCCCCTTATGACCACTGTGCAGCGGAGAGTTCGCACGTGATGCAGCCTCAACGACTCGAACTTGACCTCAACCATCATCAACTGACAGGAGCATCCAAGGATGTCCTTCCGTAGCCCTGGGCTTGTATCGTTTGCTGGCCTTTCGTGTGCCTCCGCCGCAAGCTTTTGGCACTCGACAACGCCTCCATTGCTGCTCTCGTTCGCCATCTGAGCGCGATGAGATTCGACATGCATCGAGGAGAACTCGCTTGCGTCTGCGTCTTCACGTCCATCGTGTCTTCCCACAGAAGACCCTCCGACTCCTTGGACACTCCCTTCACCCGGCTCTCCGCTGACGGAGTCCAGTTCCGGCTGTCCTCGGTCGGTGTGCGAAATCCAGTGCCGAGCTTGCCACGCGGATCGGCCGAACGCCCGCAGGGACCTGGATGGATGGAGGCGCTGCGCTCGCCTGTGCGCAGCTTGCTGCCCGGGATGGGCTGCGCTATACCTGTCTGGGCTGTTGCAGTGAGGAGCTGAACGTGCCTGCTCGGGGGCATGAGGGACAGAGTGCGTTTTCGGCTTCCGGATGAATTTGCAGAGAGCGTCATGCTGGAACACAAATCATTTTCGACTTTCTTTGAGTGAGGATGGACTGCTTTGGTCGTGGAGGGCGTATATCGCCCGTTCACAGCGCATGGCGACTTGTGTTCGACAAGCTTCAGCCTGCGATGAAACGTCACCACGCACTACGTCTTCTGCCCGACTCAGGGTGGATGGATTCGACTTCAAGTGCGCCCAAATGCCTGCTCGGTTGGGTAATAACTGTAGCGTGAAACACGCACGATGTGCTGTACGAAAGAAAGTAGAGGTTCATTCGAGTGCTGCTATCGAATGTCTTCACTGTCCTCATCCTTGTTCTCAAACAACTTCGGGTCCGACTTTCGTTGTCATCGGCGGAAATCCGATCCTCATACTTGCAATTGGACGAAACAGCCGGTCGCGCCACATCTGACGTTGTCGGACCGCTGCTTTTTGACCATGCACGTGCATGCCCCTCATGGCGGCTGCAAGACTTGCATGGAGTATTCAGGAGGGATTGGTCAAGCCCGAGAACGTGTGGGGCGGAGGAGGACAGTTGCCGGTGCGCCCGACTACGTTCGACTGCAGTTAGCACCGCTGACGCGGACGTTCCAGCATGAGCGAACGAGCTTGAATGACCGACTCGGCCGACTCGATGTCATCCGGCCGGCCACCGATGACCCAAATGGCCCGAATTTTCTGGATCATGACGTCATTCTTGCAAATCATTTCCTAGTTTTTGACTCCCTAGATCCGTCCATCATGCCATGCCCAGTCATAAAAGGAGCTAGCGGTCTTCATTTCTTCCACTTTTCATCGTCTCATCTTCAAGGACACCACATCACCTATCCGAAACATGGCCGATCGCTCGACTTCTCGTGGACGGGAGCCTGTGGTGCGTCTCATCGGTATTGAGCTTTTTGTTGACCCTCACCCTTTGGCCGTAGACTTCTTCCGGGCGCGGTGGACTGGGCAACATGCGCCCCTCCTCAATGTCGCTCGAGCGTCCCACCACAGGTCCTGATGACTTTTCTGACACCCGTGGCCGCGAGCCTCCCGTCTCCATTTCGGAAATCCGCTCCACTGGCCGGGGCGGTGCAGGCAACTTCCGCTCTCCCTCGCGCGAACCACGGGATAACCGAGACGTCCGTGTCCCTGCTGAGCGCGAAATCATCAAGGCGCATGAAGAGCTGGAGCAGAATGCGCTGTTCTCAACCGGCCGGGGCGGGGCAGGAAACATGAGCCGGTCGCGTTCGCGAGGACCCGAGGGTCTAGCTTTCCCGCCCCATTCCGCTGTCCCTGTATTGCACTCGAGTGGGCGAGGCGGAGCGGGGAACTTTGCGCCGGGACCGGCGCCAGTTTTTGAGAGAGGACGCGCACCGGTGCCCGAAGGAGTGTGCGTTCCCTACTCTGGCGATCTTGGTCGCGCGGTGGCTTACGCGATCTTGCAGGCATTCGACGGGCCGCGGTGGTCTAGCGAATCTGCCAACTTCTCCCAGCTCCAGTCCCGCTCGGAGGGCGGTTCGTGCACACCAGGAGCCGGGCGAGTATCAGCGCTCCGGACGTGGCGGTGCGGGCAACACCCGAGATCGCAGCTCCAGTGCGGGCCGTGAGCGCAGTGCCAGCAAGGATCGCCTCGCTGGATTGTGGAGCAAGATCTCGCATTCGCATCCGGAGACGATACACGAAGACGGCCAGCCTGGGCCTGGAGGTCTGCTCGGCGGTATCGGCTACGGCGCAGCCGGTGGAGCGCGCCCTCCGCTGTAACTTCTCGTGGTGCTTGCGGAGCCTGTGAACGACCATCACATCCATATGACAAAAGTACATATGCTCACATATCATACTACAAAAGTACCCTATATCTTCGACGTAAACAACCTACCGTTTGCGTAGTCAGTAGCCTAGAGTAGGATGTAACATCCCTCGCTCCAGTCAACATCGCAGGCCTTGAAGAGAAATGATAGGGACTGACACTAAGGCACCGATCGGCAGTCAGACCCATGTGACTCAGCACGATTACCTCCTGTCAATTTTCTCCCCCGCGCCCACTCTCCGTTGCCCGACCTTGGCGTCTTTCTGGTATTATCTGGAGCTTCAGAAACCCTCATTAAGTCGACCTCAACGTCTAAATTGTCAATCGTGGAGGCACCACCTTCAAAATCGATGCCAGCTCATCAAACTCGCTTTCGCGCCTACGCCCATCCACGCACTATCCGCAAGCCGGAGCGTCAGAGGAGAGCGCGTTTACGACTCTACTGGGATCTGAAAAACTGCATAATAGCATTTTCTGGCCGACCTCTTTCGCCCACTCTTCATTCGAGTTCGTGGGGTCATCTACTTCCCGATGCTTATCAGTCCTTGGAACCTCCAGCGTCAAACTCTAGCGCGTCTCTTGAGCCTCATAGGCTACAAAGACACTCTGAATAAATGCTGAATTTGCTTGGTTTCGCAACCTAGATGACGGGATCTGACCACATCTCAGCTTTGGAGTGTACTGGAATACGTGGCCCATGCACTTCCGGAGGACCGATCGTTCTTGGAATTCTCACTCTCAAGCTCTTAGGCGTCCTTGGAGTCATACACGCTATCGGTCTCCCTCAAACACCCTCTGAGTGACGATCTTTCCGACTTTCCTTGTTAGGCCCGACTTTGTCTTATCTCTCGCGCAAACTGCATGCCTGCCCCGAAGCTGCTTGACATGAAGATTCTACTTGGCTGTGATCGGTGGTGCTACTCTCGATAGTAACTGACATCGTCGCTCCTTGTCCTGCCAAGGTACACAAAAGGCAAAAGACGGATGGTCAAAGCGCACGGGCCACTCGAGGGTCCGCTCAATCGATCGCGATGGCCGGCCACCGCTCATTGGTCGTCCATATTGGATTGCCGTTGATGCGTAGTCCGAGGGATCCTCGGGGCTAGGGGGAACGTCAATTTCGCAAAGCCCGTGCGCTTGGATGAGGACGGGGCCGGCTACTGTCAAAATCTGGCCAGAAATGTGCACCGATCGTGCAGGGAACATTCATAAGTGTGATGCTCCCCGCTTCAGTGAAAGAAAGAGCGGACCCGTGGTCAAAGTCCAGCGTTGTCGACCCTCTGCTTTGACGAATCGACCTCGACCGCCGTCAAGATCCGGACGCTTGCAGTGACTCTCCAACGCCCGGAACATTCATAACTAGGAATGTCACGCTCTCTGAAAGAACGACCGCTGCCCTAGCAATGCACGACCGCTGGGCTTTCTGTGCTTTGACGCGGTCTGTAATCCTTCAAATGCCGAACGGGCCTGAAGCCTTATTCCCCCTACTGCAGCCCAGCACAGCAAGCCTCCTCCGTGACATATCACGCTTTTCCATTGACATTCCGGGCGGAGTTCGGCGACGCAATCAGTCCTGCAGCTGTTTGCGCCTATTTGAGCGACCACTCTCAACCCCAGATTGCTTCACTGCTCACCCTCACGATCTTCTCTACCACTTCTGTCCTCTCATCGTCACAGCCTACGCCATGCAGCCCATTCCACAATACAACACCCCGGCGTCGAGCGGCTGGCCCGCCGAATCCTACCCTGTCCTGCCAAATGCTGGCGGACAGTACCAGGACGGGATGCACCTTGCATCGTACGTGTTTCCGCCGTGAATCCTTCGTCTCCGTCCTCACCTGTGGTCTACAGATTCAATCCCTACCCTTCTTACGACAATGGCGCGCTCGACCAGCAGCAGAACATCGGAAACGATGGGACCCAGCCATCGGCCTTCCCCTACACCCCTTCGGTCCCCGGCAGCTTGTAAGTCTATGCCACCGTGGTTTCTCGCATCTGTGATGCTTATAGTACCTTTCTTCAGCAGCGAGGCCTGCCAGGGGCCCATGCCCTCTCACGACGAGCATCAACCGTCGGACGAGAACACCTGGAACTTGTACGTGTTTTCCCACTCCTTCTTCCGCCCATTGAGCTCATTCACTTCCTTCAGTCCCCAGCTCAACGGGCTCGCAGGTTATCCTCTGGATAACGCGTCCCTGGTGGGTGCTCCGCGAGACTACCATGGCACCGGGCCCTCGACCTCCCTGATCGCTGATGCCTCTGCGTTCCCTATCGAGTATGTCTATTTTATCCTTCCATTCACCACTCCCGTAGCTCACCTTCTGTACAGCTTCCAGCCTCCAGCGCTTCCTGCAACCCATCAGACTGCCTACCCGACCGAGGTACCGGGATCATTCAACCCCTTCGACTCGGATCAAGTCCACGCTCAAGGAATCGAAGGATCCCTGCACCTGGGTGCTAGGTGAGTATTTGCCACCGTGCATATCCAACCAGAACGGCGCTAAGTTGCTCTCAGCTCGTTTGCCCAACTTCCCGCTGCCGACACATCTAACACAGCCACCATCGGGCCGAACGAGGCCTACTCGTTGACGTGAGCTTAATACCATGCCCTTGGTGATTCATGTGCTGATCTTTCTTTCTAGGTATCTTCTCGGCGACACGGGCACGACGCTGGATGATAATAGCATCTGGCCCGCGTCCAACATTCAACTGACAGGAGCATCGTATGTTTCCTGTTTCTTCACTTTCATACGCTAATCACGTTGAGTAGAATCAGCTCCCACCACATTCCTTCCACCACCGCCTCCAGCTCGCGGATTCAAACCTCCGCTCCCGTTCCTTACTACCAGTTCGTGTCATTCTTATTCCCAATCAAGCTTCCATTGATGTTGTTCTATAGTATGGCTGCTCCGCGGGCCGACCGTCACATGCAGTCCCCGTACTCATTGAGTCCTCCCAGGACCCCGATGGCTGGGATGCCCAACATGTCGCATGCCAGACGCCTTGCTGTTCCCGGCCCTACTCCTCACATCCTTTCGGCCTCGGCCCCCCACACTCCTTTCTTGTCTGGCTTGCCACTCGCCTCTACGAGCGCGTCATTCCCGGCTGGCGATCTGGGCAACTATCCCTTCGCCAATCAATACCCTCAGGCAAACCCCCTTCAGCAATCGACCACTGGAGCTCTTGCCAATGCGCCTCCGCCGTCTGCTGCCGATACCTGGTTCTCGCCACCGCTGGAGCCGGTCATCGGGCCCCGACGGACGCGTGCCGGGTTTGCAAAGGCCCTGCTTCGATCACAGAAGGCGAGCAGCAGCAGGAAGAGCAAGATGAACGCGGCCATGGCTGCCCAGACTGCGATCGCGGCCGAGGCTGTCGAAGGTCAGGTCCAGCAGCCTGTCGAGATGGTCCACTGCACGATGCACATGGGAAGGGGAAAAGCGATCTGCAATCAGACTGTGGAGGTCCCGAAGCTACCGAACCACATCCGCGAACACCTGCTCGCGCACGTCGGCCCCGTTGCGATCCTGCACGACGCGAACCCGGAGCGGCTGCACTGCTCGAAGAATCTGATCAAGAGGGCGGACCTGGGCCTCACGTGTTTCTGGCCTGACTGCAAACACGAGTTCACGACTGTGCACCTGAACGACTACACCCGCCATGTCGCGGACGTGCACTTTACGCTGCAGAAGAGCTGCAAGGCCTGCGGACATTATTTCACGCGGTCGACGCTCGCGCACCATAGACGCCAGGGGGTCTGCTCGGCTCTGCAGCTGAGAAACCAGGAGGCCGGCCGACCGCGCGACGAGGCGGATGTTTGAATTTACCGTTTATGACCTCTCAAGACTTATGCATTATGACTTACTGACCTATCTGCGATACACCCCTATTCCATACCATCCCGCGCGACACCTCATATCTACTCATCCGGTGCCTGTATCCGTAGCCCCTCTCATTCCATGTCTACAATAAATGTTTGTATAGTTAATCCTGTGTGTGAACTCTATGGCATTCTAAGTTTCGCTTTGAGGTAAACGTTGTTCCCACTCCGAGTGGTCTGATGCAGCTTTCATCCCGCCTTCCCGCATGTCAGGACGCCGGCCAAGATCTTGTCGGTTTGTGCTGACGACATATATTTGATTGGCGCCCTTTCGGCAGGCCGTCGCAGATGGTCGGCGACGGAGCCAGGATGATGAAGCCGAGGCGGCTTCATGGCATAGGCTAATTGAATAGTCTGATCTCAAAGTTAGTGCTCGAGAGTCAGGCGGGAACAGTGCACTTGCAGATTGCATTCGGCTCTGGAGAATTTTTGGAGCCTCGAATGACGTCCTTTCCAATGCGCAAGTCGACCTGTCCTTATGCGGGGTCACCGGCACACCGTCTCATTCAAGCCTGTACAAGTGAAGTCCGAGATTAGATTCATTTGATTGATGAGCCCGAAACGCGCAGGCTCTTCGCGATGGTATGTGAAGTACAAGTACAGTATCGTACAGTACAGTACTTACTTGCGTGCGCCTGAATATATGCAAAATATGCCTGTGTGTACATTCAATGAACAGTGTGACAAGTGAGTGCGTGATGTGTTGAGAGCATCGCGATCGTAAATGATGAATAGATAGTGAAATGGGTCGCACTCCTCTAGAAATGCATCGTGTCTCCTCCGTCGTACATCATCGGGGGGTGCAGGCCCCCGAAAAAGTGGTGATCAGAGTCCGAGAAGGACGGCGGAAGCATCGGGGGATGCAGCCAGTCCATCGTATCCTCCTCCAACTCGGGAGTCGGGAGCAGCATCGGCGGGTGGAGATGGTGCGTATCCCGCGTTGCATGCAGCCTCGGCGACCCGGCACCCCCGATCGAATCCTGGTGGCTGAGAACCATGGGCGGGTGCCAGAACGGTCCGCCGTTGTTGTGTTATTATTGGATGCGGACGACTCGGAATAAACATTCGGGTATTGGGCGAACGGGAATTCCATCGAGAACTGGCTCGAGGCGCTGGTATATCCGTCCCCGCCAAACGAGTGCCCGAGAACGCGGACGAAGGCGGCTCTGAAGCCGAATCGATACTCATCCGCCGCCTCTTGTTGGCCCGGGCAAGGGTGAGATCAGCAGAAACGTCGACACTGGCGAAAGGAAGCGCATCGGCGAATGCGTCATGATGATATTGGAAAGGAAGCGCCCCGCGATAAGTCGCCCGCCGCGGCAGTTCCGGAGAGACAGATTCGTATTTGGTCGTGCCCGGTGTGGTCGAGCTGTCCGGTGCCAAGGTTGGGGAAGCTCTGCCACTCGAGTTGCTGGTCTCGCCAGGGGGTGTGATTCGACTTCCCTCTCCTGCCAGTCCATTTGACATGCTTCCCCCTCCTGGCATCATGCCTAGAGCGCTTCCGAATCACGTCGTTCTTCATCGAAATGGGGCGCGCCGACCCGTGCAGCTTGTAATAGAGCCCGCAAGCGTTGCATACAGTCTTGCCTTCATCGTCCTTGCGCCAGAGAGGGGTCGCCGTGGTATGGCAGTTATAGCATTGTGCTGCAACAGGTGAGCCCGAGGAGCAATCCTGAAACTGGGAAGGACGCACCAACAACATCGACGACCTCTGAACGGGCCGATTGACCGCGGCCTTCGCTTGTGCCCACACTACGCATCGTCTTGGGTCGAGGTCGCTTGTGCTGGGGAACCAATGAGAACGCAAGATAGCGAGCGCAACTGAACAGTCACATACCAGTTTGCAATACAGACCGCAAGCGTTGCAATTCAATTCATCGTTCAATCCCTTCTCCACAAAGGCGTCCGGGTCGCACCGCAATTGCTGCACTCGGCCTTCTCTCCGGGCAAAGCTCCTCCACTTCCGCTCCGGAAGCCGAGGGAAGAGCGAAGGAGGAAGAAGGCGCTTCGGTACTGACAGATGCACTGGTGCCTCTGCCCCCGGGAACACGGACGCTGAGCACCGGGCGTCGGCCCACACTGGCACTCGCGCTGACGTTCGCGCTGGTATCCACGCGCAGGGCGACAGAAGACTTCTTCCTCGCAACCGTCACTTTCTTCCCTCCACGTCCAGTCGCAGGAGCCTTCCTGCCGCGACCAGCGGACGCTGAAGATGCGGCCATCGCATTCCTGAATTGGAAGTCCTCGTCGGCAGAATCGTCGCCCCCGTTCCCGTCATCCTCCGAGTCGTCGTCCAAACGGGCATCATCTTCTGCGTCCGAATCCACCTGGACCCGGCGCCCTTCTTGCCACCGGAAATAGAGAAGACCGACTGCCCGATCTTGGGTGTTGCGCGCCCATGCCCGTGACCGTGTCCATGCTCCTCGGGTCCGTGATGATGAACTTGGCTTCGTGGCGGACAGGCATCCGCTGCGTCTCGTCCGTGCCCGTCGGTCCTCGCCGGCCGCCGTTAAAATTGGTCCAGAGCCGGTCGGCGTCACCACGTT